ACATTCTGTAAAACTTTACGTATAAATTCATAAGTTGTAAGCACAGATAACTGTATACGAGTCAGAGAGTTGTAAGCACTAGTAACCAGGGGGGGTACACTTCTATACTTTAGGTTGGGGTTCAATAATTTGCAGACACTGGTGCCATCTTGTACTATATCCCCGTGAACTTTCAAACATTAAGTTCTAAAAGGTGCGCTAGATGGCGACTACACCAATTCTGGAAATGGCAAGTAGCAACTTTATGACTGTATGACATAATGGCTACCGACGTTGAGCGTGATTCTTTGCTTTTTTCTTACCTGTTTTTGCTCGAACCTTTCCTCTTCCTCACACAACAAAGAACTAATAATCATATCGTCACCTTGCTCAGAGGTTGCCTAGCTACTGAATATATTTTTGTAGCCGTTGTAGTTCAAGTGCAGTTTACCAAAAAATTACCTCCCTATCCCCCTACTTTACCCCAGTTGGGAATGTTTTAATTTCTCAGTATGCTTATTTAATACTAAGAGAAAGCTGCAGCCCCACCCATGAGTGAATTCCTTAGTCGCCTTTTACGACACCCACGAGAATAGATGAGGTGGTGCTATTCCTTGGATCCGGCACCACACGCGCGTATAGCAATATTATGATGACTTCATAAAACAATACTAATTATGTAAAGAGTAATTACAAATATAAAGCTAAACCAATAAAAGCAATAAAGACTTGGAATTGTATTGCATATTTTACATGTGTACATAAAAGAAAAATATTTGGTGCACATGATTTTGATTGTATGTTAGTCTTGCCCCTTATTTATAATTACACAAATAACTCAAAAGGAAAAAAACCTTTAAAGTTATACATAAGATGCAAAATAAAAGATATGACTGTTAACATTATTATTCTTCAGAAACTGCATAAGTACGTACGTTAAAGTAAAAACATTACCGCTAGTCTAACCCCAGGTGGCAGGGAAAGACTAACAGCAGTTAGTAGATAGTAAGTACTTAGCGGTCAGCCGCCGTAGAGTCTACATCACCTGAAGATGCCTCGTGTAGAGGCGAAACACGTGTCGTATTGTCGTCGATGGTGTGTCTTTCCTAGAATAGTGGTACTGAGAGTGCGTGCTCTTCAAACTAGGTAAGACACATTATTTCATTTAATTGAGCGGATGGTAGCAAAGTAATTTTTAATATCTTTATTATAATGGATTTCCGCGAAGTAACGCCTGATTCTATCAATAATTTTGTTCAGTATTACCGTTTTGAAAACACTTATGCAAACATCTTTATAGTCATATAAAAGTATATTTAATCATTTTAAAAGATTGATTAATACCTCAAAAGTAAGACACAACTTCTTCATAAAAACCGCTTTTTTCTGTCGGGTAGGAAACTATGTTATTCTACCCCACCTCACTATATTTGATATAATTTGCGGATGGCTTGCCTCCAGCAACGGGTTCCATTACTATTCAATACACATTGATCTCGGGCTGGGTAAACAAAAACAAGACGTCAAAGGTTGAAGAATTATTTATTTTATCATCATTACATATAGTTGTCACTTCCGCATACACAAGCGACAGAAAGCCTTTCATAGCTCAATTGACTTTGGCATGGAGTTACATTGTATTTGTGCTGGCGCGGCGCCCTAGCACCACACCTTGCTGGTTGTACAACTATAAGCAGTAACAGTGGAAATAAAAAATATCACCTACAAGATTCGAACCTTGACCAATCACTGGACTCTGTTAACTTGAATTTAGATCTCTCTTCCTTGATATACGTTACACGCATATACAAAAACATATAGCAAAATAGATCACATTTTTCTAACTATAAATAATAAAACAGCACAATTTTCAATTAATAAGTAAATTATTTTATTTACGAACATCACAATTTTATTGACGTTACTAACTATTAAAATCTCTTTCAAATGTAGTTAATGACAAACCTTATTAAGGAAAATGGTTTATTGACAGTCTCGGGTTTAAAGAAAGATCTTTCTAACGAAAGATCTCCCTTGGTTGCGGCGCCACTATCTTCGCGAAATTTGACATTTGGTGTCAAATTCCGTACTTCACATTTTAGTTCGCATATTGTCCGCGGGACTTCTTTATTAACCTCTTAGCTACCAAGCGGCCGAATTCGGTCGCGGCGATTTTCCTTCAAATACCAAGCGACTGTATTCGGCCGCACTCACCCACAGCATTTTATTCCATAAATACTTATGGTTAGAGACTACTTTTCTATGAAAAAGTATGGCATTATAGACTCAATAAATTTTCTATCCTCTAGTGCAATAAAAAAACAGTTACTCTATGGTTATTTATAATCAACGTTAATTACGTATGCCATTTTCGTGTGGATGCTATCGTGTTTTGGTAGTGTTTTATTATGAAATTGGTATGAAAGTTTTTGTGTGAATACAATTTGTCTTTTTACGTAAGTAATTGCGAGTAATAAATAGAAATTATAGTGATTTTCATGCTGCCAACATTCACTTGGTATGTACCCGTTTTTTGTTATCAAAATACAATAGTCTTTTTGTAATGAAGTAAAACCTGACTTTTGTTTAGACCACAGGATAGAGAATTTTGTATAAATTTTATAATGCCAGACTTCTTCATAGAAAAGTAGTCTCTAAATATAAGTTTTAATGGTTTAAGGTGCTGGTTTAGGGTGCGATCGTATGCGACCGTTCGGGATTTGACGGACGCATGCGACTGCATGGGATTTTATGGGGATTGAAGAGTAAATCATGGCGAAATACATTTAAAACGTTACTCAATTTTAAGATGTCGTTAAGTCTCGTGGTGTCACAGTCACTTTGACTTAAAGTGATAGACAGCACTAGGCTTAACTGCACCTTAAAATAGAGCAGCGTTTGAGTGTTGGGGCATATGACTCTACCTCGAACCTGAGACAATATAAACTATTTTTTGTAATAAGGCAGAATATATTTACTATTAAAAAGACACCGTTTAGATGTTAAATTTTATCTCAATCATACTTAAGAAATTGTAACGTTCGTAAATCAAAAAGAAACTTGAACAAAAGTAGTTTGCATATCCTCAACAGAACCCTATTAATAATTTACAGTGAAATTAGTTTTTGGAAATATTAAAATATATTTTTGTCGAAGCCAATGTATTATAAATGATCACATTATATTTAATTTATTAAAATAAGCAATTATTAGCAGAGAAATCAGAGGTGTATATAATAGTTGCAAATTATTTTAAACCCATCACTTATAATAAATAGACCATGACATAAATATTTCAATTTTAAAACTACAATTTCGTATTTATAAATAAAAGTACAACCGGTAACTTGAAAAGGAATTCTCATATTTTTACAAGCGAGCCAAATTATAAATTACAATATAAATTAATATTTTCTATTGTATAAAACAAAAATAAAAGTAAAAACTTATCATTACATATAAAGACATCGGATGAGCGTCTTAATTACAAGCAACATTACACAAATACATCAAAATAAAAATGAGATACTCATTAATTCATACAATTCACAACATGAAAAAGATAAAAATCTCTTTATCTACTACAGCATGCTATGAAAATGGAATTTGATGATACGAATTCTCCAAACTGTCTTTATTGTATTCAATAATAAATAGCGAATTATGATCAATCTTTCCCTAACACATTTTTTTTTAAAGTAAGTACTTATGACTTGAATAAAAACTGGTATTATATTAAAAGTAGCATTACATTTTTTTAATAAAATAAATAATTTTAATCTATTGTCTGAAAATATTTCCTACGAATAATAATTAGTTTGATATTTCTAAACAATGTTCGATTTAGAATTTCATTTTATAAATACTTGCGGGCGAAATGTATGATTTCATATTGACGGGCAATATGAACAACAAATTCGACTTATTAAGTAAACCAGCCATTGGCGGTTTTTTAAATTATGTTTTTATTTGCGGAATAAAACAAATAAATATAACAATAACTAGACCTATTGCCCGATTCGAACATCTAAAATATTTTTATAGTCGAAAAGTACATCACAATAAATACTATAGCTACATGCATTGTTTTTTTTATACATATTACAGATGGAGACGTCTCGCAGTCGGGGACCAAAACTAGCTGGACTGTTCTCAGACGGATATTATTAAATAAGTATATTTTAACTACCGAATTATGTATTTTGAAATAGACGATTGCGAATGATTTAATCAGTCGAATAGTTTTAAAGATTTTTTAAAGAAAATATCGGGAGAATAATTTAGTCGATTGGCGAAACGGACTTTTAATACTTGCTACATTTTTTTATTATATCCATAAATATATGATTGACATATTATTATATTGCTTTACATACTGAGAAAAAACGTCATATATTGTAGGTATTTTTGTGACTTATTTACTTTTTATGTTTGCTCGTAAATTCCATCATTGGCAACCGTCCTTTATGTGAAAAGCGCTCCACGCTACACAGCTAATTGCGAACACGAAACATTTTTGTATTCGTATGTACTTTCCAAATTAATATCATTGTGCACGAAAGTCTAATGTCGCATAACGTGCGTCTCGTCTCAGTGTCTGACTTGTACTTGTCCCATATTCTTTGGATAAATAACACGAGTTTAGTATTTGAGTAATATGTTGATAAAGTGTCGTTCGGTAAGTTTTTGTAATTCCACCTATTAAATATTGTCTATAGCCTTTATTTTTACAACAGTTAACGTTATTGTTTATGTAACGGTGAAAACGACCTTATTCCCAACATCACATAAAGACTATTCTCAAATATAATAAACATCTCAATAGAATATGGAGAACGCGACAAACATAACTCGAGCATTCGCAACAGTATCTGTACACAGTAACACGAGAACGCGAAAGAACTCGTGGCTCATACGCTCACAGAGACACAAGTCTGGCGTGGAGCACTCCACACATGTGTGCATGTGTGTGCATATGTGTGTGTGCGTGCGTGACGTACCTAGCGGTGCGCGGCGGGCGGCTATAAGGCGGAGGGCGGCACGGCGATGTCGTTGCGGCGCAGCGCGGCGCGGAAGGCGTCCAGCGAGGAGCGCAGCGTGAGGCAGAAGCCCCTGGAGGCGGGCAGCAGCGGGTAGTCGGGCGGCGGCTCGTCGGTGTGGCGGCCGCTGGACGCCAGCACCAGCGCCTCCAGGCGGCGGCACAGCGCGCCCGCGGCGCCGCGCAGATGCCGCACCCCCTCCTCCCGGAACGGCTCCGGCGGGTTCAGCACCATTCGCGTCATCGACTGCACCAGTTTCAGTAGCACCATCTCGTTGTACATCCGCGAGTTCTCTTTACCCTGTTGCGTTCCTGGACCATACAAAATTTATTTTGTCATACAAATACAAAATTAAAATAGATATGTATATGATTCGATCTCTCTTCATCCTCACTGTCTATATTTCATTTGTATACTAGACCGATGATCCGATAGATCCGATCTGATACCGATCGATGTAAAGAATAATACAGAATCGATTTTAAAGAAAATTTAGTTAGACACTGAAGTGTTCAAGACACACGCTCACTCGCTCACTCACTCACACTCACACTCACACACACACACACACACACACACACACACACACACACACACACAACGTGATTTTACAGAAAATTTAGACACTGAACAAGACACACGCTCACTCGCTCACTCACTCACACTCACTCACTCACTCACACTCACACACACACACACTTGACGTGATTTTAAAGAAAATTTAATTAGACACTAAAGTGTCCAAGACACACATTCACACAAACACACACGTACACGCAAGCATGCATGGCCGTCTCACCTTTTTGCTTCTCGTAGCCAGCCTCATTGAAGTAGGGCTCTGCGTTGAGAATAAGACCCTGCAGTGACACGATGACCTGGAGTAAAGAACTGTCTTTACCCCACACTTCCACGCCGCGCCCCGACCACGTGCCCAGCAGTGAAACACACACCTGCACACAATAAATAAAAACATGTAGGTACTAAGTGCTTAATTAGACTTTATAAATTATATGTATTATATATTTATAGATATAAAATGACAAACGAACTTGTGCATATGAACGTGGACTACTGGACTACTCCGGCAACACCTGCAAACGAACTACAAAAAAAGAAGTAGAAGTAGAAGAAGAAGAAGAAGCTGTAATTATACTGGCTTTCTTAAATCTTCTGACTGACATATACCAGAGCACGAACACCTACTTGACAGCACACATAGCTATCCTGGACGCATGGACGAACGGGCAGTGTGTATGTGCGCGCGCGCGGCACGCGTTTGTGTGTGTGTGTGTTAGCACATAAGCATGTGTGAGTTTTCACGTACGTGTTGGGCAAGGTCGCTTTTGTGCGTACGTCCCTGCGCGCGTTCGTACACGTGGTGCACAAGCAAGTGATGCGTGGTGCGTAGTGTGTGTGTGTGTGTGTGTGTGTGTGTGTGTGTGTGCGTGCGCGTGTGTGCGTGTGTTGTGTGTGTGTGTGTGTGTGTGCGTGCGTGTGTGTGTGTGTGTATACCGTGTGCATTACGAACCTTGCCGTCTTCGTAGAGGTTGGGGTTGAGGCGGTCGCTGCAGTAGGAGTGGTAGTGGCAGAGCGGCGGCGCCCGCGGGTACTCGCCGCCCAGCTGCACGTCGAAAACGAACAGCCCGCCTTCGTACGGTGTGCGGCTCGGGCCCGCGATCATCACCGACAGCAGATCTATGCGGTCCTCGAAACCACGCACCCACACCTGCGAAATCATATAGGGCTATCATTGTTGCCAGTGAGGGTCGCCCAACACCGCGCCTTCCAGTACCACATGCTTACACATTTTTAGTAATTTTTATTCAATATGGATAAACAAGAACATTTTATGTTTTTAACACTGGTTCGGAAAAACCTCTGTTCTGGAAAAACCAGAAAGAAACCCAGCGAGACTCATCTCACAGATCACCTCATTCCCAGAGATTATTATCACTAGATTACATAGAGAGTGACGATCTACAGATTTCAGCGGTGGACTTTTGATGGGATGTAGTGATTGTAATTAGTAAGAGTGACATTAATACCAGATTGGAGATAACAAGATTTATAAACAGTTAAGGGTGATAGCCGAGCACGCAGTCTACTTAACGGTAAGCTAATGCTGTGACTAATAGACACCTTAAGAATCAATATCCAAATGCGTTGTCATCTAAAGGACCTAGATGAAATGCTTCATAACTCTCTTTAACGTTGGTCATGTTGCATGTTAAGGAATTTTACTAGCCATGCGGTTAAAGAATGTTTTGATTGAAAATGACGTCGCCTCTATTCACCTCTCGCTCGCACACAATCGCTATCTATGCTCACACGTGCCTGTATCTCTACACTACTTCTACACTCGTACAAAAAATACGTGTGGCACTCGGTGACTGTCGCGGTAAAGCTATTGCATAGCATTTTTTATCAACTTATGCAATTATAATTATTTATTTATTTTATTTATGCAGTTAAGTCTTTGATATTAAATCAAGTTACACTTTTTGAGCGTGGTGACCGATAAGAAAACAATTTTTTTTCTCTTATTGAATAAATGAGAAGTTAATATTGTTTAAAATATTTTTCATCATCATCATTATCATCATTACAGCCCTTCACAAGTCCACTGCTGAACATAGGCCTCCCCCAAGTAATGCCACAAAGCACGGTCCTGAGCCACCTGCATCCATCGACTTCCTGCATGTCTTACCAGGTCGTCACTCCATCTAGTGGGGGGTCGCCCTACACTACGCCTACCGGTACGAGGCTGCCACTCGAGAACCTTTCTTCCCCATCGGTTATCGGTTCTTCGAGCTATATGGCCGGCCCATTGCCACTTTAGCTTACTAATCCGTTGGGTTATGTCGGTCACTCTGGTTTTACTGCGGATATCTTCATTTCTGAGTCTATCACGCAGAGAAACTCCAAGCATAGCCCTCTCCATAGCTCGCTGAGCGACCTTAAGCGTCCTCATACGGCCAGCAGTGAAGGACCACGTCTCAGATCCGTAAGTCATCACTGGCAACACGCACTGGTTGTACAATCTAGTTTTTAGAGATTGAGGTATACCTGACGAAAAGATATGTCGTAATTTCCCGAACGCTGCCCAGCCGAGTTGAATCCGTCGATTGACCTCTCGGTCGAAGTTGGACTTACCTAGTCGGACTATTTGTCCCAGGTAAACGTACTCGTCAACAACTTCGAGCATAGTGCTCCCAACAACTACCGGCATAGGTGTGACATGGACATTAAACATGATCTTTTGTCCATGTTCATCTTAAGACCTATCCGTTGGGAGGCACTATTGAGGTCATTGAGCATAATGCTTAAGTCCTCCAGCGATTCTGCCATAATGACTATATCATCGGCAAATCGAAGGTGAGTTATGTACTCGCCATTGATGTTAATACCGTATCCTGTCCAGTCCAGTAGCTTGAAAACGTCTTCCAACGCAGCGGTGAAGAGTTTCGGGGATATAACATCACCCTGTCTTACACCTCTCTGCAGTTGGAGAGGTTTCGAACTCTGGTTCTGTACTCGGATAGCCATCGTAGCCCTACTGTACAAACACTTCAGCACTTCGATGTACCGACAGTCAACCTGGCACCGCTGAAGGGACTGTAGCACCGCCCAAATTTCGACGGAATCAAAGGCTTTCTCATAGTCCACATATGCCAGGCAAAGTGGCAGATTGTACTCTTCGGTCTTCTGTACAATCTGCCGCAGGGTATGTATGTGGTCTATGGTACTGAAGCCTTTTCGGAAACCGGCTTGTTCGGGAGGCTGGAAGTCGTCGAGTCTGCGTGCGAGACGATTCGTAATGACTCTCGAAAATAGCATGTAGACGCGGCTCAGAAGGGAAATCGGTCTGTAGTTCTTCAAGAGAGCGTTGTCGCCTTTCTTAAAGAACAAAACCACCGCGCTTCTGCTCCACGCCTCCGGAGTAGTGCCACCATGGAGGACGGAATTGAAGAGCTTCTGAAGGACTTCAATTACTGGTTTTCCCCCCGCTTTCAGAAGCTCCGCTGTAATTCCATCCTCGCCCGGGGCCTTGCGGTTTTTAGGGTGGTGGAGAGCCATTCTAATCTCGCTCAGACTGACGTCCGGGATATCATCGGAATAGTGTCGGATAAGACTTGCTCTTGGATCGTTACTCACACTTGCGTGTGGCTCCAACGATGATGTGTATAGCTGTCCATAGAACCTCTCAATCTCACTCAAAATCTCAGGTGTCCCGGAAACGATGTTGCCACACTCAGTCTTCAGCTTTGACAGTTGGCTCTTTCTGGCAGACAGATCTCTGGCAAAGACTTTGGAGCCCTGGTTCCGCTCGATCGCTTCTTTAATACGAGAAGTATTAAAGTTGCGTAAGTCTCGCCGCATGCATTTGGAGATCTGTCTGTTCAGTTGCCTGTATGCTGTCAAATCTGTTGACGATTGCAGCCTCATCTCCCGTCTAACAGCCATGAGATTAAGAGTGTGATCGGAGAGTTTTTGTGTTCTTCTGCGGCGGGTCTTGCAGAACTTAGCTCCGACCACATGGACAGTTTCCACGAGCTTGTCGTTCATATCGTCCACTGCATTGCAATCTTCTAGGCACTGGAAGCGGTTACGTAACTCGAGCTGAAAGGTTTCGGGATTCTGGATTAGAGCACGTGGGGGACGGAGCGTTGACTTCATTAGACGAGACCTCTCCAACTTAACGTTTAGGTTCAGTGTGCCTCTAACCATTCGGTGATCGCTGCCAGTTTTCACCCTTGCGATCACTGAGACATCACTGAACAGTTGGCGTCTGGTCGTCATAATGAAATCAATCTCATTTTTTGTCGAACCGTCGGGGCTCGACCAGGTCCACTTCCTGTGGGGCCGCTTCTGGAAGAAAGAGTTCATCATAAAGAGTCCCTCTTTCTCCATAAAGTCGGCCAGCTGCTGGCCCCTTCGGTTCCGTTGCCCTACTCCAAATTTCCCTACCTTCAGCTCACCGCTTTCTCTTGTGCCTAGTTTTGCGTTGAAGTCTCCCATCAACACCGTGTAGTGGGTTTTGGAGGAATGTATGGCTCTGGAAATATCCTCATACATTTCCTCCACCTCCTCATCGGGATGTGCCGAGGTTGGTGCGTAAACCTGAATGACCTTCAGCGAATACCGTTCGGTGATTCTGAGTATCAGGTACGCGACCCTCGTCGACACACTCCCAATCTTTACAACGTTGTTGACGAGAGACTTGTGGACGATAAATCCGACACCTCCTTGGGACAGATGGTCGCCCTCCCGGTGATAGAACAAGTTGCCGGACTCGAGGATTGCCGTGTCCTCCCCCTCTCTTCGGACCTCGGATAATCCAATAATATGCCAGCGCAACTTGTCTACCTCTTCTTCCAGCTCTAGTATCTTCTCGTCAGTCCTCAGGGTGCGTGCGTTATATGTTGCCAGGTCGAGTCGTCGTAGGTGGCAACCGAACCTCCACCGGAGATTCTTAGCACCCCCTGCCCCGCCGTTACCATGGTCGCCACCGTAGCCAGGAATAGCGGGGCCGCCGGGGACTGGGGGCCGTCTGTTTGTGTATTTATTCATTGGGGGGTATTTGCCATAGTTGCCACGCTTGGCGAGCGGGTTGGCAACCGCAGTTTTTTATTACGTCACAGTTGTTATCAGGAAGATGCTGCTGCCCATCTCCTGCTTGTCTCCCTCTGTCGCCTTTTACGACACCCACGGGAAGATATGGGGTAGTGGATATTCTCAACCGCCACTACACGGCAAATTATTATCTTACAATACATGTAGGTTATTCAGGAATTTTTATCATTGAGTTAGCAGCTAGTATACACGCATACGTCTAGTCGCACGCAAACAAACACCGTGCCGAAGTCTGCCGAACTGAAACGACGTTAGACGATGCACGGCTTTCAACGCCACTCCGCCGTGCCCGTCGGAGTGGGGAGCGTGAGGTTTTTTTCGTTACGGAATTTCTGGATTCGGTCCTCGCGCTCAAGGCCCGCGATAGAAGCTATGCAATAGCTTAAAATACGTTGCGATATGCATTTTTCGTACGTCCTATAACTTCAGTGCAATTTGTAACAGGAAACAATAATAACAAAATGACATAAACTACAAAACAAAAATCATTCCAGTTTCACCAACTTATGAGCTATACGCGTTCTGAGTTTTCTTCATAATTATTGATTTGTTTGTAAATTTTTTGACATGAGTTTGAGACATGAGTACCATTTTTAAAATTTTCGTTTGTTTGTCTTGTGCAGTGGCGGTGTAAGAATATCCACTGCTCCGTATCATACCGTGGGTGTCGCAATAGGTGACAGTGGGGAACGAATCAGGAGATATGCAGCAGCGTCTTCCGAATAACGACTAAAAATAAAAAAAACTGCGATTGCCAAACCGCTTGCCAAGCGTGGCTATGGCATGTATACCTATGAGGCAATCTATGGAGGAGTCCTATGTTCAGCAGTGAACTTTATAGGCTGTAAAGGCCTGCCTGTCCGAGCTATTTTCGGATTGGCTGAACCAATTAAAAAAAAACTTCACCAACAAACAGAGCAACTGAACAGTAATACCAGGAGTTATTCTAGACTAAATTTAATTCGAAACTTTTGAGATTTCATTAAAATAGAAATATTAAAAAGATGAAGTATATGGTCTTTAATGATTATTTATCGTAAGTCTAAATAAAAACACATTAATAGATCCCAACCAGACAAAGCCAGAGCGGGTCCCTAGTTACAAATGTTATTTTAAAACTAATTTACCTACTTTCGTATACAATTTTTTCTAATTATTTTCCCATTAAACGCGTATATTCAAATATGCGCAAGTCAAAATCTACGCGATCGCTCTGGAATGGCGTAATATTTACGCACACTACAATGTTCTCTCTGTGTGCGAATACGCGAGGTCCACCCCCGCGAGGGGCGAGCGCAAGGTTGCTAGTAGCATTTAGCACGAATCACCTTGATACTATTGAACTAAAAGAATAAAATAATTTCCACATAATAGCTTATGAGGTCGGTGCTAAGACATGGTCTATAGAAGAATTAATGTCCGAACTAGCCAGATATCGGCAGCCAATATGTGCAAATTATTTTATTCTTTTAGTAAATTGAATATCGCGGGGCCAGTTAACGAGGAACATAATAGGAACATAAATTTCACAAGGACAAACATCCAGATCCGGAACAATTATTTGTAGGTATACTTTGTTCCGTGTGGGAATCGAACCCACGGCCGTCAAATATATCTTTAATAGTGATAAATATATTAATTATAAATTGCATACCATTAAATAAACGTATAAAATTATTAATAATTAAGTAAAAAAGTTTAGTTGCCTGTATGAAGTCAAATCTGTTAACGACTGCAGTTTCATTTCAGTTCCGTTACGTATAAACATATAGGTTAGTGTTGGCGCTCACCCCGGGCGGTAGGTCGCTCTTGAGCAGTTTGATCTCGCGCTTGACCGCGGAGTAGAAGGTGCGTGGCTCGGAGGGCTGCAGCATAGACAGGTGGTAGCGGTGCGAGGCGGGCGCGGACTCCAGCACGCAGAAGCCCTCCCCGCCCTCTGCAACCTCCGCACCCGCCGCCGCCTCGCCCTCCGCTTCCGCTTCAGCTTCTGCCGTCGCCAAGGGAGCACTCTCCCCTTGCGGACTGCCTGCTACGTCGAGTAAAAATGAAACGTTATTTATCGTCATGGGACAGTAAACATGTTAGTCTGAAAAATGTGTATTAAAACGTTTTTAAAGTAAAGGAGATCACTTAATAATCTGGAGGGATGTAGGAAATTAAAAGCATAGATTTGGTATAAACTTACGTTAGAATAGATTGGCAATGCAAAAGAGAAAGAGCATTTTGTACGCGTATGTTAAAACGAGAAAGATGGGTTAGACCATTCACGTACACGCTATGAGCCTGTATCGGCACAACGTTATTCATGAACGAAAGAAATCCTGCTTGTATTTGTAAAATCTCAGATTTTAAAGTGAAAGTTAGTGTTTAATAGACGTAATTAATTAAGACTAGGGGTGTAGTGCCTAAATATAACTCACCTCAGGCTGGAAATCTCTCATTATTATACATTTAACCTGTAGATATGATTGAAATGTTTAGGCGTGAAAATGCTTTGTTTTTGAGCAGATAAATACAAACGATTTGTACACAAATGGAAGTGAAAAATTTTCATATTTTATAATATTAATGTTATGAAAACATACGAACTGAATTAAATAATACAAAAATAATATAAATTACAAATACATGAAATCCTGCTACTTTTAAACTCACTTTTGTAGAGGTTGACACTATACTATACTGTCCCTAACTGGTAAAGGTATGCTTAGTATGCAGCCTAATTCACTCCGTAATATATTTTTTTAGTTTTTAGGGTTCCTTAGCTGAATATTCTTCGTATCGTATGAAAATAAAAATTGATGGAATTTAGGTATCAAACGACCACACAGTTCAACTAATGGTAAGTGGATGTTGTGGCAGATTTTCATAAAATATTGATGTTCAACAAAAAAGTGTTGGAAATAATTATAGAAGTATGGGTTTCGAAAAGAAAATATTCGACTATATGCAACAAGTATTTTAAAAATAATTATTTACTTATAGACATGCAGTAATGGAAAAACTACAATACTCGCATATCCAACCATAACACTAAATAATAAAATTACTTTTTGAAATTTATTTTGTTATTACAATAAAGTACGTAGCGAAATTTCAATATATCTTTAAGGAGAGCTCACGACATTTACACAACAAATTTTTACTCCTTGAAGAAAAATATAATTCTAACAACTTTTGTTTGTACTTTCTTTATTTCCTAAAAAGTTCAAAATTAAACCCCAACTACATTACGGGACATATTGGTAATAACGTGTGACTACAGTTACATATAAACTCATTTTTATTATAATTAGAAATTATAGCAAAAGATAGGTTTAATATGTTTCGCAATATTTTAATAATTGACATCATAGTCTTGTTTGTTAATACCTTTTTAGTGCACGTTTCGTATCGCAAGTTGGTATTTTTAAGTTTTAATTTATAAACGCATTATAACACACATATAATTTTTTAAGAACAGCGTTTCTTTCAGCGACTTAATATTAACAATTTTCTGGGAGGTTGTCTAGGTGGGTAACCGTCTAATCTAGTACCAGTATAAATATAGGTACCATGAGGCATTCCATGACAACGACGTAGCCTTCTTTGTTTGAAAATAGCTGCAAGTTTCCATAGGCTGCAGTAGTCACTTACCATCATCTGGTGGACTGTTACTTTAGTTTTATAAAAATAATGTTAACTAATGAACAATAATATAGTTAACATTTTTTATAACATGTATTTTCGGAATGTCAAGAACACTCCGAATTACAACAAATATTTATTTCATAACATAACATAACATAAACACTCACGCCTGTCACCCAGAGGGGTAGGCAGAGACTACAGACTTCCATTTGGCACGATCCTGACACACCTCTCTCGCCTCTTTCACATCCATACATCTACGCATGCATGCTCGGCGGTTAAGGGTACTCCTAATTTGGCCCGTTTTCAATAAATCGCCAATTTGGTCGATAAATTTTCGCCTAGGACGTCCCTTTCCGACTCTGCCATTCACTTCTGCAACATAAATTTTCTTTGTCACTCTTTCCTCATCCATTCTTTCCACATGACCAAACCACCTAAGCATTCCTTTCTTAATCCTGGTCACAACATCATCTTGCAAACCACACTCTTCTCTTATCACACAATTCTTCACCCTGTCATTTAGATTCAGCCCTAACATACTCCTTAGCGACCGCATTTCTACTGCATTTATTCTACTCTCGTGCTTCTTCTGCCACACCCAACTTTCACTACCATACGTTAAAGTAGGGACCAACACAGCATTGTAAATTGCCATACGTGCCTTTTTTGACACATTTTGACTCTTCACAATAGAGTGCAGGGCCCCATTTACTCTGTTTCCTGCGTTCACTCGTCGTTCTATATCCTTATCATATCTCCCATCCCTGCTAAATACGCAACCCAAATATACAAACTCATCTACTTGCTCGATCAACTCCCCATCTATTCTTATTTCACATATCGTTTTACTTTCATCTCTTTCAAAAACCATAATTTTCGTCTTACTTGCGTTCACTTTCATACCCCCTTTCTTTTAATGATCTGTTCATTAATGTAACCATCATTTGCAACTCAGCCGCCGACGACGCAAGAATAACTTGATCATCGGCGTACAAAAGGCATTTGATGGTTAACTCACCCATTCCTAACCCGCATTCTTCAACTTTCAAATTTTGCAAACAACTGTCCATAAATAGGTTGAACAACCACGGGGAAGCCACACAGCCCTGTCTGACACCTTTATGGATGCCAAACCAGTCGGAGTAGACCCCGTTGATCCTAACACAAGCACTAGAGTCCCTATAAAGAGATTCCAATGCCTGTATCAAGCCAGCGCTCAACCCAAATGAGTTCAGTGTTTGCCATAGTACATTCCTATCCACTCTGTCATAGGCCTTCTCCAAGTCCATGAACGCACAAAAAACCTTTTGGTTTTTGGCCAAAAACTTCTCCGCGATCATGCGCATGGAGAAGACTTGATCTGTACATCCCATTCCCTTTCTAAATCCCGCTTGCACATCCCAAATTTTTCCATCGGTTTCTTTCATGACCCTTTCAATTAGTACCTTGGCATACAATTTTCCCACGATGCTAAGAAGGCTGATACCGCGGTAGTTTTTACAGTCCTGCTGCGACCCTTTTCCCTTATATACTGGGACTATCACGGCTTTGCACCGGTCTCCCGGTACCCGCTTCAGTTCCCAGCATACATTAAACAAGGTGTGCAGCAGGCCTGCCACCACTTCCTCTCCAGCCCTTAGCATTTCGAGTGAAACTCTATCATAACCGGCAGCCTTACCTGCTTTCATGCTTTTCATTGCTTTCATTATTTCATCTATACTTATCTCGCTACCTCCTTCCTTTTCTTTCGGAGTTCCTATTTCATTCAGTTCATACGTTGTCTCCTCACTCATAAACTTGCTTTCAAAATATTCCTTCCATCTCTTTAAACTCAAAATTTCATCATTCAGAATATAGCCATTCTCATCTCTTATAGCATTCATTATAGGCTGCTTTGAACGTCCCCTGGCAGTTCTTACGAGTTTCTAGAACATTTTAATATTTGCCTGGAAGTTATCCGATATTCTTCTATCATTCTTATCCGTTCTTTCTTGCTTTTTCCTTTCAACTACTTCTTTTAGTCTTTTATTTAGATGTCTAAAGACTGCCTTTTTTCTTTCAAAATTATCATTCGTACCGCTAGAATTACCAGCCTTAGTTGCTAGTAAATCTAGCCATGCTCTCTTCTTTGCTTCAACTTCCGTACATATCTCATCATCCCACCACAAAGTATTATTTTTCCTTTCATTCTTTCTTTTACTAACACCACATACTTCGGTAGCTGCATCTACTAAACCTTTCTTAACATTTTGCCATACATTCTCCAAGTCTAACCATTCATACATAATTCATCCAAACCACTTACGTTTTCTTTCAGTCTACATTTAAACTTGTTTTTCTCACCTTCATCTTGTAATCTTTCTGTTCTAATACGCTGTAACGCAGTGGTAGACACAGATGACCGATGGCGCCACCGCCTGAATAGATCATTAATTCGGCATAAAACCAAAAAATGATCCGTTCCTATGTTTGACCCCCGGTAAACCCTTGTATCCACCACTGCGCCCCTCAATCTTTCATCCACAATTATGAAATCTATCATGCTTCTATCATCACCTCTTTCCCAAGTATACATGTGAATCCTCTTGTGGCGAAAGAAAGTGTTCGTCACAAAAAGATTCTTTTCCATACATACAGTGAGGAGGCTTTCACCATTCTCATTTATACTTTCATCACCAAACGTTCCCAATATCCTTTCATAACCAAGCCTCCTCACCCCAACTCTTCCATTAAAATCTCCTAGCATAACAACATTTTCATTTCCCTTACATTTCATTAATACCATCCTTACCATTTCCCAAAACTGCTCTCGGATATGAGTGGGCTTAGACATGTCTGGGGCGTAGACCCCTAGCACAAACAACTTCTTTAAGCCCACTTTCAATCGTATCCATAGCAGTCTTGGGCTTACACATTCATACTCTTTCACACATTGCACCATTCTTTCTGATAGGATGATACCTACCACCTGGCATGCCCGCTCGATCTCGTCTACACCAGACCAGTATGCGGTATACATGCCATGTGTAGTGACATCCTTCCCCTTCCGTTTCGTCTCATTTACACATAACAAATCTATTCCTCTATCATACATCACCTCGCATACTTCATCCATTTTATCATTCATTGCGCCACATACATTCAACGTAGCCAGACGGGCCTCTGCAATCCACTTTTCGCCCCTCCGGGAGACAGAACGTGACGGGTGGCGAGCCTCGTCGCCGGTTTATATATTTATTTCATTTTTGGGATTATAAGTATATGTTCACAATAAGCCACAATGGTAGTTTTATGTAACTTTCATGCAGCATAAAACCTGCGAAAAGGCACAATGCTTATAAAGACACAAAATACGATGAGTAGTTTAGAAGATCTATACATACATAGCCTTCTAAAATCGTAGCCATCAATTTGGCTTCGCCGTAGTCGGGTAAAATATTAACTTTTACATCATCTGCGACAAATCAGAAGACACGAGTATACAGCAATTGGTATTGATAATTTAAGTTGAGGCGGGCAGTGCACGGTTCAGCATCATTTGTCACGCACAGGTGCACATTTTACACACGCTGGGTAATTTTCATTTTGGTCTCACCCTGATCACTCCATCGCCAATTTAACGTATACTATATCTATGATTAGAAGATGAGGCTAGGCATACGAGAAACATCAAAATGTAAATGTAATCGACAATAAAATCAAATGCACACAAGCGCCCATTACGAAACACACACACATGTAAAATAACAAAACAATTAACACAAATCGAGTGGTAGCGAATGGCAATGATTTTTTGGAATGCTCACCATTCTCCTCGGGTGTGATTGCAGTGGTAGTAGCGGCATCCTTAACGTCAGTCTCTGCAACTTTTTCCACGCCCTTAATATCCTGATCGGCCAAGCTGACCACCAAAGCACCATATTGACTGTTAACATATCAAAAACAATTATCATGTAGAAAATGTCATGATCTTAAATATTTATATATTAAAAATACATACGATGTTAATAAATAACTTAATTTATCAGTTTATGGCATTAAATTCAAAATAAATTAATCCGGATAGAGAGAGATGAAGAGAGAGGGGGAGAGGGAGGGAGATAAAAAGAGAGAGAGAGACAAGGGTAAGGGTAGGGAGAAGTAGAGATAAGAATAAAAAAAATAAAAAAAAATCTTATATATCATAACGGGTAATACGTGCTCGAATTGCACAATAAAAACATTGAGTAAATTATTACAAATCAAATACAAGTCAATTGTTTGAAATCACTTATAAATCTTCATTTTTAATACAATGTAATAAATATTAGTCCTTAATATCACATTACATTATTTTTATTACATAATATTAATTATATACTTATTAGTATTTTGTACATATTTCTTAATGTTAATAAAATAAAAATTAATAATAACGCATATAAGTCATAGCGTTATTACGATTTCCTGAACTTTAAAGTTTATATAAATATTAATAAGGGTAATAATAATGGTTCCGAAAAACAAATTAATCTCCAGCAATCTGTGGCCGACTATTATTCTAATTAACCAGCATTATAATAAATTACCGTCAAAAAAACCCAATACATACCGAAAAAAAATTACAAATTTAACAAACAAAGGAGAGAACGGTCAAATTACATTTCTCCTAAAAAAAAATAGATCTTCGAATAACAAAAATAAACTTCCGAATAAAATACTGACAAGATTACTAAGTTACCGACAACAAAGGTTTTGAGAAAATAATCATATTTTCACCACTTGCATGAACTATAATAATTTCTATTGTTGGTTATCCAATATATTTTTAACTCTCAATAATGATGAAAATACCTCAACTGTTTGTCCCGCGCGATCGGGGTCGGGTCGCGTTCGGCTGTTTTCGCGAGGTCGGATGGATGTTCCGAGCGCAGTGCGCAAAACGCTTTCCTTTCCTTTTTAACTCTCAAAACTTTTTGTCAAAAAAAAAAAGTTTTTTTTTTTGATTAAAAAGGAAACGGGGTCGTCCTACTAAATCCAGACCTGCTCTTATATTATTTGTTTTATTTTTATCTCTTTTCTCGCTAACATTATAAAAACCAAGGGAATTTGTCGATTAAAAAAAAAACAGGATAATAGTAAAATATTGTAGGAAACCAAAATCTACCTGGGTTTAGATTTATCTATATGACTGTTCTGAATTTTTAACGCCTGCTCTAGTAGCATGTCCACTAAAACACGATATAATAAAGCGATTTATCGCCTTGAACTTTCAAAATTCCATTGTATTTTGACAGTTCATAGCGATAAATCGTTTTATCATATCGTGTTTCGATGGTCATGTTATGGGGGCTGAAGTACTGATATCGAAGCATACCTGTGGTAAGTATAATTCATGATAAGTAAAAGGTAATATTATTACAAGTACATTTTTATATTTTTTGTAAGTTCCTATATAACCACTCAGAATAGTATTTTCAGTATAACGTTGTAGTTAAAATAGCATCATAGTCTATGAAATATGGAAGGTAATTTATATATTAATAGTAGGTAAGTACAGATAAAAATTACAAAGCATAGTTTTCAGCAAAACCTAATTTAAGCTGGTAGAAAAGTATTATAGCACTAAAGGTTAATATTTAATTTTCGAAGATTTCAGTATTTCATTCAGCCGTTTCGTCATTTTTATTCGGACAAAAGTAGTCGGAAAGTTAGTATTTGAGGTAGTAGATTTCATATTTTGAGTAAGGGCAATTCTTATTTTTTTTTCTCGGAGCTTTTATTACTACCCTATTAATAATAACGTCCTCTAGACCGAATTTCGGTCACGGCGGCAAGTCTCAATGGAGACTAGCCAGCTGCGCAGGACAGAATTAAGCGGGCAATTCACTAGACGGACTTGCCCACGGGCGACCGGGCGTGTCTGCAGACATACCTGTGCCGGACTCCGCTACTCTAGCTCTGTGCAAGTTTGATAGTGTCGGAGGACCGTCGCAGTCAGACTGGCAGATTTGCCTGGTGAACGTCCGCGCGATCTCATTTTGTCTGCGCGGGCACAGACATGTTAACTGCGGGCTGTCTCTTCACAGACACAAGAGCGACAGCCACCAGTGCAGACGGCCTTTTATTATTATTATTTAACGAACTTTGGAGATTTTTAAATGCAATGAGTTTACGACTCTATATCTCTGCGCAAGTAATTGTACAGGTTTCCTGGTTCATCAATTTCTAACTCTTCATGTAAAATGATATGGCTAAACTACTAATTTCTACTTGTATACCATCCTTTACACCAAATTAATAATAAACGAATAATAAGCATTGCAAGTCTAGGTTGTCGTCTTAATGTGCACACACAATTAATCATGTAGCCGGTCTAAAACAAGCTGATGAGTCTGTGTGGTGTATTAAGACGACAAACATGCTCGGACAAACAGCCTGTAGGCATGTCCGTCTAGGTAATTCCCCGCTTTATAGTGCCCAAGTTTATGCACAAGCACAAGTGCACTTTCTATTGCCTCAATCTCATAGTTAGATGGAATGACAGGCCGACACGAACACGAGCTTTACGTGCTTTCCGAAGCATTATAAATATTAAAGTATTAATGGATATATTTCATTGGTATCGCATTTCATGGATAACACGAAAATGTTATTAAAAAAATTGTTGTATGTAAAGTCGGTTTACAGACGATAGTTTAACGTGATAACGTCATAACAAAACATTGATGAAATTATTGCATACTTATTCATGCGGCGCAAGCCAAACGCTGAAGCGTAACGGGACAATGTGTCATCCTATTTCGTGCATGCAGCCGGCATTCATTGATTTATAAGACGTTGTCACGTCAAAAAGAAGATAATAAGTTAGCGTCACATAAATCTTTATCGTAAGCCTCACATACAAAATTGTCATACAATGTTTATACACAGTTCCTTAGTCTCTTAACCTATACTACTACTACTACTACCCTGCAGCTAGGAGGAAACTCACACCACTTTGCCACAATCTGATTTCCACACGTGATTAACGCATTGTCATTAACGTTAGCACACTCTCAAAGCATATGTTTTTTATAGCATAAAGAAAAACATATACTTTTGTGGACTTTGTGTTGTTTAGCAGATTTTATACGTCCTATGTATCTCAAACTAGAAACGTAATACTGCCCATTGAACAAATTTTGTCCGAATAAGTAATAATTAAAAGGTGATAGTAAATTGAAATGTCGTATCTTTATCTTTTCAGAAACGAAATTTTTATTCACTTTCAATAACGAGGCGGTATGCGCCCAGCAGTGCGAGGAATATAGGCTGTACTTTACTTTAGTCTCGATTTGTTTCTTTATGGTTTCACTATCTGATAGGTGGTAAACAGTTGCTTAGTTTATGATAGAATTATGAAAATAATTTAATATTGAATAAAACTATTAATACGGATTTTATCGCGTTTAATTAACTTATTTTTAATTCCTGACGTTTCGGGTGCTTCACAGCACCCATGGTCACAGGGGGAATGAGATGTTTGACGTCCCAATGCCATAGTTAGACCAGTTACCTTCAGTTTTCGAATATTAATTTTTGGTCCGAACTACGCAGAACAAGCTTACAGTATCTTGAAGTCTTGCAGTGGTATGCTTGGGTTTGGATTTAATTTTTAATCGTAACCATGGGTGTTGTAAAGCAACCGAAACGTCGAGAATTAAAAATAAGTTATTTAAAAGCGATAAAATCCGTATAAGTAGTTTTATTCAATGTGTAGTGTTCAAATAAATTTAAGAAAACAATAATTTAATATATATCATATCAAGAATATCATGCACGTTACAGTCTTTAAAATCGGGTAGACAGGAAACCAACGATTTTAACACGCAAAACTTACATTAAACAAATAATAGACATGACAAAAACTACGTTTGGAATACTACTATTACGAGGTATTTTACAAACTAATCTTTCGGAAAACAGAGAAATTAGGTTACCACTTTTTGCAGAGTCATCTACAAAATAAATAACGAATAAAATAAAATTAAAAAAAAATTACAAATGTAATGTGTAATGCTACGGTGAGTACTAAACGATATGTTGAAATTTTTCTAATGAATTTTTATTAATGGAAATGGTGAAAACCTTTGCTAATTATAAATTTTGTTTGAAAATATATGTGCACAAACGATGTATGTGCATTGTATGAAAATTATTCCAAAACTGTAGGAAGATTGGAAGGAAAGATGACTCAATCATTGTGAAAACTATGACGACAAGAAATTGAAGTAAATACTTATTTTTTATAGAATATGGGTGACAAACGAGCACACAGTCCACCTGATGGTAAGTGGATGCTGTGGCCCATAGACATCTACATTTATCCTCGATTAGAATCAATATGCAGATGCGTTGTCACCCCTGAGGACTAAGATGGAATGCCTTGTTAAAAAGGGTCAGTAAAAAGGTTTTTGTTTAATATAAGTATTGAGGAATTGACTTTTAATGTAATTTAAAGCAAGTTATTGTAAACATCGATTTAAAATATTTAAAATTGACAGATGCAAATGTATATGTATTAAAATAGATATTGTAAAGGAATATTATTTATTAAACCTTCGTTTAAATGTGAGCTTAGTAATTAAAATTAAAACTAAAGAAAAATTAAACAATAAGGAACGCAAGATAAGTTAAAATCGCAAACACAATTTGTATAGACATTTGTACATAATTTGGTAAATTAGTTTTTTAAGAAAAATATCTTGATTCAAGATAACATTGCACGAATATCGATATAAGAAACCAACACTATTTAGAGCAATATTTGAAAGTTCTTACTGACTCAAATATCAATGATAACGATTGCATAGTACAATACGCACAGGAGAAGAATTAGTTTTACTGATAACTTTACTCTTTAATCTTCATTTTCAATTCAGCAGCAAAAATATGAATGTTAATAAATAAATATGAACAATACAATATACAGTGTATTGAATTACTGAATATGGTCGATAATAATGGCTGAAGTTAGTGTAACGTTTGCGAAAATCATTACACGTTATTATTATAAGAAAATCACCACAAAATGCATTATGAGATGTCGTGAGATTTGGCTTGAAGCCTTTTAATCTCACATGAGATTCTTCAAAATGCGTATTTTTAGTTTGAATACGTTGGATTTATTTAAGAAAAACATAATTTGTTTAATAATTTTTATTCACGAAGGGTATTTAATTTACGGGCGTAAGTAAACACAACATGTCCGCGCGTCACTACCAGCCGGCTCGTATGCCGCAGCGTTCGTCGAATCACCCATTTGACTATTATAGTATTATTATTGTGTCGGATTTAGCCATATTTTAGTGGAGAAACATGTTTAATAATTTATTATATTTGCTTAACCCAGATTTCTTGCAGTTTTAATTTCTTGCAAAAAATTTACGTAATTGCGTTACCCCACGTGACATGAGGTGAGATTCAACTCGAGCCCCCCCCCCCCCCACCACCACCCCTCCCCCTATAAGTCTCACATAATGTAAAACCTATGTATGTAAGCGCCCTACGCACCTAAAAGCACATGAGGCACAAGCCCGAGGCCTTTTTTCTGACAGGGGTCCCGAATTGTTGAAATGCAGACCTGCATGTTTTTAAAACAATTTAAAACACATTTGGCTCTTGCGTACATTTTAAAAGCTAAACATTTGACACAGAACAAAAGTACACTTAGATGTTTTATTATTGTTATTTTTACTTTCTTAAGGTCCGTATACTTTGGGTGCCCTAGAGTTCCTATATGATGTAAAACTGACCTGTTTATTAAATATTTAGAACATAAAATATAGTGACGATATAAAATTAATTTCTCTAGCAACATGTACAGATCTCTATACAAAAAACAAAACGAGAGAGGCGAAATAAATATAATGGAGTCTCACACTGAAAAGTGGTAGGGTAACTTCTCTTCGCTCGCGTTTTTCATTAAGTAGTTAAGGAATTCGGCCAATTCTTGCGGCCTTCTCCTGCGGAAAACAAATTAAAGCCTTTAGAGCTTCGTATTATTATTTTAACATTGATTACGACACGTAAATAAAAAAAAAACTAAATTTAAACAATATTTTAACGTTAATTAGAAAAAAAAAAGATTTAATCAATATGTAAAAGCAAATCAATTTTCGTTAAAATAATATAAATTAAATGGTTATTAAAAAATATCCTTTTCCTCTTTTGTGACTTCATGAGGAAGTTGTGTGTTTACTAATAAGTTTGTTTATACTAATAAGTTGTTTACTAATAACTTTAATAAGGCACCAGCATAAACGACTTAATACAGTTACATTTTGTTTTGTTGATGCTGGAAATGATTATTTAAAGAAAATAGTTGCAACACTGGAAACAACGTGCCTTTTCTTTTGCAATGTTATTTCGCTTCGTAATAGAATTATACGTGTATATCGGTTAAATGTGTCTGTAGAATCGCACGTACCGGCTGACTTCGGCGTGCGCTTTGACCAGCTGCGTGTGTATGAGCGAGCACAGCTTGTAGCACACGTTGCGCGTCGTGCCGTCCACGTCCGACGGCTCGCCGGGACCTGGAAATGTTATTATATCGGCAAACTCATAGAATACCATAATACACAATAGAATGGCTGTCAACTTTATTTTGTACGAGGATCGGTGTCGCCGGGAGCAAAGTTGGTTAACGTTTTGATGCGAATTCACTCGAGATGACTGATAGATAAACAAATTCAAAACCAAAATTGTCATTAATTGATTATCTATTTATAACAATATTGTTTTGAAAAATTACTGTAGTAATGTATAACTTGTATAGCTTTTCTTGTGTGGATCGTTCTTTGTAGCTTTTTCTTTCAAGGATTAAATCAAATTAACCAACGCTACCGAAATCAATCAATATTTTTCAAAAAAAATGTTGCAAAATATAATATGAATTAAATTCAAATCATTAAATCAACTAAACGCATATATAATTGAGGATCAGGCGTTACTTTGCGGAAATCCATTATAATAAAAATATAAATTACATCGCAACCTTCCGCCTTTACCTTTACCTTTAACCTTTGGCAACTTTCACTTGGAATAGTGGTGCTGGAACTAGTGGTGACGGAGTTAGTGCATGCAATTAAGGGAGGGCGGGAGGTGCTCTTCAATCCAGGTAAGATATATCATTGTATATTAGTTCGCGGAAGGTAAGAAGTAATTTATATTTTTATTAAACAAACATAAACTATACTTCTACCCAGTTAGTAGACGTTAGTGTTTGAAATGTCGTACTGTTATGAGCTAATTTAACTGTTACAGTAACTGTTACACAACGGTTTTATGTGTTACCGCATAACTTTTTTCTCTGGGTGAACCGATTTTGATGATTCTTATTTGAAAGCTGGTGCTTCTTTTGTGGTCCCATATAAATTTGATCAAGATCTGACCAGTAGTTTTTGAGTTACCACTTGTTTAGGTTAAGTTTCATGTACCCTTAGCGTTCGAGCGCAATGTACGATCTCATAGTAATGTTTGTGAATACGAGTGTAAGAGATATATTGGCAATTAATAAAATAGCGATACATTCCTTTAAAAATGACTGAAACTAAATCCTACACGTTCACCAGCCTATAGGACCAGCCACCGGCATATAGAGCCAAATATGCTAATAATTGACATTTAGTCTGCATACCTGTTAATGTATTCTTGAAAAGAACTATAAGCAGTGGATTTAAAAAAAAATGGCTGCTAAAGAAATAAGTTTATTTGGAGAGCCGCGGTAGTTCAGAGACTAAGAGCTTTTCTTCCATAGAATAAGGGTGACAAACGAGCACACAGTCCACCTGATGGTAAGTGTATGCTGTGGCCCATAGATATCTACATCTACCCTGGATTAAGAATCAAAATGCAGATACGTTGTCACCCCTGAGGACTAAGATGGAATGCCTCGTTTCCAGTAAAAAAAGGGTCTCCGGATCTCTACACTCACCATACGAACGAAACGCAGCAGTATTAAGCTGCTATTTTACGCTGGTATTATGTGAGAGCGTGGTACTTCCCCGTCAAGCCGACCCTATCATGCTACAACCATAATATAACTGCAGCGTGGCTCTACAATGTACATAACAATTAAATAAAATATTAAAATATGCGATCAATCAGTTTAAGTAAAAAAATGTAAATCAATTAGACTTATTGAAGTAATTTTGAAGTACCAGTTCTACTTATTTAAGCCCGTTTGAAATTTAATTCATTTTCTTGATGTAGAGAATAACAATAAATTTGTGAGTAACTTACCAGTATCGGTTGATGGATTTTCAGATAGAACTGCTTCAGAACCAGAGGCTTGTATAGGGTCAATATTTAAATGCAACGGCTTTTTAGGAGAATTGGCTTCCACCTGTAAAAACGATCAGATTTTTTTTAGTATTTACATATAGAGTGCAAACATGCGAAACTTTGCTCGATATTAAATCATTTGGCTTTATTATCACTTTAATTTAAATAATAATAATCAAGACCGAATTTCGATCACAGCAGCCAGTCTCAAAGGCTTTCACAGCAGACAGTTATTTGCGCAGAACAAGATTACATTATTTAATAAAAAAATGTTCTTATCAATATCATTTAATAATATATCTAAGGTTGTGTCTCCACGCCAACGACCTCGGTTTAGTGTGAAGAAGTCCTTACCGCTTGCTACAAGACTGTCATTGCGTAGGTAACATAGGGCATGTTCCGTAACGTTTTCAGTATACTGCCAAATACAAATGATGTCATCAATTGACACTATATTGTACTCGCGTGCCGCTGCCATATTGCGTCGGATATCCGGCCATAATAAAACAATTTTTAATTGTGTGTGCGCTGAATGAAGCATGCCAGAATTTCTTTTTATATATTCAAATACAAAAAATTATAGAATAATTGCTGGTATCTCTATTAGGAGGATATAATGATTTTTGGAGCACAAAATGACAACGTAATCGCCAACACTTTTCCAATATGGCGCAAATCTATGACGTCATATACTGTCCTATGTTTTGGAACTAATCACCAGTATAGCGTCGATTCATGACTTCATTTACATTGGACAGTACACTGGGTTCAATTTTGGAACATACCCATAATATACGTATGCCGTATAATGACACTCTGGTGTTATAGAATAGTAAAGTTACAGAGTAGTCACCAACGCTTCAGTACCTTTATTGTAGCAAAAGTTGTAATTCTATCGACATTACTCTTATGTATATGTTGCATTTATCGTATTTTGATTACTTTTTTAAGAAACAATAGGTTTAAAATAATTTTGCTAGTGAAACTTTTGTAATAAAGAACAATGTGTAATTTTGTTTGGAGCAAATTCCTAAAAAATAAATGAAGTTATAACACAAGGAAACCTAGCATTGTCACCAGTCTGCACAATTAGCAGTTGTAAGTTACTAAGTATTTAGATGTATAGAGCTTTTAAACTGTAATTTTGTAGAGAAAAAAAGATAAACAAATATTATGACCAACAGTGGTTGTTGTGGGGTTGTTAAAGTGCAAAGATTTATTTTCAATCAACTTAAAAAAAGAAGGAGGTTCTAAATGCGACTGTTTTTATGCGTATTACCTCATAACTTTTTTCTAGGTCAACCGATTTCATTCCATTTTTTAATGACAAGCTGGTGCTTCTCATATAAATTTTAACAAGATCCGACCAGTAGTATTTTAGTTACACTTAATAATACGTATTTAATTGACATCGACTACATTGATGATGTTCTCATTTTATTTATGTTGGAGTCAGTTATACAATTCTTTTTATGTTACCACTTGTAGACAACATATTTAAATTTACTTTGAGAAAAAAGATATTTACGTTTAAAAATTGGTTGAGTTAGGTGTGTTTAGTTTTCATGTTGGTATTCTGCGCAAGTGTAGTCCTTCTCGGTCGTGCACATTCTTGGTCCAACCATAATAAGCTGTAACTGGTCTCAACTATAGTATGTGCCAAATCGATTGAGAAAAACGGACAAATTTTTTTTGCTGTTAAATGAATAAAGTACTTCATAACAATAGATGATATTTCTACTACAGCGATCTTTTACATAACTTTTTAATAATAGTTAATATATATATATATATATATCAATCATTACAAAAAAATCATGATAAATAAAGAAAGTACTACATAAGTGAATATATTGAAGATTTGTAACCCCTGGTTAAACGACCGATAGGTCATTGTCCGTTTTTCTCAATCGATTTGGCACATACTATACGTAAATCCTGATTACTTACGTAATGAATCTGATTTATCATAAGACTTTAGTAATAAAAAAAAATAGTAATAACAGGCGAGAGAGCCACACTATTATAATAGAGACAAATATTAAAGCCTATTTATGCAATGAAACTAGACAGACTTACTTTGGCTTAAACTACAAACCAAAATCTGTACTTTGTAATTGCATTGTTCACGCACCTCCATCGGCTCAACGGTGACATTGGCAGTGATGATAGTTTGACCGTGTGCGTGCTTGTCGTCGTCCACGAGCATGGCGTCGAGCGCCGTGTCGGATGGGTCGGTGGGCTCGCGCTGCTCGAGGCTGGACTCGGCGGGCTCAGCGTTGGGCTCGACGGGCTCGCTAGGTGTGAACAGGCGCGCCAGCTGCTCGTGGACGCGGCGCTCGCCCGCCCGCGGCGTCGTCGCACCGCGCTCGCGAACACGTTCTAGTAGACCCTGGGAATAATGTCATTAACGCACGATTAGTCAAGTTATAAGAATAAGGGTAACAATAATAATAAGAATAATGTCCCTCCAGACCGAATTTCGGTCACGGCGGCCAGTCTCAATGGATACTATTGCCATCTGCACAGGACAGGATTATAGTAGTAAGTGTATGTGCAAGCACAGGTGCACTCCATCCCCTCACTCTCATAGTCCGATGAGGGACGGCTTAACGTGCTTTTCGAGGCACGGATATGAATGAAACACCGTCAAATTCCTGATACCAGGCTACTACTGAGAACTGACAGAAACCCCAATGGTCTGGCCCGGGATTATATATATATAATAATCCGCCGTGTAGTGGCGGTTGAGAATATCCACTACCCCATATCTTCCCGTGGGTGTCGTAAAAGGCGACAGAGGGAGACAGGCAGGAGATGGGCAGCAGCATCTTCCTGATAACAACTGTGACGTAATAAAAAACTGCGGTTGCCAACCCGCTCGCCAAGCGTGGCAACTATGGCAAATACCCCCCAATGAATAAATACACAAACAGACGGCCCCCAGTCCCCGGCGGCCCCGCTATTCCTGGCTACGGTGGCGACCATGGTAACGGCGGGGCAGGGGGTGCTAAGAATCTCCGGTGGAGGTTCGGTTGCCACCTACGACGACTCGACCTGGCAACATATAACGCACGCACCCTGAGGACTGACGAGAAGATACTAGAGCTGGAAGAAGAGGTAGACAAGTTGCGCTGGCATATTATTGGATTATCCGAGGTCCGAAGAGAGGGGGAGGACACGGCAATCCTCGAGTCCGGCAACTTGTTCTATCACCGGGAGGGCGACCATCTGTCCCAAGGAGGTGTCGGATTTATCGTCCACAAGTCTCTCGTCAACAACGTTGTAAAGATTGGGAGTGTGTCGACGAGGGTCGCGTACCTGATACTCAGAATCACCAAACGGTATTCGCTGAAGATCATTCAGGTTTACGCACCAACCTCGGCACATCCCGATGAGGAGGTGGAGGAAATGTATGAGGATATTTCCAGAGCCATACATTCCTCCAAAACCCACTACACGGTGTTGATGGGAGACTTCAACGCAAAACTAGGCACAAGAGAAAGCGGTGAGCTGAAGGTAGGGAAATTTGGAGTAGGGCAACGGAACCGAAGGGGCCAGCAGCTGGCCGACTTTATGGAGAAAGAGGGACTCTTTATGATGAACTCTTTCTTCCAGAAGCGGCCCCACAGGAAGTGGACCTGGTCGAGCCCCGACGGTTCGACAAAAAATGAGATTGACTTCATTATGACGACCAGACGCCAACTGTTCAGTGATGTCTCAGTGATCGCAAGGGTGAAAACTGGCAGCGATCACCGAATGGTTAGAGGCACACTGAACCTAAACGTTAAGTTGGAGAGGTCTCGTCTAATGAAGTCAACGCTCCGTCCCCCTCGTGCTCTAATCCAGAATCCCGAAACCTTTCAGCTCGAGTTACGTAACCGCTTCCAGTGCCTAGAAGATTGCAATGCAGTGGACGATATGAACGACAAGCTCGTGGAAACTGTCCATGCGGTCGGAGCTAAGTTCTGCAAGACCCGCCGCAGAAGAACACAAAAACTCTCCGATCACACTCTTAATCTCATGGCTGTTAGACGGGAGATGAGGCTGCAATCGTCAACAGATTTGACAGCATACAGGCAACTGAACAGACAGATCTCCAAATGCATGCGGCGAGACTTACGCAACTTTAATACTTCTCGTATTAAAGAAGCGATCGAGCGGAACCAGGGCTCCAAAGTCTTTGCCAGAGATCTGTCTGCCAGAAAGAGCCAACTGTCAAAGCTGAAGACTGAGTGTGGCAACATCGTTTCCGGGACACCTGAGATTTTGAGTGAGATTGAGAGGTTCTATGGGCAGCTGTACACATCATCGTTGGAGCCACACGTAAGTGTGAGTAACGATCCAAGAGCAAGTCTTATCCGACACTATTCCGATGATATCCCGGACGTCAGTCTGAGCGAGATTAGAATGGCTCTCCACCACCTTAAAAACGGCAAGGCCCCGGGCGAGGATGGAATTACAGCGGAGCTTCTGAAAGCGGGTGGAAAACCGGTACTTGAAGTCCTTCGGAAGCTCTTCAATTCCGTCCTCCATGGTGGCACTACTCCGGAGGCGTGGAGCAGAAGCGCGGTGGTTTTGTTCTTTAAGAAAGGCGACAACGCTCTCTTGAAGAACTACAGACCGATTTCCCTTCTGAGCCGCGTCTACATGCTATTTTCGAGAGTCATTACGAATCGTCTCGCACGCAGACTCGACGACTTCCAGCCTCCCGAACAAGCCGGTTTCCGAAGAGGCTTCAGTACCATAGACCACATACATACCCTGCGGCAGATTGTACAGAAGACCGAAGAGTACAATCTGCCACTTTGCCTGGCATATGTGGACTATGAGAAAGCCTTTGATTCCGTCGAAATTTGGGCGGTGCTACAGTCCCTTCAGCGGTGCCAAGTTGACTGTCGGTACATCGAAGTGCTGAAGTGTTTGTACAGTAGGGCTACGATGGCTATCCGAGTACAGAACCAGAGTTCGAAACCTATCCAACTGCAGAGAGGTGTAAGACAGGGTGATGTTATATCCCCGAAACTCTTCACCGCTGCGTTGGAAGACGTTTTCAAGCTACTGGACTGGAAAGGATACGGTATTAACATCAATGGCGAGTACATCACTCACCTTCGATTTGCCGACGATATAGTCATTATGGCAGAATCGCTGGAGGACTTAAGCATTATGCTCAATGACCTCAATAGTGCCTCCCAACGGATAGGTCTTAAGATGAACATGGACAAAACAAAGATCATGTTTAATGTCCATGTCACACCTATGCCGGTAGTTGTTGGGAGCACTATGCTCGAAGTTGTTGACGAGTACGTTTACCTGGGACAAATAGTCCGACTAGGTAAGTCCAACTTCGACCGAGAGGTCAATCGACGGATTCAACTCGGCTGGGCAGCGTTCGGGAAATTACGACATATCTTTTCGTCAGGTATACCTCAATCTCTAAAAACTAGATTGTACAACCAGTGCGTGTTGCCAGTGATGACTTACGGATCTGAGACGTGGTCCTTCACTGCTGGCCGTATGAGGACGCTTAAGGTCGCTCAGCGAGCTATGGAGAGGGCTATGCTTGGAGTTTCTCTGCGTGATAGACTCAGAAATGAGGATATCCGCAGTAAAACCAGAGTGATCGACATAGCCCAACGGATTAGTAAGCTGAAGTGGCAATGGGCCGGCCATATAGCTCGAAGAACCGATAACCGATGGGGAAGAAAGGTTCTCGAGTGGCAGCCTCGTACCGGTAGGCGTAGTGTAGGGCGACCCCCCACTAGATGGAGTGACGACCTGGTAAGACATGCAGGAAGTCGATGGATGCAGGTGGCTCAGGACCGTGCTTTGTGGCATTACTTGGGGGAGGCCTATGTTCAGCAGTGGACTTGTGAAGGGCTGTAATGATGATGATGATGATATATATATATATATATATATATATATATATATATATATATATATATATATATATATATATATATATATATATATATCCTTCAATTAAGAATCGAAATGCAGATACAAATTCACCTCTGAGGTCTAAGTTGGAATTACTTATTTATCTATTAGTTAAGTAATAAATTAGAAATTCCATTTTATGAATAATGGGTTCCCTATGAGAAAAATTTGGATACCTCAGTCTCCCATGACCACAGAGTACACTATATCGCTGAAAATTAACTTTTAATAAAAAGTAAAAGTCACCTTAAAAAAACTAAACAAAAATAAACTTTTTAAATCGGTGCTACGTCATAGTGCCTATGTCTCATAAGAGAATTAAAGCCTCTATTTCAGAATGTGAAATTATTTCGAAATTGAAGTTGTAAGCCTCCTCTTTTATTAAAGTCGGCTCAAAACGTCGAAATATCGAAATTTGAAATATTTTTAACACGATCATATTTGTAAAAATTCAACAGTTGAAAGTGTACCTAGTATTTGCTTGAAAGAAAATCATTATTAATGAGCTCTGATAAACACGTTTGAATATTGTGCAGATCAATTTACTAATCCAAAATCTATAATGTGATATATCGCATAATATTATGACCTAAATGAGATTTGTAAAGAATATTGATTTTTACCAGAAAATGATCCTCGTGGAAGAATGTTGTTCCCATCAGACGATCCAGAAAACGGCAGTCTTTGTAGAGATTCAGAAGCTTCCTCATTATCTATTAGGAAAAATAATACCATACTGAGTAAAGTTCTATTACAGTAATAATAATAATGTCCTCCAGACCGAATTTCCTCCACGGCGGCCTGCCTCAACGGAGGCTAGCCGTCGGCTCAGGACAGTATTATAGTGCCCAAGTGTATGCGCAAGCACAGGTGCACTCTCTATTCCCTCACTCTCATTGTCCGATGGGACGGTGAACCGACACGACCGGAGAGAGATCAGGCGCAGGACCCACGGCTTTACGTGCTTTCCGAGGCACGGGGGTGCGACACCGCCAACTTCCAGACTCCGGGCAGCTACTGAGAATTTCTTGACAGAAAAACTCAATAATAGATTTTTTGGCCTGACCCGGGATTCGAACCCAGGATCTTGTGATCAGCAGTCGCACTACTACAACCACTAGACCAACGAGGCAGTTTATATCACAGTAAAAAGTAAATGATTAATGTACAGATTTTTGGTTGAAAATCTGCAAGTCTAATAAAAGTTATAAGACTTGCAGGTTTTCAACCAAAAATCTATATAAGTTATAAAATAAAAGTAAATAAAATATATATAAATAATAAAAGTAAATATATATAATAAATAATAAAAGTAAATATATATAAGTTTTATTAGGAATGACTAGGTTCGCACAAACTCTAAATTGCATTGTACTACGCGTTCATTTCAAGTTTGCCGTCGTCGACCGTTATGATATCACAGCTGACGGTACCGTAGACAAAAAAATTATCATTTATCATTAGCCAAAAAGTTTATCTATAATATCACATAAATATGATGACGATTTTTTTGTTAAATTGAGCAAAACTAAGTAAGTAGTCTGTTGTCCTATACACAGAAATTGAGAGCAAACAAGTAGATAAAATGCATATTTTAAAATAATTTATTTAGTAAAGTGAAATAATAACAGTGAATAGGAACGTGTCCGATACAATTAAAAAATATTATAATTAAATTTTTTATAGTTTTATTTTACATTTAAAACATTTCAAATACGTAAAACTTTACGAAGGCGCTGCTAACGGTACTAATAAGGCGACGCTTGAGGTGCGGAGTGAAGAAGCGCGGCGAGAGCATTCTTGGAATGAACAAATAGTATATTCCGATTTCAAAGTTTATTTGTAGTAAAATATCTGTGAGTTTAATTCTAATTTTTGTTCGTATTTTGCTTGCTTGGTAGTTATTTCAAGATAAGATTGCCACACTAATCTCTAGATGATTATTATTTAGACTATTAGGGAGACTAGTAGGGAGAATCTGTCTCCCTACAACGGGGGACTCTTATGTTCTGCAGGGAATCTTTACGCGCTGATGAATATTTATTTCAACCAACTACCTGGTTTTATTACACGACACTGGTAGTGGACCCATAACTTTAAAGGTTTTTGCAGTTATAAAATTGTCTCATCACCAGTAAAAGTCTTCAAGGTGCGTGTTAATGGGCTTTTCCTGGGCAAACTTGCTCCATCATAGATTTCATCTTTGCCCCGGGCCAGATGTAGGTCAAGAGTGAGTATAGTAGGTGTAAAGCAACAGTTGACAACGGATATTTATCCAAAGCAGCCGATACGCAACCGTTGTCAACCAGTTTTTTATCCGACAACAGATGAAAAGGGATGGTTACGATTTTACTGTGTGTGCGGGTAGCTAAGCTGAATCGCTTTTTACAATGGTGCTTAAAAACTACTTACTTGACCGATTTAAAAAAAATCTTTCACCATTAGAATTCCATTATGACTGTGAAACGTAGGATGCATTTTATTATAGAGGGCGCTACTATCAACGAATATGTTTTTTTAGCTAAACTCGTAGAGTACTTGATCGATTTTGAAAATTCTTACACCACTAGAATGTTATTTATATTTATAAATGTCTAATGTAGGATGCATTTTATTATAGAGGGTGCTACTTTCTATGATTTTTTTTTGGCTAATCTCGAAAAGTACTTGATCGAATTTGAAAATTCTTTCACTGTTACATTGCTAATGAGGGCGTTAGTTGTGTGATAAAATTATATTATTATAAACATTATTTGAGAGATAAATAAAAGCAAAAACCTACCTAAGATGATCAACTCCAGTTATTTTTACAATTTAAGAATCGTATTTACACACTTTACCTACTCAGGTTTATTGTTATAGATAAAGGTAATAAATATGAAATAAAAGAGCTCCGCTTAAAAGGAAAAATAATTAATAAAATAAAACTAAAAGTTTAAAAAAGTGGCCCAGTTCGAGTCGGACTCGCAAGCCTATGAAGAGTTTATTTATTTATTTATTTATTAATTCTTTATTTGCGCAATATGGGTACAGATGGTGTTACAGTGGTCAATTTACATTGTTGATCGCCATATTTAGGCTCATGCCATGCAAAAATTCTTAATTTTATGCTATAGATTAAATTAAAATTATTACATATCAAATCATAGTGTCTAAATAATTATTAAAATAATGTCAAATGAGATTACCTAATTAATACACAATGTCAACTTTGTAAAATAATGTCACATAAAATGTCTAATTAATGTCACAGTACCACTAAGCCGGTTACAATACTGCATCTATTAATTTGTCTTCAAGAAATTCCCTTACCGAATAATATGATTTTTCTAAAAGTAGTGTCTTCACTTTTTTTTTAAATAAATTATTATTTGAAATTTCAAGCAGAGAGTTGGGTAAATGAATTATACACTCTCGGAATCATACAAAATACACTGCTGTTTAAAAGTTTAGTTTTGTTATACATGAAGCTTATTTGGAAAGGGTGTCTCTTGCTTTTTAATTTAACAAATAAGTTACTATTATTTCTTACAAATAGCACCATATCCAGTATATAAATACAGGGTAGTGTCAATATTTTAATCTTTGAAAATATCGACCTACAGCTCTCGGTTTGTTTCATTCTGTATATAGCCCGAACGCATCTCTTTTGCGCCCTAAAGACCAACTCTTTTCCCACAGAGTTGCCCCAAAACATAACACCATACATTAAAAGAGGAGTAACATGTCCATGGTAATCCGTTAAAACTGTGGATGTACTGGCAGTTTTGGACAACATGTAGATCGCATATGAGTATTGATTAAGTTTCGAACACAACATCTCTGTATGTGATTTCCAGTTTAGTTGAGAATCAATGTTTAGTCCCAAAAATTTTATTGTCTCTATTTCTTCAATTTTTATTTGTGTATAGTAGATTTTCATGTCCGTTAGTTCCGTAGTAACAAGCATAGATTCTACAGCGGGCATTACCACTATCATTATCGCCATCAAAAAATTACTTTTTTCATAGTGTTTGTATAAATGACAAAGTTGTATTTGCGGTTCTTGAAAATGTACTACTTGTATCTCAAAAAAAAAAATGGACTTTTATACATTATAGGGCTTTCTGTGGTTTATTCATTACCTACGCGCGGCGTCATTCCCCGTTCACTCTTTTATAGCTTAAAGGAACTAGATATCCATAAACTTACCTTTATATCACTACAGAAAGCCGCAATATTGAATACTTGCAGAATAGTTCGTAAGTTCCTGTCTAAAGATTAAACACTTAACCGATTTCGTTTGGCTAACAGCCCGCGAAAAAGGTTTAATACCTCGGTAACGAGAGACTACTAAACAAAACAAATAATAATAATAATAATAAAAATAAAATAATAATCGATACCGCCCGCATCGTCCGCCGGTTTCTTTCCCTTTCCTCCTAACACTCGGCCGTTTGGTCTCCCCTGCCGAGGGCTTCCATCTGGTTGAATCTTACTTATTTATGTATTTTTTGTATTTATTTTATTTTATTGATATTTATCCTTTCATTTTAATTTGTAATTATATATTTATAGAACCCAATCAGATGAGAAAACTGTATAGATAACCCAAAAATAATAATAAATAAGAAGAAATAAGCAATAGAGAAGTTGTTCGTGTGGGTACCTCTTGGCTCTGCAGCGTGGGGTGCTTGGCGAACATCTCCTCGAGGCGGCGCATGGCGACGCGGCCGCGCTCGATGTGCGCAGCCACGCGCGGCTCCAGCAGCCGCGGCACCGCGCCGCCCCCCGCCCCCCGCACCGCCCGCGCCTCCCGCCTGCTCAGGCGCTGTCTCCTCGCTCGGGCTGTTGCCTAGCACTGACGATATTTTACTAACATATTCCAGACTATCACGTCTACTGAACATAGCACTTTCTCATAAATTGTCTCAGAGAGGGGATAATATTCCCAATCCCCCATTTGACTACTGTCGTGAACCACTCCTAACATAAGCGTTTCAAGCTTACCAGGAGTGGTTAAAAGAAATATTAGTAATGTAAATTTATAATATTACTAATATTTCTTTTAAAAGAAAAAAAAAAGAAAAATGAATATTTTTCATAACTCCCACGCTTGGTAGAGCTGTTTCGTATTTGTGTAAGTTGTTATCAGGAAGATTCTGCTGTTTTATTTCCTTTTATCGCATCTTACGACACTTACAGTATGATATGGAGTAGTGAATCTTACGTCGCCACTACACGATGAACACACTGCGTGTGATATCGCAAATCACAGCACATCCAGTTGATTTGTACGAGCCGACCACGTGTTACAGACCACCGCCCGCACCACTCATACCCACGAGCGGTATATCACCATGACAGACCGAGACATACGAGTTCCATAAAGTTATTTGAAGCTACTTTTCATAAAGAATAAAAAAAATCGGAAGTTGTTCATTGGTCCTCCAATAAGTACGTGTTGAGCGCTCTAGTCACCACGAGTATTGTCGTGCCAAGCCTTTGAAGTTACCGACTTTAAGCGTATCGGAAGCACTCTCTAGATAGAGTGTAGGTTGGAAATCGATAGATGCACGTGGCTAAGGATCGTTCTTTATGGTATTTTTTGAAGGAGGCCTATTTTCAGCAGTGAACCTGTGAAAGGGTGCAAAGATGATTATGATGATTAAGACGGAGGAACAAGATAATGACAATTTTTAGTTGTTTGGTGATTTTCGACAAACAAGAAACTAAACCTAGTCAACGTGTTAGATTGTAAAAGGACTGGATACTTTTTATTCTACAAAATATGGCATGAAAAAAAGCTATTATATTCAGATGTTCAAAAAAAATATAATTTTTTGAACATCTGAATATAACTATATGACTGTACTTTTTTGATAACATGCCTCCTATTTAGGCCGCGAGCGTTGCACTTACTTTTAACGTAACGAACTAACAAACGATCAGTGCATTACCATCAAGGAAAACAACGACATCTAATTTAATTTTTTGTACCTAGTTATAATTTAATAAATTTTTATTTCTACAGTCTTTCTCTTTGCACTCAGTTACTACCTCAAAAGTACGGAACCACAACTTCGATATACAACATTTGTAAAAGTGTACGGTGCGTGACGTATTGTACCTGGCAGGCTGATCTTCCTGCGTCCGTGCTGCAAGTGCAGCACGTGGTGTGGAGGCGGCTGGTGCGCGGGGGTGGTGTGCGGCGCGAGGGGCGTGGGCTGCGCGGGGGGAGCGGGGGGTGCGGCGTCCGGCGTGCGCGGCTCGTCGCGCGCAGAGCTCTGCGTCTCCCACGAGTCCTCAGACCCCGACCCCTCCGAGCCCCACAGCTCACCCTCCTCCGAGTCATATTCACCCACCTAATGTTTTGTTTGTAGAATATTAGCATGACAAGCGATCTAACACCCTTTTAATGGAAATGAGGCATTTCATCTTAGTCCTCACGGGTGACAACGCATCTGCATTTTGATTCGTAATCGAAGATAAATGTAGATGTCTATGGGCCACAGCAACTACTTACCATCAGGTGGACTGTGTGCTCGTTTGTCACCCTATATAAAAAGAAAAAAAAACCTAACAGTTCACTTGATGATAAGTAAAACGCATACAGCCGACTTCAAAAAAAGCCTTTGACAAATGCGTGGTCACCCCTGACGAGTGAGACGGAATCCCTGATAGCAGTTTATGTACAGCTATTTGACGACAGATATTCTCTATTTTTAAAAAGAGGTCCTACCACTTATTGAATATTCTATAGTAACAACCTACAAATATATGTCCCATTAGTAAGCACTGGCCTGCAATATTCCAGAGATATCCTGAGAGAATTCAAATTCAAAAAGAGTTTTTTTTTTTAAGTAAATATTTATTTTAAAGTGAAACGTACGGTCTGCTCTCAGCCATTTTCTAGCGAGATGGCGGTGAAGTCATATTTTTTAGTTTATTTGGGTTTTTGTGTAATTGGAACATTATTAAGTCGTAGAAGTAGCTATCGCGGTAATCGGACATTATACTTTATTTTACTAGGTCATATCATCATCTTCATCTTCATTACAGCTCTTCACAAGTCCACTGCTGAACATAGGCCTCCCCCAAGTAATGCCACGAAGCACGGTCCTGAGCCACCTGCATCTATCGACTTCCAGCATATCTTACCAGGTCGTCACTCCATCTAGTGGGGGTCGCCCTACACTACGCCTACCGGTACGAGGCTACCACTCGAGAACCTTTCTTCGCCATCGGTTATCGGTTCTTCGAGCTATATGGCCGACTCATTGCCACTTCAGCTTACTAATCCGTTGGGCTATGTCGGTCACTCTGGTTTTACTGCGGATATCCTCATTTCTGAGTCTATCACGCAGAGAAACTCCGAGCATGGCCCTCTCCATAGCTCGCTGAGCGACCTTGAGCGTCCTCATACGCTAGTTTTTAGAGATTGAGGTATACCTGACGAGAAGATATGTCGTAATTTCCCGAACGCTGCCCAGCTGAGTTGAATCCGTCTATTGACCTCTCGGTCGAAGTTGGACTTACCTAGTCGGACTATTTGTCCCAGGTAAACGTACTCGTCAACAACTTCGAGCATAGTGCTCCCAACAACTACCGGCATAGGTGTGACATGGACATTAAACATGATCTTTGTTTTGTCCTTGTTCATCTTAAGACCTATCCGTTGGGAGGCACCATTGAGGTCATTGAGCATAGTGCTTAAGTCCTCCAGCGATTCTGCCATAAGGACTATATCGTCGGCAAATCGAAGGTGAGTGATGTACTCGCCATTGATGTTAATACCGTATCCTTTCCAGTCCAGTAGCTTGAAAACGTCTTAAAATGCAGCGGTGAAGAGTTTCGGGGATATAACGTCACCCTGTCTTACACCTCTCTGCAGTTGGATAGGTTTCGAGCTCTGGTTCTGTACGCGGATAGCCATCGTAGCCCTACTGTACAAACACTTCAGCACTTCGATATACCGACAGTCAACTTGGCACCGCTGAAGGGACTGTAGCACCGCCCAAATTTCGACGGAATCAAAGGCTTTCGCATAGTTCACATACGCCAGGCAAAGTGGCAGATTGTACTCTTCAGTCTTCTGTACAATCTGTCGCAGGGTATGTATGTGGTCTATGGTACTGAAGCCTTTTCGGAAACCGGCTTGTTCGGGAGGCTGGAAGTCTTCGAGTCTGACTGATTCGTAATGACTCTCGAAAACAGCACGTAGACGCGGTTCAGAAGGGAAATCGGTCTGTAGTTCTTCAAGAGAGCGTTGTCGCGTTTCTTAAAGAACAAGACCACCGCACTTCTGCTCCACGCCTCTGGAGTAGTGCCACCATGGAGGACGGAATTGAAGAGCTTCTGAAGGACTTCAAGTACCGGTGTTTCACCCGCTTTCAGAAGCTCCGCTGTAATTCCATCCTCGCCTGGGGCCCTGCCGTTTTTAAGGTGCTGGAGAGCCATTCTAATCTCGCTTAGACTGACGTCCGGGATATCATCGGAATAGTGTCGGATAAGACTTGCTCTTGGATCGTTACTCACACTTGTGTGTGGCTCCAACGATGATGTGTACAGCTGCCCATAGAACCTCTCAATCTCACTCAGAATCTCAGGTGTCCCGGAAACGATGCTGCCACACTCAGTCTTCAGCTTTCACAGTTGGCTCTTACTGGCAGATAGATCTCTGGGAAAGACTTTGGAGCCCTGGTTCCGCTCGATCGCTTCTTCAATACGAGCAGTATTAAAGTTGCGTAAGTCTCGCCGCATGCATTTGGAGATGTCTGTTCAGTGCTGTCAAATCTGTTGACGATTGCAGCCTCATCTCCCGTCTAACAGCCATGAGATTAAGAGTGTGATCGGAGAGTTTTTGTGTTCTTCTGCGGCGGGTCTTGCAGAACTTAGCTCCGACCGCATGGACAGTTTCCACGAGCTTGTCATTCATATCGTCCACTGCATTGCAATCTTGTAGGCACTGAAAGCGGTTACGTAACTCGAGCTGAAAGTTTTCGGGATTCTGGATTAGAGCACGAGGGGGACGGAGCGTTGACTTCATTAGACCAGACCTCTCCAACTTAACGTTTTGGTTCAGTGTGCCTCTAACTATTCGGTGATCGCTGCCAGTTTTCACCCTTGCGATCACTGAGACATCACTGAACAGTTGGCGTCTGGTCGTCATAATGAAGTCAATCTCATTTTTTGTCGAACCGTCGGGGCTCGATCCACTTCTGTCCAATCCAATCCAGGTCCACTTCCTGTGGGGCCGCTTCTGGAAGAAAGAGTTCATCATAAAGAGTCCCTCTTTCTCCATAAAGTCGGTCAGCTGCTGGCCCCTTCGGTTCCGTTGCCCTACTCCAAATTTCCCTAACTTCAGCTCACCGTTTTCTCTTGTGCCTAGTTTTGCGTTGAAGTCTCCCATCAACACCTTGTAGTGGGTTTTGGAGGAATGCATGGCTTTGGAAATATCCTCATACATTTCCTCCACCTCCTCATCGGGATGTGCCGAGGTTGGTGCATAAACCTGTATGACCTTCAGCGAATACCGTTGGGTGATTCTGAGTATCAGGTACGCGACCCTCGTCGACACACTCCTAATCTTTACAATGTTGTTGACGAGAGACTTGTGGACGATAAATCCGACACCTCCTTGGGATAGATGGTCGCCCTCCTGGTGATAGAACAAGGTGGCGGATTTGAGAATCACCGTGTCCTCCCCCTCTCTTCGGACCTCGGATAATCCTATAATATTCCAGCGCAACTTGTCTATTTCTTCCTCCAGCTCCAGGATCTTCTCGTCAGTCTTCAGGGTGCGTGTGTTAAATGTTGCCAGGTCGAGTCGTCGTAAGTGGCAACCGAACCTCCACCGGAGATTCTTAGCACCCCCTGCCCCGCCGTTACCATGGTCGCCACCGTAGGAGATGGGCAGCAGCATCTTCCTGATAACAGCAACTGTACGACAAAAAAAACTGCGGTTGCCAACCCGCTCGCCAAGCGTGGCAACTATGGCAATATACCCCCCATGAACAACTAGGTCATACCATTACCTCAAAATTCACACAAATCGACTTAAAGCTCTAAAATAACATCTGTCATTAAATGTAGTGTACAAACCGGGGTGAATTCTTGTCCCTACGTTTACGAAGATTGAACACTAGATGGCATGAATGAAGAAAATGTATTTTTATTTCTGTATGGCAGAACTACATAACGCCTTCTGCTACGATATATATTATAAACTGTTACGAGCTTAGGGTTCGTGACAATAAAAACTTCCACCAATTAAAACTTAAAACACACTAATAATTAATCACACAACACTTTAGTTCACTTTATTTCGCTTCGAAGCTTCGCTTGTATCGCCAAATCAATACTGCCCCGGTCGCGCTCCTTACCGATTTTATATAGAACCTTTTCCACCGAAAATATCTAAAATGTTGCAGTAGAATGTTGAAAGTTCCAGCATAGAATCCTCCAGAAAGCCCTCGCCACTCGATATTAGATGGCGCTAGTGGGAGAGTACTAGAAAGATCTTGAGGCTCCCATTTTTGCTACTTGATATTAGATGGCGCTAAAAACGGGTGATGATTCATCATCAGCCTAGCCTTTTTCCCAACTATATTAGGGTCGGCTCCCAGTCAAACCGGAGTCACAGTTTCGTCCCAAATCTGATTGAAGTATCAAAGTATGGGAGCTACTCAATGAACCTGTAATATTGTTTGAGGGGAGCCTTATGGTGGAGGTGGAGGGTCAGTAATGATATTGGAGCTACACATTGTGAACTACTACTACCCATTGTGAGTGTGAAGTCATTGAGTACGTACATAATTGGAGATATCATTCTTTAATGCAAAATCATTTCTTGATTCAATTCTAAAAAGGTAATTTCGTTTATGGTAGAAAGGTATAAATTTAAGTTTTTTGAGGTTCTGTACCTAGCAGTTTTTAATATGCCATAATAAAAACAGTCATCAGTAACGTCGTTGAAATGTTAAAAAATAATTATAATTTTATTTATTGTGACGGTCCTAAGCCCGTTTAAAGTACGATGGGAAAATTGGAATAATAATTCGCGACGTGTAGTTATTAACTTAGTAGCGAGCGTGTTATTAAGAAAGTAGATGGTCATAAGCTCCGTGCATTTGAATCGTACGCTGTAGTTGTTGCCCATAAATCACATTCAATTTCGGATATTTTCAAACAAATGTAGAGACATTGTGTACGCGTATTTTTAATAACTGAAGAAGTGCATATCAGTATTGAAATAATACTAGTTTTTACGGAATTTATCGCGTATATTTAACTTTTTAAATACCCGACGTTTCGAACGCTTTACAGCACTCATGGTCACGGGCGGGACTGACTGATGTTCAATGTCCATATGTCATAGTTAACCGCGGTTACCATAGATTAAAATTTAACTTTTGTTCCGATCTATGCAGTATGAACTTATGGTATCTTGAAGTCTTGCAGTTGTATGCTTGGGTTGGGATTTAATTTTATTTATTATCGGATCCCAAGCAGATGGTAGCACCCAGCCATCTTCTCTATTGAAATTAGGATGTTTTTTGATTTCAATAGCCTCGCGAATCATCCTTGGAAGAAATCGGTGTTCTTTAGCGAGGATTTGCGGTCTATCAAATCTGATGTAGTGACGGGGGCGATCCTGTACGTGTTCACAGACTGCAGACTTCCCGGAGCAGTCTGTGAACACGTACAGGATCGATGAACATCTCAGTCCCGCCCGTGACCATGAGTGCTGTAAAGCGTTCGAAACGTCGGGTATTTAAAAAGTTAAATATACGCGATAAATTCCGTAAAAACTAGTATTATTTCAATGTGTAGTGTTCGCGTAAATATAAGAAATCATTATGCATATCAGTATTTATATTTTGAATTTAATTATTAAATTTGGATAGTCATAATAACCCTGTATACGAGACGACATGTCTATATTCCGATTGTCTTTCTGAAACATAAGAGCAGTGATAATGACCGTACCCGACTAACTATTCCTAACTAACAAACAGTTTCTAGGGACGTTATATTCCGCGATTTTTATGTTTAACGGTTACTGGCGATGGAAGAGCAGCAATAATCACTACCGTATAACATAGTGTGAGATTGGGACAAAATTTCTAAAGAATAAATAAAATATTTTGTTCAATTACCTTGTACAAATCTTGAGGCCAACACATGCTTGTGTGACCATCTACCCACCACACCTTTACGCGACCAGACGGGAAGTTGTCTATGACCTAGAGAAAAACAAGATCAATATATTAATGTGAACATCGAAAATCTATATTAACATTTATCACACAACATATATTAGCAAATAGGTCAGATCGGGAGTACCCTAAACCGACGAGCGTGAATGCATAAATATGGAAATAGTGAATCATAAAGAAGCGAGAGAATTGTGTCAGGATTGTGCCAAATGAAAGTCCGTAGTCTCTACCTACCCCTCTGGGTGAGTGTTTATGGTGGTGGGTGAGTGTTTATGTTTGTATGTTTATGTATTTATCATACAGGAAGAGGAATGAAATATATAATAGGAATTATGTTTTTATACAAATTATGGCTCCAACTGGGTTTGAAACCAGATTTCTTCGCATCGTAGTGAGAATGAGATAAAATAACCACTAGTACACTCAGCAGTTAAGACGACACATCGAAAAAGTGGCTCCAGGCCATCGCCGTACTGATCCGAGTGAATACATAATTTCTATAAAAACTTGAAAAAACGCCGTCATAAGGTCTGAAATTGCGTAGCGCTCGCGACGTTTAAAAACGCTTAGAAATTGTCAGAATCTTATTAAGTAATCAAAATAATGAACAAGTAAATTATGAATATTGATGTTATGAATATATTTGAGTGATTTCCAAGCATATAGATTAAGTAATTTCGTTGTAGTTTCAACTATAATGATTTTTTAGATGTGTTTTCGCAAATAATTCTGATTCTTTTTTTTTGTCTGATTTTAGTGTCTTTAATAATACTGGGTCAACAAACCTGTCCAGCGGTACAGTTGGCGTCTTCTCCCGTAAAATTGGCCACCCTGATAACCACGGTGCCGGGACGATATTGGAAGTCCGGGTGGTCTTTCAGGTCGTAGACACTCATCTCCGTTTCGTTTAACATTTGAGGCCTATAAAAACATTAAAATATTACATCGTATTTTGAAGTATGTATAATGAATAATTGCAAACACATACACTCACACTTACACTCAATACGCGCACTCACACCATACACACACACACATTACAATAAAATATCATTATCATTAACAACCATTAGTTTAATGAATAGCTAAATAGTATTAATTAATTAAAGTAATGGTTATATTGCGTGCACGACAGTACCCATGCGCAGCTAGTAGTAAAAGTAGGAAAGTAAGTCTGGCGCTGAATGAAACGTGGAGGTCCCCTCCACGTTTCATTCAGCGCTAGACTTACTTTAGGCGACTTGTAGTCGCTTCTATGCTGTTTCTTAAATAAGTTTTTTTTTTTTATTATTTTTTTTTTTTAATTTATTAGGGGGTTTTTATATTTATACTTTTTTTTTTTTTTATTTTTTTTTTATTTTTTTTTTAGCCATGCTGCAGTCATATTAGTAGTATAGTTGTAACACGCATGGCTCGTCTCGACCGGGGAAGGGCCACACTCTCACAGAACACCAGCGTCAAATAGTAGCTTAATGCTGCTGTGTTTCGTATGGTCATTGTAGAGAACCGGCGACCCTTTTTTACTGGAAAATAGGCATTCCATCTTAGTCCTCACGGGTAACAACGCATCTGCATCTTGATTCGTAATCGTGGACAGATGTAGATGTCTATGGGCCACAACAACCACTTACCATCAGGTGGACTGTGTGCTCGTTTGTCACCCCATCCTATAAAAAAAATAGTTACTTGGCCTTTATATGGAGTAGAAATAGAAATCTCAGTACAACTTACACAGGTTCATCTGCGCTAGTATAGGTGCGGTACCAGTTGACTATTGCTGTCCTTCCGTGATGGTCCACGCGTTGCACTACGCCGTATTCCCTGTGCTTTAACTGTAATCATATTTTTAAATAACAGCATCCAGTTACTTTCAAAAGAGGAAAGAAATAAGAAAATAACGTAACATAAACACTCACGCCTGTCACCCAGAGGGGTAGGCAGAGACTACAGACTTCCATTTAGCACGATCCTGACATACCTCTCTCGCCTCTTCCACATCCATATACCTACGCATACATGCTCGTCGGTTAAGGGTACTCTTAATTTGGCTTTAGTATATCGCCAATTTGGTCGAGAAACTTTCGCCTAGGACGTCCCTTTTCGACTCTTTCATTCACTTCTGCAACATATATTTGCTTTGTCAGTCTTTCCTCATTTATTCTTTCTACATGACCAAACCACCGAAGCATTCCTTTCTTAATCCTGGTCACCGCATCATCTTGCAAACCACACTCTTCTTTTATCACAGTTTCTCATCCTGTCACTCAGATTCAGCCCTAACATACTCCTTAGCGACCGCATTTCTACTGCATTTATTCTATTCTCGTGCTTCTTCTGCCACACCCAACTTTCACTACCATATGTTAAAGTAGGGATTAATACAGCATTGTGAATTGCCATACGTGTCTTTTTTGACACATTCTGACTTTTCACAATAGAGAAATAAGAAAATGAAAGCAAATATACGAAATTATGATCAGTTGGTGAAAAATTTAAGGATTATAGTTGTTGGCGACGTGAGATAACATCTCATTAAATTATTCAATTTTATAAGATGCTAATTTCTGAGAAAAATAAAGATATTTAAGCTAACTTAGAGTCATGTATTACATAGCAATCGGCTATGTAATACGCATTAAAAATTAAGAACATTTTATTTGCTTTAAGCACTTTGATTAATATTTACTTAACGTTTGATAAGTGATAACTGATAAGATATATCAATAATAAGTTAGATAAGGACAGTTTAATGCTAGTGTGAAATAGTGTATATATCAGATAAGGATAAGTATAAATATTAGAAAGGGATGGCAAGAGCCGCCTATAGAATCTCGAGAGTCGTGTAGAAATGAGTTTGTCAACGCACACCAGTGTCTAGCATTGCTGAAAATTAATGCAAAAAATATCAAAATATTGACTAAAGGTGACTGATATGTTATCATAAAAATATGAAATTACATGCAATGCATGTTCTAGATAGGTTCCATAGGACAATGAGATAAGAAATATGTTAAAAGTATTTCATGTTATTGATAAAATAGCGAAATAATAATTGAATTGTATAAGAAAAGTCATTTTAATTATGCTTAAAGGTTTTGATTCGTGAATTAAACTGTTATATTGTTTAAGATATGTGAAATTAGTAATGAGAATTGTATTAATAGTTTATATTCAACATTTAAGGTTTATGTCTATAAGAAATTTCATGTAAAACTGTGATTTTAGGAATTTTTTTATGGGTAATAAAGTTATGAGATAATAAATGGAAACGTGATAGTGAAAATTGCCGATTAGCTTAATTCAATATGGCATTGTGCGCACGGTTCTCCTTACGGTTTAGTTGCCGGGGTAGGTTACTAAGTCGCCCAATTTGCAATTCGTCGTATAAGGATCTCCTAGGTGTGCGTTACTTGCAGTATACAGTGGCTGCAATTAACCGCCGGTACGACATACTCCGCCGAACGTCGAGTCCCGTGATTCCGTGAGGCGTCGAGGTCACCGGCCCCTAGGTGATTCTTGGCACTTTATGCGTTTCGTGCATTCTGTGCCTAGTCGCGCATTAAAGTGCCACCTTTGCACTTCCCCCAAACCTTTCGTTGTGAAAGGGGTAGGCAGTGCCCATAGTGTAGAAAGTCTCTATAATATTATCACCACCATCCGCGTCGCGCATCAACACCTGCTGCCGATCGTTTGGAAGTTAGATAGGGCCGCAATTAGATTACCGCTGACACTGACTGGTAGGTTAGGATGTCAGGGAATGATAAGGGGGAACCTCCTCCGAGAGCAAGAAAACCACCGGATCGACCAGGCGTTTTGGATAGACCCATCGCCTATAGGGACATTTTTAACCCGGAGAGGATGAGAGTTGTCTCATCCTACTCCCAAATACCCACCCGGAAACCTTCGTCGCCGGGTAAGGAGTCCGCACCTAGGGTTGCACTCTCGCCCATCGTACCTGAGTGTACGACTGGGCGTGAACCGCTGCCCTCTCAGCCTCAGCGGGCCATGAAGACGCCACGAAGGCACACGCCTCCTGAGACCGAAGCCTCACTCTACGAGAAGAGGCAGCGTATTGGACAACCATCGGAATCATCATCAGCGTCTTCGGATGATGAAGAGCCCCAAGCGGAGACTAGGAAGAAGGTCCATACCTCACCTCCTAAGTCACCATCACCACCGCAACAGCCACCATCCATCTCACCGGACCGACGCAGTCACGACTCGGCCCAGTTTGAGCAAGGAGGTGAGGAGTCCTACAGCTGGGGCTCGACAACATATGCAACCCTAGCTGCATCAGCCGGAAAGTCATCTCCGGTACAAACTACCAACCCGTCCGGGTTAGCTCATGATGATGGACAGCGCCCATCAACGAGCTATGCCCACATGGCTGCAGCCCCGGCAGTACCACGACCGCAATCGGCGGAGCAACCTCCAACTGAGAAGGAAAAAGAGAAAAGATATCCGCCGATTGTCGCAGAATGCCTCCCGGACTGGACCAGGCACTTCAAGGCCCTCAACGAGAAGTTGGGCCATCCACCTAATGCCCGTCCGTTCGGGAAAGGAGTAAGGTTCACTCCACAGAGTCCGGATGAGTTCCGTACCATACAGAGGTACATGGTAGAACTCTCCGAAAAGGATAAATCAATGTCGTGGTATTGTTATACACCGGCAGAGGAGAAGCCCACTAAAGTGGGCATCCGTGGCCTGCCTGTGGGCACCGACACAAAAATGATTGAGGAGGCTATTCGGGCAAAAGGCTTCCCTATCAATTATGTGAAGGCTATACCACCACGTAGGGGCAGACCGGGCTGCCTCTACTATGCACAGCTGGAGCATCTGAGCCTGGAACGGCTGCAGCACCTTTACCAACTCGACGAGCTCCTCTACATGAGAGGAGTCGTCATCGAAGCCTGGCAGAGGAAGACCGGACCGGCACAATGCCACCGTTGCCAGGCTTTCGGACATGCCTCCGCTAATTGTTTCAGGCCAGTGAAATGCGTTCGCTGTGCCGGTGAACATATTGCCAGCCTTTGCCCAAGGGGTAGAGAGGAGGAACCAAAGTGCGCAAATTGCGCCAAGAACCACACAGCCAACGATCGCCGCTGCCCGGTCCTGAGGAGGATAGCCAGGAAGCAGGGGATCGTACTACCTGGGCTACTACCGGAGAACCCAAAGAGGATCCCCTCAAGTCGCCCAAAGGCCGTCACCATACAGGAGGACGGGTGGGCCACCATCACTAGGGGGAAGGGTAGGCAACCAGCCCCCCCCCCACCCCCCTCCTGCAGTACCATCAGAAACGGTTGGTCCCACAGATGAAAGGGCAACCACCGGGGCGACTCTCCGACCTCCCGCCAATGACGCCACTGAGAGGCAACCCTCCAGGAGGAAGAGGCGGAGGAACAGGAGCAAGAGAACGGAGCAGCCTCCTCCTCAGGCTGCAACCACCTCTACCCCTACGACTGTAGGACCAATAGCCTCCCAGGCGCAGGCTGCTACAAGAACACCAGCACCACCTACGGCAGGTAAAGCACCTGAAAGGGCCCTGCCAGAAAGCAGAGCTCGCTCTACGCACAGAGCGCGCTCAATGCAAAGGAAAACTACCACCAAAGCCCCGAGACCAGTGCCTTCACAGCGTAGTATAGATCGCAGACCACCATCGTCCGGCTTCGAGACGGCTGATGCCATCCATAGATTGGTAGGCATAGCCATCGAAGTCGGTACACAAGTCCTGGCCGACATAAGGGCCGGGACTGATCCAGTTACCGCCGTCATGAAGGCGCTGGCATCCTTACTGGCAAGGCACTATGGAGGATAGCAACCTGCGCCTGTTATATTGGAACCCGGACGGGATCCGTCAAAGGATCCATGAACTCCGCACTCTCACCCAGCAACAGGACATCCAGGTGATCTTGCTGGGTGAAACTAAATTAAGACCATCAACGCATCTTAAGCTGCCTAACTACCACATATACAGGAGGGACGAGGTCGATCCTCAAGGGGTCGCTTATAGAGGGACAGCGATCCTGGTGAGGAGAGACATCGTCCACCAGGAGCTGGAACTGCCAGACTTCCAGACGATGCGTTCCATCGGCATAAAAATGGAGGCGGCGGGCGAGGAACTTAGGATCTTTGCAGCATACCGCCCGCCAGGGACTCCATTTTACTCCTCAGACATCCGAACGGTAATGGAAGGCACAACACCCACCATCATCGCCGGGGACCTGAACGCCAAACACCCGGCGTGGGGGTCCAGAATGATCACCCCGCCAGGTCGTGAACTATACGAAGACGCTGAACACCACGACTATGACGTTCTAGGTCCCGAGGAACCGACGCATATTCCTAGCGACCATAGGAAGCGTCCGGATGTATTAGACATCGTGCTCACTAGGAACGTCAACTATCCAGTAGTGGTAGAAGTGCTGTATGACCTGAATACACAGCACCTCCTGATTCTGATAACCCTTGGCACTAAGGCAGTGACCTCACCGCCCAGAGCCAGTAAGACCAAGATCGACTGGAGGCTCTACCACCAACACCTGCAGGAGAGACCCCCAGTCCATACACCGATCACCTCAGCGGACGACGTAGAGGCCGCTGCAACCAGAATTTCCACGAGCATCAAGGAGGCCCTCAACGCGGCCTCTACGATCGTCCCTCTCTCGGGAAGGAAGGAGGAGCTGCCGCTAAAGATACGCGTGCAGCTAAATCATAAAAGAGCGCTGAGGAAGCTCTGGGCGCGTACCCGCTGCCCTAGAGTAAAGAGAAAATTGAACACCTTGTCAGACGAACTGTCGGTTGCAATACAGGCCCACAGAGGAGAGGCATGGGAGCGGCGCATATGGAAAGCTGATGAACAGCACGCGTCGCTCTACACATTGAACCGGCAGTTAACGAAAACTCGACCACCTGTTTGCTCGCTGACCAACAACGCGGGCATTCAATGTTACGATGCCAAGGGCAGAGCGGATATCCTAGCTGAGCACTTCGAGGAGCAGTTTATGCCGAACCCTACAAGTGCGGAGTTCCTGGAATCCCATTTACGGAAAGAAAGCCGCGTGCAGGAGCTCCTGTCGTCGCCCGCGCCACCGCTTGCAGGAGAGTGGTTTATCTCCCCCGCTGAACTGCGGAGGACAGTAAACCGCCTGCAACCGAGGAAGGCGCCGGGGCACGACGGGATTACTAATGCTGCACTACGACAGCTGCCCAATAGAGTCCTTGTAGAGATAGGTCGGCTCTACAATGGAATATTGCGGACATCCCACTTCCCGGAGGACTGGAAGAAAGGCAAAGTCATCGTCTTGCCGAAACCCGGGAAGGACAGGCGTAGAGCTGCCAACTATAGGCCGATCACGCTGCTACCGCATATAGCTAAACTGTGCGAAAGATTACTGTTAAGACGTCTCCGCCCGTGCATCCAACTTCGGGCGGAGCAACATGGATTCAGGAGGGGACACTCAACAGCAACACAGCTGACCAGAGTGCTGCACCTGCTTGCGGCCGAACACAACCGTGGCCGCATATCGTTGGGCGTCTTTCTCGATATCGAGAAAGCGTTCGACCGGGTGTGGCACATAGGATTACTCTATAAATTAGATGTGCAAACAAGTATCCCTCCTGCTATATTGCGGCTAGTGGCGTCTTTCCTGGAAGCCAGGAAGTTCTACGTCTGCGTAGAGGACGCCGAGTCCGCAATCAAGACCATAGCAGCTGGTGTGCCACAGGGCAGCTGTCTATCTCCAGCCCTGTACGCGGCGTACACTAATGACATACCCACCCTGGCAGGACACTTGCAAGAATGGGAGGACGACGTCGAACTAGCACTGTTTGCGGATGACAGCGCATACTTCACGTCGTCCAGAAGAGCCCACATAACAGCTGCCAGGATGCAACGTCTGTTGGACCTGCTGCCACCATGGTTGGGTGACTGGAGGATGGCCGTCAATGTTAGCAAGACGACCGCTCTACTCACTCGCCGCTATAGAAACCTACCACCACCGCTAACCCTCGGAGGCCAGGAGATCGCATATGAGAAGGCCGTGACCTACCTTGGATGTCGGATTGACAGGATGCTGCGTATGACTGCGCACGTTGACTCTGCTATACGCAAAGCTCGATGTGCGCGGGCAATGCTACGTCCTGTCCTGACATCCAAGTTACCGACAAAGTCGAAGATAACCATTTATAAAACTTACATAAGACCCCTGCTAACATACGCTGCTCCGGCCTGGTATGCACTCCTGAGCGATCATCAGAAGCGGCGACTTCAGGCCCAGCAGAGTTTGTCATTACGAACCATAGTCGGTGCGGGTCGCTACGTCCGTAATGACGTCATAGCGGCCAACCTCAAGATGGAGAGCCTACATGATTTCGTGGTCCGGCTGGCGCGCGGTATGTTTGACCGCGCCGACAACGGGCCACATGAACACCTCAACGGCTTCGCGCCGTTGCACGCAAGGCCGCCGGACGGGCGACCTTATCCAAGAGAACTCCTCTCTATATAGATTAGGGAGTCCGAGTAAAACCCTCAATGCCGCTGAAAGGCCAACTCCGACATTATTATTTCTCAATTTTAGATAACCTCCTAATTTACCGACAGCGACAATAGTCGTTTACATACAACGCCTTTAGAAGGCGCCCAGGACCGGTACATTGTAGTGTACCGCGAGGAACATCCAGGTAAAGGGGTATACCCCGAGGCCCGAGACCTGCACGGCATTTATGCCCTGCAGAGGACAACATCAACGTTGCAATTCGTTCGGGAGCAGCTACAGTTTCCAGTTATAAATCAAGAAAGAAAACGAAATGAGGGAAATTAAAGTGAAAGTTATAAAAGTAGTCAAATTTCAGTATCGAATTTCCAAGGGGCATTTACGAACAATTGATGTTTTATTTGAAGAATCCTTCAGTGTTCACCCTAAGGGAGTTAGGTTCCGGCCACAATCTGACAACGAGTGCAGAGTTGTACAAAGATACCTTGTTGAGCGTAGCATAGGACGCCACCTTTGCGTAGTATTGCTACGCTCCACAAGACGAGCAACCAACGAAGGTGGGGCTCAGAGGGCTCCCTTAGAACGCCGACCCGAAGAACATTATGGAGGCCCTTATTGAGAAGGGCTTTCCTGTGACCTTCGTGCGCCCGATTCCACACAAAAGAGACATGCCTGGCTGTCTCTTCCATGTCAAGATGGACCATCTATCCCCCGAAGAACTCAAAAGTCTATATGCAATTGACGAGTTGCTCTACATGCCCGGCGTCTTCATCGAGGGCTGGCAAGGTAGAGCCGGTCCTTCCCAATGTCACATATGCCAAGGCTTCGAGCATGCCTCATATAACTGCCACCGTTCGGTCAAATGCGTCCGCTGCGCGGGCGACCACGCCGCATCAGAGTGCCCCAAGCCGCGTGATGCTCATCCGAGGTGCGCCAACTGCATCAAGCCCCACGCGGCAAACGACAGGCGGTGCCTAATGTTGCAGCGTATTTCACGCAAGAGGAGCATAGCCTTGCAACCTCGCCCGCGCAGGCAACACGGGCACCACAACGCCAACGACCACCACAACCACCACAAATAGAACCCCAACCGCAGCGGATACAGCAGAAGCAACGTCAATCCCAGGCACCGCAACATATGCCCATACCCCTTACCGTTTAACGTTATGCGTTAACGTTTGCCACAACTGGGGCGACTTAGGCTCCACCGGCGAACGATCCCATCGAGCGCACAGAGCGTCCGAAAAGAAAGCGGAGAGGTAAGAAGAAGAAGGCGGCCATACTGGACGTAGCAGCAGGTACGTCCACTCCACTTCCTCCCCCATTTCCACCACACAGCAGCGGCTACGGCAACCGCGCTATGCGACCTTTCCTGCCTCTACCCAGAGAGAACTTACTAAAGAGAAAACTGAAGCTCCCCAACTTCTTCGGGTACCGAGTGAGTGGCGTTGGGAGTAGTGTTGCTGGGATTGGTGGTGACGGGATTAAAGTTGCTAGGATTGGTGGTGACGGGATTAGTGCACGCAATTGAGGGAGGGCGGGAGGTGCTCTTCAAAATAGGGAAGACTTTGTTGAATTTTATTTAATTTAGCAGATGGTTGCAAAATAACTATTAATATCTTTATCCATGCATAAAATTACATTGGTAAGATATTATGTCAGCTTTTGTATTTAGCAGTGGGAGAGTAAAGGAATATTAATATATGACGTTTATGATTCTGAATTATTTCATTAATTCCACTGCTTGCTTCATTGAAAGTCCACAGCTGAACATAGGCATATGGGGGACCATAGATTACCTCATAGGATCATTTTGTTAGTTATCAGGCTTGGCTTAGTCACGTTATAATTTTGAATTATTAAAAGGAAGATTTGTTGCTTACCTATCTCTTGCATAATAATATGATTTTCCTTTGTTACCTCTTACGGCACTAGGTCTCAGTTTAATTTTAATCAATGCATTGTCCCAAGTGCCACATGGCATACACTTATCGTCTTGCCATCGTTTCCAAAATCACTTAGCGAATGTGTTATTTGTTTTTAGCATACATTTTAAAAAAGATCAATAATTAATTCATATTTTGTAATAAATATGTAATATCGTACTTACTTGTTGATTTTCCTCAACATTAGCCGCTCCACTGACTACAAAATCTCCCGGGAAACATTCCTGGCCGTCCAGATGGTGAATTGGGTACAGTTGAACTGAAGGTATGCCCATCTCTATTGTCCCATCCTGAATGAAAATAATTACGTTACGTTATTTGTACACGTTAAGAGGGGGTTTACTAGTGGTATCTAATCACTAAAATTATAACGATAACAAAACATTAGAAACAAATATACCACAGTTGTGACACAGCTATATATTAGCTCAGCTTTATACGTATCGAGCCGCCGGCTTTTTAAAAAGACGACCTCTCACTACTCCACCTTTAGGGGTGGAGTATATTATGGTATACAGCTATATTCGGTTGTAGTACAAATGGGTCGGCTCGACAGGGATTGACACAATAGCGGCTGCGAGTGCGTGCTCTCACCTGCCACACGACGTTGGCGCGGCTGCAGGTGTGCGTGCGTGACGACGACTGCGGTCGCACATGCGCGGCGGTGGCACGGTCGGCGCGCGGCGCACGGTGCTCTTGAGCCGCTTGCCGCTCAGCAGCCGCACCGCGAGCTTCAGTGTACAGCATGAGTGCGTGCGCTCACCTGCCACACGACGTTGGCGCGGCTGCAGGTGTGCAGCGTCTCGACGACGACGCGGTCACCGACGCGCGGCGGTGGCGCGGTCGGCGCGCGGCGCACGGCGCGCTTGAGCCGCTTGCCGCGGCAGCCGCACCGCAAGCTGCAGTGTACAGTATGAGTGCGCGCGCTCACCTGCCACACAACGTTGGCGCGGCTGCAGGTGTGCAGCGTCTCGACGACGACGCGGTCACCGTCGCGCGGCGGTGGCGCGGGCGGCGCGCGGCGCACGGTGCGCTTGAGCCGCTTGCCGCTGTACCGCGAGCTGCAGTGTACAGTATGAGTGCGTGCGCTCACCTGCCACACGACGTTGGCGCGGCTGCACGTGTGCAGCGTCTCGACGACGACGCGGTCACCGACGCGCGGCGGTGTGCGGGCGCGGCGCACGGTGCGCTTGAGCCGCTTGCCGCTGCACCGCGAGCTGCAGTGTACAGTATGAGTGCGTGCGCTCACCTGCCACACGACGTGGGCGCGGCTGCAGGTGTGCAGCGTCTCGACGACGACGCGGTCACCGACGCGCGGCGGTGCGCGGCGCACGGTGCGCTTGAGCCGCTTGCCGCTGCACCGCGAGCTGCAGTGTACAGTATGAGTGCGTGCGCTCACCTGCCACACGACGTTGGCGCGGCTGCAGGTGTGCAGCGTCTCGACGACGCCGCGGTCACCGACGCGCGGCGGTGGCGCGGGCGGCGCGCGGCGCACGGTGCGCTTGAGCCGCTTGCCGCGCAGCAGCCGCACCGCCAGCTGCGGCGACCGTTTGCCACGCTGCGACGCCGCCGACGAGCACCGTGACGACCACGTCGCACCGCTGCAACAATGTCTCATTATTTTAAAACACCTTTGTAGGGCAATTTGACTGTCAATGGATTGTTGCTAGTAGTGTTTTATCGCTCAAATAAGGATCTAAAATGGATGTCTGTCTGTGTCTATACGTAAAAATGATGAGCTTTGAAAAAGTTTCTGAGAAGTTTCTGCGCCTGTGAATTATTAGTGAAAACGACGAAACAAGTGTTTTGTCCGCCTAGGCGCCTTAAATAGTAGTGATACTGTTGCCATCAGCTGTCCGCTAGATTGAGCTGTAAGTCTCCCAAAAATGTGACACAATGTGACGAATGTTTTTTTTAGAATAGGGTGACAAACGAGAAAGTACCTGATGGTAAGTGGTTCTGCTAAATTAATTATTCTCCATTAAAATCAAAATGGTTTGTCACCGAGGATGGATGGAATTTTTCAGTAAGGGTGGTTTGAAATAGCGCACTCTATTTCCTGGTATTCTGAGAGCTTCTCCGTATATAACCAAGTCGTCGAATCAGCATAATGTGAAGAAGTTAACATAACAATATTATAATGGATTATTTCTTTCTGCTTGACACTAGCAAATGTATATGTAAAATGTATATATAATATAGTGTAGCCACCACGAAAATTTATATTAGTGTCTAGTTTAGAACTATAAGCAGTATAAATCTTCTCCTACATCACAAATTGTACGGATCCTTGTCCAAAGAAAAAAAATTATTGTACTCAGTGAACAACAGACACATAAATGTATATGATTTACACATACATACGGTTTTAAAAAAATATTTTCGTATGATGAAAATAATATCATTATACAAAGGAGATGGATTGTACGGCTTGATGTCGCAGTAGTTTAACAATGACGGCGCTGAGAGCTGTTTACGAGATTCAATTTTTCCTTAAGTACAAGTATATTTGTATGGCCTACAAATAAGAGAAAGTACTAGATTTAAACTTAATTGGCTTTTTCTTGTATATCGTGGAGGCAGTTTATATATAAAAATTTCACAAGGAGAAACAACCCGACGTGGAATAATTATTTTTAGAAAAAAAATTTTAAAAAGACAGATGTTTTTTTTATAGAAAAAGGGCAAACTTATGACAAACGAGCACACAGTCCACCTGATGGTACTACATTTACATGGACGTCTACATTTATCCTCGATTAAGAATCAAAATGGCGATGAGTTGTCACCGCTGAGGACTAAGTTGGAATGCCTCGTTTCCAGTAAACACACTAAAGTTATTCTGCACACTGTCCATGGGTTATGAAATCAATATTATTTGCCGATTTCTAATATCAGAATTTTTTTTATAGGATAGGATGATAAACTAGCACACAGTCCACCTGATGGTAAGTGGTTGCTGCGGCCCATAGACATCTACATCTATCCTCGATTGCAAATCAAAATGCAGATGCGTTGTCACCCGTAAGGACTAAGATGGAGTGCCTCGTTTCTAGTAAAAAGGGTCTCCGGTTCTGTACACTTACCATACGAAACACTGCAGCAGAATTTCGATAGATTTTAATTACTTTATTTATTTAATTCAAAATTTTTGTTTTTATTTTTTGTAAAATATCAGTGCCATAGGCGTCTACTCCGTTCACATGTTACACCCTATTTTTTTTCCAGGCTGTAAAAAAGGTCACTCAGTATATATTCAAAATAGGGAATAGTTTGGTACCTATCCACTCCTAGGGAAAAAACAGTCCCACTACCTAGAAAATTATCCAAACAATACATACTTTACATACCTACACATTCATTTGTATTATATTATTTAGTATAAAACTGTACTTGCCTGTCAGTATCGCTGCCGTCGCTACTAGTGTTCTCCCAATTGTCTGAGTCGTCGTCGTTGAGACACGCGTCAGCTGACTTGCTGTCTCCATTGAGCAGGTGACTGTCCTCTTTGGCAGGTTCAGGGCTGCAGATGTGGGATTTGCTTAGCCCACTTCATCATAAAATTTATTGTAGTACTACACGCAAAACTCCCAAACTAAACAAACCTCAGTGTATGGGCAATCATTTTAGTGACTTTACCACTTGTCAATACAGCATAGTATCGGACAAGGACCATTGCATTTAACATACAAGAAATTTCAAGAATTGATTCATACATATACTAAAACCATATCTCTCTATGGAAAACTCAAGATTTAGAAGTCCAATTGAGCCAGGGGAAAGACTTGTTGTATGTTTGAGGTAAGTATTTTTTTTATTGATAATTAAGTCATCATCATCATCCCCCCAAGGAATGCCACAAAGCACGATCCTGAGCCACCTACATCCATCGACTTCCTTTATGTCTTACCAGGTAATATTAGGGTTTTTGAATTAAAAATAATTATCAATTTTTAATTGTATTTAAATTATTTTGTCGCTCACTATTCATATTGATAATCGATGCATAACATTTTTTATTTTCAAATTATGTGTAATTAATTACCTATTAATAAAAGTTATAAAAAGTCTTGTGTGACGACTCATTGTTACCTACACCGTAAAGGAAAATGTTCCTGAAATGAAGTAAAAATATATTTCGAAACGAAAGGCAAAGCCACTAGTTTTAATGGAAAATCCACTAAGTTGGCAACATTAGACAACACTGAATAAGCACGCGCAGCATTATGACGTCATCAGTATTCCTCTTTCAATATTCGGATACCTACCGCATTTTATAAAATGCGGCGCATAGGGTGCGGCTGTAATGTGCGAGGTTTCATATGATTTCATACAACGAATTCTAAAATGCGGCGCGTACAGTGCTGATAAATTTGCGTTCAACTTTAATGCGTTTTTTCTTGTAGTAATAAAAAATGATCTCGTTCGATAAACGTTTTTAACTTACAAGTATGTACAAATGTTATTAAATGATAATGAGTACTATAATATCCAAAATCATTTTATTTCCATTTTCGTGACAACCCTAGCATACACGCTGGCCGCGTTAATACCTACGCGGGACGTCAAAGACGTTTTACAACTGTAAGGTTTAAACTGTGACTACATACCAATAAGCTAATCCTATGGAGCAGAATGATTGAAACATTCTTAAAGGTCTAGGTTCAGCAGTGAGTCATTTGAGTGAGTCCCAAATGACTGTCTGACATTGGAGACGGAAGATAGGTAATGATGGACGAGTTTGCTTCTCGCCGGATGATCCCAGCATTGTTCTGATTCTATCGCTGATGAGGTGCTACAGGGAACGGAACTTTTTATTCCATCAACTGTGGTACCTATCGGGGGCAGAACCCAGCCTTGGTTTCGTCGCTCCTGCAAAATTGGATTACGTCATAAACAAGAGTGCTACCAGGCCTGGGCTCACGCATCGACGTCTCGGGATGCAAATAACAACGCTCTTAAAAAGAAGTATAATTCCGCTTCCAGGTCCGCCAAGGCAAAGTCAGAGCATATCGGCATAATTAGCGAGAAACTAGTTCGACTTCTTTCGGGAACACATGCATTCTGGTCTCTCACCAAGGCTGTTCAAGGGAACTTCTGTCAGCCATCAGTCCCATCTCTGCACAGGAAGGACGACTCACTGGGCCACACCTTAAAGGACAAAGCCGATTTACTGGGCTCTCTCTTTGCGTCCAACTCAACTCTTGATGACGGGGGGAACACACCGCAGACCATCTCGCGGTGTAAGTGCTTCATGGATGGATGTGCTGTTTACCCAGCGCTCGGTGCGCAGAGCACTCCTCTCCCTGGACGTCAACAAGTCGAGTTGGCCTGATGGCGTCCCTCCTATTGTTAAAGTCCCTCCTAGTGCTAAAGACGCGTGCTCCTACTCCCTAGGCGTAGTCCCGAAATCATGGAAGACAGCTTTCATACACCCGATCCCTAAAAAAAGAAACCGCTCTGATCCATCCAACTACAGGCCTATCGCATCACATTTCTGTTTTTAAAAATAATGGAATCCATTATTAACAGCCAGCTCATGCGGTACCTTGAAGATCACCAGCTGATTGGTGACCGCCAGTACGGTTTCCGTCGGGGCCGCTCAGCTGGTGTGATCTTCTGGGTTACCTAACTCATAGCTGGAGAGCCAGTGAACCCTCCGAGTAACGGTCTTCCTGTAAGGTTGGAAATTTGTACACTTAGCATTTATAGCATGCTAAGGGCAATGGCCATGACCTGGCAGTCGTCAGCCCTGCACGTCATCAGCCCCTTTATTTTTAAATTGTAAAATAAATAGATTATAAAAACTTGTTTCTGTAAGCTTGGAAAAAAATTGACAGGCCATTGCAATGAGCAAAAGTATGTGACAGGTGAATTGAAAGGAGCATAGTTGATGAGGTAAAATAAACTTTCTTCTATATAGTTGAAATTTGGATATGTTTTTGAGTGAACATTTTAAAATAAATATGTAAAATGACAGGCGGTTTTAAATAACATAAGACCTTGACAGGCGGGGGGAAAACTGCTAAGGGCGTGCTCGTAAGAGGTGTTACGTGAACGCATATAGTGCGAGTGATATAAAATAAAAACAAAAATGATAAATACAATATATTTTATTAGTTATGATGTAATCTACATTAGTTTTTACATTAATTTTCTTCATCATTATCCGACACTTCACTACTACTGTTTTCATCATCATCTGTCTCTTCTGATACTCCCTACATTTCTGCAATATTTTGGAATGGCTTTTTTTACCTTTTGTTTCTTAAAAAAGATGGATTAAATCGCAACCGGTCAATGCATGAAATCCCGATAAGCTATGGCATATAGAAAGTCCCAATTTTGTATACAGTTCAGAAATGTTTATCCATTTTTTGAAATTATTAGTGCCATATTCCATATAAATTTTTAAATTATTATTGTGAAGATGGTCCATGTTTCCGAGCATTAATATTAAAATGTCTGTGTCACATGTTTTTATTAACACGTCGGATAGATCATTCATTTGGCATGTATGGTAGATTTTCGTATCAGCCCTTTTCATGATAAATCTTAATATATATACATTACATGTCACGTTGCTTGTCCGCGATGAACTCCTAAACTACTTAAACGATTTTAATCAAATTTGCACACCGTGTACAGTTTGGCCCAACTTGAGAGATAGGATAGTTTTTTTGCCCATGAATGACCCACAATTATTTTTACGAATTTAAGGATTTTTAATAGGACATGACAAAGGGTCGTTGATAAGGGCACAATAACGTCTGCCTGGCAAGCTAGTTATCATTTATATTGAAAATCACGGAGTTATTGTTGACACTATAAGTATGGCATTGTTTATAAATTAAGTTCACCATTGTGTTCCCGATGAACTCTGTCATTTCATTTGTGCTCCAGTGTGTAATTAAAAAATCCATAAAAGCTTCTTTGAACTGTATGCTACGAAGTTCTTTCATAAAGTCAACTGATCTAACTTGTTCTGGTCCGGTAATGAAATAATTTATGTTCCGTACTTCTTGTCGTTTGGCTCGTTCATAATCTTATAGACGGTAAAAAATATTGGTCGAAAATAATATCTACTCGTGAAGAATGTGTAGCTGTTAGTAGCGATATAATTTTTTTGGAAATACCACCAAATGTTTTTAGGATATTTTTGAATGTATGCAGTAAGAAGAATCTATCGAAAATGCAACATCAAAACGTCTTGGTACTTCGTCACTGCTGACATTTGTCTTCAAAATTTCACTCGCACCATAGGCGTTCCTCTCACTGCACACCCTTAGCATCTTTCCCCTCGCCTGTCAAGGTCTTATGCTATTCTAAACCGCCTGTCATTTTACTTATTTATTTTAAAACGTTTACTCAAAAACATATCCAAATTTCAACTATACAGGAGAAAGTTTATTTTACTTCATCCACTATGCATCTTTCAATTCACCTGTCACATACTATTGGTCATTGCAATCACCTGTCAATTTTTTTCAAGATTTACCATAAATAAACTACATCCTATTAAATTTTTAAGCTTACAGAAAAACAGTTTTTATAATCTATTTATTTTACAATTCAAAAAATAAAGGGGCTGATGACGTGAAGGGCTGACGCCTGCCAGGTCATGGCTATTGCCCTTAGCATGCTATAAATGCTAAGTGTACAAATTTCCAACCTTACAGGAAGACCGTTACTCGGAGGGTTCACTAGCTCTTGGACTATCATAAATGGGCGGCGGTAGTAGAGTTTAGGGGGGAGGCGTTGGCCGTTAGTTTGGACATAGCGAAGGCCTTCGATCGGGTTTGGCACAAAGCGCTTCTTACGAAGCTTCCCGAGAAATTATGCAATTGGATCACCAGTTTTCTTGCAGATCGAAGCATCAAGGTCGTAGTAGACGGTGCAAGCTCCGATTAAAAGTCCATTAATGCTGGTGCTTCACAAGGCTGCGTGCTATCACCAACACTGTTTCTTCTGCATATCAGTGATATGTTGCAAACCGGTAACGTTCATTGCTATGTGGATCACAGCACGGGTGATGCTTTATATATCAGCCGTGTCAATATTTCTCGGGAAAACGTCACCGAGTACCAAACTGGTGTCTGAAGTCAAGACTTTGTTGAACAAAGTCTCGGACTGGGGGCGACATCCAGTTCAATCCCCAAAAGACACAGGTTTACGCGATTACCGCTAAAAAGATTCCCTATGTAGTATCTCATCAGTTTCAAGGCACTTGAAGGCCTCTTGTTACCTTAGTCAGTATCAGAATAAGTCGACATATCGAGTGACATGCAATTTCGTGGTCACTTAGAAGAGGAGGCCAAATTGGCCTCTAAAAAGCTTGGCGTGCTCAGTAGAGCGGGACAGTATTTCATGCCGGCACACCACCTACAACTTTACAAGGCGCACGTTCGGCCGCACATGGAAGACTGTTCCCACCATTGGGCTGGGGTTCCCCAGAGCAAGCTCCTTCCATTTGATCGCATTCAGAGCAAAGCCGTACGAACCATCAGCGACCGAACTCTTTCCGATCGGCTTGACTCACTAGCGAGAATAAAATACGCAAAGAGGAGTAGTTTCCCCTCTTTGCGTATTTTATCGCATTTACCAAAGGCAGTGCTTTGAGGAATTGTTCGGACTAATTCCAGCCGCATAATTTCACCATCGCACATCGCGACAAAACTCGCGATATCATCCATACCATCTGGATGACTGGTGGTCCACCACTTAAAAGAAGTTTTCTTCCTCGCACAACTTCCTTGTGGAATCGACTACCACCAGAGATTTTTCTCTCTAATTTTAAAAAGCCGGCAATGCATCTGCTCATAACTTCCCATCGGGTGAGCCGCATGCTCATAAAAAATGAAGCCATTCATTAGCTTCTAGTTCACCTATTATATTTAGTCTCGCATAGAGTTAGATGAAAAGTAATGATGATCGCATGGTGGAGCCACTAGCATGTTTTTTTATTTTTAAAACAATGGTAATTATTATAATGAATTAACTATTTCATTGTTTAAAATCTTGTAATATTTTAAGCGAAAACACTGCTATTCAAATTTCAATTCTTAATACTATATATACATACCTGATGCCTGAATCATTCTTCTCTTCTGTGACGGTATCTTCCTGACTACTCCCTATGGGTATAGTAACATCTGCACTTGGTTCGATTTTAATACTTGGACAGTTGACATCCGTCTTCAGTGCCTCATCAAGGGACTCCAACTTCTCATCTACCATATCCACGTCCATTTCATTCTAGAATCGAAACCATTAACTTACAAAATCAGATTATAATAGAAAATTGCATTTTGTTTTCAATATATTGAATTTAAAGCATTAGAATCTGTATACAGGTAACGCGCACTACTAGAAGTTGTGAAGACGAGATGTATTTCTGTTCAAGATACAAACATACATCCGTACCCCTTGCTGCACACAAACAAATGCAGCGCAAACCATGTCTTATTTTGTGTATGTTAGTTTCTTTTTACCTTCATTTATCCTTGGTCGTGTGTTCTGGTCTGAAGGGTATAAAGACATAATTACAGGCTGTGAGGCATTTCATCGTAGGCCTCAGAAGACAATGCATCCATAGCTTACCTTGTATGGGCTGCAGGTATGCATGGTGTCCAGGTGGCCACTACTTTTAGTCACCTCAATTTCGTAAAAAAGAAATGTATGGTATGACTTGTGTTCTATTACGTACATGTGCAGAAGAATTCGTAATATTTGATTCTAAATATGAGCATAATAAATTTAATGATTTCTTAAATTTACGCGAACACTACACATTGAATAAAACTATTATTTACGGATTTTATCGCGTTTAATTACTTTAATTTATTTTTATTATTATCCCGACGTTTCGGGTGCTTTACAGCGCCCATGGTCACGGGGGGGACTGAGATGTTTGACGTCCCAATGTCATAGTTAGTCCGGCTACCTTCAGTTTTTTAATATTAATTTTTGGTCCGATTTACGCAAAACGAGCTTATAGTATCATGAAGTCTTGCAGTGGTATGCTTGGGTTTGGGTTTAATTTTGTTAATTATAGGATCCCAAGCAGATGGTAGCACCCAACCATCTTCTCTATTGAAATTTGGATGTTTTTTAATTTCAATAGCCTCGCGTATCATCCTTGGTAGGAATCGGTGTTCTTTTGCGAGAATTTGTGGTTTATCAAATCTAATGTAATGGTGGGGACGATCTTGAACATGTTCGCAGACTGCAGACTTCCCGGAGCGTCGGTGCTTCACATCAGCTATATGTTCCTTCACGCGGGTTTTTATAGATCTCTTTGTTTGACCTATGTAAGAGAGACCACATTCACAATCTAGCTTGTACACACCTGCATCTTGTAGAGGAATATTACATTTGATGGATGGTAAAAATTGACTAATCTTCTTCAGCGGCTTGTAGTATGTCTTAATGGACGCTCGCTTCAAGATGTAGCCAATCTTGTCCGTGACTCCTCTAACATATGGTAGTAGAGCAGGCGCGCGCTCGACTGTGGCCGGCTTCACTCGTTCACTTTGACCATTTTACCATCAGACAAAGTAACTGCATTTTTAGACCACCTTAACTCCATAAACTCTAAAATACAATTCACAATGGAGTTAGAGGCAAATAATTCTTTAGCTTTCCTAGATGTTTTAGTCATCCGAAATCCTGATAACACTATTGGTCACACTGTGTATAGGAAAAAGACCCATACCAACCGATATTTAAATGGTGAATCTCACCATCATCCTTCACAGTTAGCTACCGTGGGTAAATCTTTGTTTCAGAGAGCACGAAGGATCTGTGACAGAAAACATCTGGCCGCGGAGCTTCAGCACGTCAAGCAAGTATTGCAAGACAACAAGCTTCGGGTCCCGCGCCTACGTCACAGTGAACGAGTGAAGCCGGCCACAGTTGAGCGCGCGCCTGCTCTACTACCATATGTTAGAGGAGTCACGGATAAGATTGGCTACATCTTGAAGCGAGCGTCCATTAAGACATACTACAAGCCGCTGAAGAAGATTAGTCAATTTTTACCATCCATCAAATGTAATATTCCTCTACAAGATGCAGGTGTGTACAAGCTAGATTGTGAATGTGGTCTCTCTTACATAGGTCAAACAAAGAGATCTATAAAAACCCGCGTGAAGGAACATATAGCTGATGTGAAGCACCGACGCTCCGGGAAGTCTGCAGTCTGCGAACATGTTCAAGATCGTCCCCACCATTACATTAGATTTGATAAACCACAAATTCTCGCAAAAGAACACCGATTCCTACCAAGGATGATACGCGAGGCTATTGAAATTAAAAAACATCCAAATTTCAATAGAGAAGATGGTTGGGTGCTACCATCTGCTTGGGATCCTATAATTAACAAAATTAAACCCAAACCCAAGCATACCACTGCAAGACTTCATGATACTATAAGCTCGTTTTGCGTAAATCGGACCAAAAATTAATATTAAAAAACTGAAGGTAGCCGGACTAACTATGACATTGGGACGTCAAACATCTCAGTCCCCCCCGTGACCATGGGCGCTGTAAAGCACCCGAAACGTCGGGATAATAATAAAAATAAATTAAAGTAATTAAACGCGATAAAATCCGTAAATAATAGTTTTATTCAATAATAAATTTACTTACATCTGTGGACTTCAGCTTGCGGTGTGATGACGCCCGCTTTTTTGGTCTTGAAGGCATGTGTTCTGATGCATTTGCATCTGTCTTAGATTTCTTGGTGGGCCGGCTTTGTTTGCGATGGTTCCTGTAGTATTTACCTGAGGATAATATATTCTTTGTTACAATTATTATAGGCCTAATGATAAAGAGGCGTTTTAGTCCTCAATGACGGCACGCATCTTACATTCTGGTTTTTAATAGAGCATAAATGTAGATGTCTATGGGGTTCTCTTGTGGTAGCCTCGTACCTGTAGGCGAAGTGTAGGGGACGTGGTGGTAGTGTAGGTCCCCCCACTAAACGGAGTGACAACCTGGTAAGACATGCAGGAAGTCAATGGATGTAGGTGGCTCAGGACCGTGCTTTGTGGCAACCCTTGGGGTAGGCCTATGTTCAGCAGTGGACTTGTGAAGGACTGTAATGAAGATGATGATGATTTGCTACAGGTTATACTCATCATCAGTTAAATTGGGTGCTTATTTGTAAACTTATTTGTATTTTTTTATAGAATAGGGTGACAAATGAGCACACAGTACAACCCGATGGTGAGTGGTTGCTGCGGCCCATAGACATCTACATCTATCCTCGATTACGAATCAAAATGCAGATGCGTTGTCACCCGTGAGGACTAAGATGGAATGCCTCGTTTCCAGTAAAAAGGGTCTCCGGTTCTCTACCCTTACTATACGAAACACAGCAGCATTAAGCTACTATTTTACACTGGTATTCTGTGAGAGCGTGGTCCTTACCTGGTCGAGCCGATTCATTCGTGCTACAACTATACTACTAATATAACATAGTATTCTATAAAATAAAAATGTCAAACATGGTTCTGGGTTTGAATACCAGACAAAGCAAATGCCGTGAAGAACGTAACAAATCGCACAATATTTGAGGGTTGAAACAATCTCAATTTCAATCTTAATACACATATATCGCCACAGATCCTTCTCCCTTACCCTAGCAATACAACGTAACAGAGCCATGACTGTTGTTGAAGTCAGGAATCGCCTTGCTGAAGTTCGAGATGTGCATGTAAGTGACAGAACTGTCAGGAGGTGCCCCAATGAAACGGATATCATGGCCAGAAGGCCTGCACATGGCTCGGAGATTACTAGGCAGCATCTAGTCAGCAGACTTGCATTCGCACATTGTGAATTGGGATATGGAACGGCACCAGCTTCGACCTCAGGTGTTCGGAGCAGCAGTCTAGAAAGAGGCGAAGGTTTACATCAGGCCGGGGAGCGCCGAGGGCGGCGAGACCTACGCTCGGTCTCTAGAGGAGGCACCATGGAGACGCGACGGAGTCAGCGAAGCTCGGGGCCATGTTGGCGTTGTGGAAAGCCACATAGGGCGGATAAGTGCCGATTTGCGCAATACAATTGTGATAAGTGTGGTAGGCGCGGACATCTTAAGGTGATGTGCGAAGAAGTGCGCGACGGGAGGCAGTCGAGCGGCCCCCAGCATTATGTGAGTGATGTAAGTTCCGAAGGAGAGGATTTTTTTAATATCCAGCTGAAAGCTAAAGGTAACGAGTCTTATAAATTAACTTTGAAAGTAGATGGACAGCCGTTAGTTTTCGAAGTCGATACCGGTAGTCGCATTTCGACAATAAGTGAACAGTTTTATTTGTGTCATTTTCCGTATAAATCCCTTATCAAAGATAATGTAAGATTACATAGTTATGTCGGTTCGCGAATCGAATCTTTGGGTTTTATATTGGTCAATGTAGCATTGGGAGAGGTCAGAAAAAAAATTGTTCTTTATATGTAATTCGTAACGGAGGATGCCCTTTAATAGGTAGACAATGGATTCGAGCTCTTGAAATAAATCAAATTAATATTAGTGTTAATGAAATTCTAGATGATTCATTCGTGAGCCGACTCATTAGCGAATTCCCCGAAGTGTTTACAGATAAGTTAGGCACTTGTACCGAAAGCGTTCAACTACAGCTCAGTGACGAACAACCTGTGTACGTGCGCGCGCGGCCCGTGCCATTGGCGCTTCGATCCCGGGTCGAACAGGAGCTGAGGAGGCTTGAGGCCGAGGGTACCATTTTTAAGGTGGACCACTCCGAGTATGGTACTCCTATAGTACCGGTTATAAAAGAAAACGGCGATATACGAATTTGTGGAGATTATAAAATTACGATAAATCCAAAGCTCAAGCGGGAGTTTTATCCGTTACCGCGAATTGAAGAACTTTTTGCCAAATTAAGTGGTGGTGAAGAATTTTCGAAAATTGATCTAAAAAATTCCTATCAACAATTACTGCTAACGGAGGATTCTCGGCGTTACACTGCAATTACTACACATCTAGGCACATTCGTATATCGTCGAACCCCATTTGGGTTGTCGTGTGTTCCCGAAAAATTCCAGAAAATTATGGAAGAGACACTCAGCGGTATACCCGGTACGGTAGTTTTTTTTGGACGACGTTTGTGTCACGGGAGCTACGCGAAATAAACATCTGAGTAATTTACGAGCTGTACTTGAACGGTTGCGGACTATGGGCTTTACCGTTAAATCCGAAAAATGTAAGTTCTTACAAAAAAGTGTAAAGTACCTAGGTTTTATTATTGACAAGCAGGGATTGCATCCCGATCCGAAAAAGATGGAAGCCATTTCTAATGCTCCAACACCACTGAATGTTACCCAATTAAAAAGTTTTCTTGGTCTCCTTAATTACTATGGCAAGTTTATTCCTAATCTCAGTACCATTTTACATCCCTTACATTTGTTATTAAACAAAGGAGTTAATTGGAAATGGACTTCAAAATGCGAGCAGGCCTTCCGAGAAGCTAAAAGAGCTTTGTTGGGCGAAAAGGTTTTGGCTCACTATGAGGAAGGGCGGCCACTGGTTCTGTCGGTGGACAGCAGTGCGTATGGGCTGGGCGCAGTACTAGCACACGTATACCCCGACGGCACCGAGCGACCGGTCAGCTGTGTATCGCGTACGCTTAATGCTTCAGAAAAAAATTATAGTCAATTAGATAAAGAGGCTCTGGCCATATTTTTTGGAATAACGAAACACCACCAATATGTATTCGGTCGACGCTTTGTTTTACGAACGGATCATCAGCCGTTAAGTTACATTTTTGGGAAAAGAGGCGGGATACCACAAACGGCAGCCAGTCGCTTACAGCGGTGGGCTGCCCGATTGGCCGCCTATGATTTTTCAGTGGAGTTTGTTCGCTCGGCTGCTAACGGCCCGGCCGACGCGCTGTCCCGCCTTCCTCTGCCAACCGAACGTCACCAGTCCTCGGTCACGTCTTACATTAATTTACTGGAAGATACTATTCCGGTAAACTTCAAGGATATTAGTATCGAAACAAAAAAGGATACGGTATTGAGCCGAATTACAGGCTATGTAATGTTCGGTTGGCCCTTCTCGACCAAATGCGACGACGAGAAGCCGTACTTTGATAGAAAGCAAGAAATGTTGCTTGATCTAGGCTGCTTAATTTATAAATATCGCGTCGTAATCCCTCCCTCACTACGAGAACGAGTTTTAATGGAAATTCATGAGGGTCATTTAGGAATGAATAAAATGAAAAATCTAGCTCGAAATTACATCTATTGGCCTGGTATAGACCAGGACATAGAAAACTTATGTCGTAATTGCCAAGCGTGTTGCTCAGTTCGTGATAGTCCTCCCCGAGCCGTTCTGCATCCATGGGAATTCCCTCTAAATCCGTGGCAACGTTTGCATGCAGATTTTGCCGAATACGTGGGCAAGAAATATCTCATAGTTATAGACGCCCATTCGAAATGGATAGAGGTAGTACCGATGGGTCGGACGGATGCCAAAGAGACCATAGCCGCATTTAGAAGTATGTTCGCAAGATTTGGCTTGCCGTCGCAATTGGTCACGGATAATGGACCGCCTTTTATGTCCATAGATTTTAAAAATTATTGTAAAAAAAAATTGTATTAGGCATGTGTCATCGGCTCCCTACAGACCTCAGGCAAATGGTGCTGCGGAAAATGCGGTGAAAACCATTAAAAAAAGTTATAAAACGGGCGGTTTTTGAAGGGGAAGATATATTACAGGCAATAAACAGATTTTTATTTCAATACCGCAACTGCGAACATGCCACAACCGCGGTGTCACCTGCAGTGGCATTGTTAGGTCGCCGTTTACGCAGTCGCCTGGATGCTTTACGTCCCAACACAGCTGATGTGGTGCGAAGGGCTCAATATCAGCAGGTTGCCAATTCCGGGGGTTCGGACCGTAATATAGCTATAGGAGACCGGGTGTTGACTAGAAATTATACACCAAAAGGGGGCAAGTGGCGTGAAGGAAAGATAGTAAAAAAAAACGGGACCCGTTTCTTATAGGGTCAGCATGGGGGATGGAATCGAGTGGAAAAGACATATCGACCAAGTGATACCAACCAATCGTAAAAGTCGTTATTCCCTTTCAAGGCCTAGCATTAGCGAATTAAAAGAGACCGAGGAGACCCCACACCTGAGGCCTGATAGTGGCACCGATGACTTATTTGAAGATGCAACCGGAGAGGGCAATGACCAGGACGAAAAAGGCAGTTCGAATATTACAGATAATGCAGAGAGAAACTCCTCGTCACCGCCTTCACCGAGTGTATCGGCTCGAGCACTGCGTGCTTATATTCGAGCCAAGAAAAAGGAATTGTAATTATTTTCTTTTTTTCTGTGTAATAGGAAAGAATCGGAATTAATGTACAATAACATAACATCCTTTTGTTGGATGATATAGTTAGATGTTTTTATTAAATAATATGTCACTTAGTCATTTAAAGGGGGAATGTGTAGGGTATATGATAGTTATTTTCGTTATTGTGTATGTAGGTAGTGGGTACCAATAAAGCTTTCAGTTCGCTGTTCAACTCCGCCTTTTATTGACGTTACATTGGCGACGAGGATGGGATCCATCCTCGTCGCCAATGTAACGTCAATAAAAGGCGGTTACTTTAAGCGACAGTAGCCTAATGGCAGGGTGCGGACCGCGAACTCGAAAAGGTCGTGGGTTCGAATCCGCCATTCGACTACTGTTGTGAACCACTCGTAACACAAGCAATTTAAGCTTACCACGAGTAGTTAAGGAGAATATTAGTAATGTTTATAGCATTGTTAATATTCTTTAAAAAAAAAAGGAAAAAAAAGCTAGCAATTATTTCTGGATCTCGACAACAGCGCCACGCACGGATGATTTCTGGAATTCAACAACAGCGCCACCTCGCCCCAACCCATCATCAAACACCAAAATCAACCATTTCATCAAGATCGGTTTAGCAGGTTAGAAGAAGTTCAGTGACAAGCATACGTACAGAAGAATTATAATATATACTGTATGACCTCTTGACCATCTGTTAAATGAAAATAGAGTGTAACATGTGAACGGAGTAGACCTATGGTACTGATATTTTTACGGAGACAAGTACTGTTTACAGATAAGTCCCGATTTTGCTTACGAGTTTTGTTAGTCGGATATTCTTTGCGAAAGCATAACTTCAATAAGACATGACACCAAAAATAATTTCTAAGACAATTAACCTACTTAAAATTCGAAGTGAGTGATGTATTGTGCCGGTCAGTGTATATTTTAAAATAAATTAGTCTCTTCGTATTGATTGAACGAGAACTGATTCCATATTCATTTTAATTAAAACATTGAATCACACAAGCTCAAATTAAGATTACCTAGGGCTTCACCTTCTTAATATTAGTAGTACCAGACCCCAATTTCTAATATCAGCAGTAATAAAGAGATCAGGTAAATGCAGAATATACTTGCTTTGTTGTTTCCTCCACTGCTTTTTACTAACAAAAGTATCTTCTGGGCTAATAGTAAGGAAGTTTCTGTCGCCGACCTGCAGCGTACAGGGTTCAAAAACATTGAGCAACTTCAGGTTCTTCAAGTCTTCGCCTGGAAATAATACATTTAATATGTACTAGCTGATACCCGCGAATTCAACCGCGTTGCTTTTTATATTAACAAAGAAGTCACACATCATTGGTACAGTAGTAGTACAGGTAGCTTATAAAAAAATTGTTTTTTTAATAACTTTAAATTAAATGAAGATGTCGCAATAATGTTTTTAGATAAGGGTTAAGTGTCTATAAAATAAAAGTTAAAAAACCTAATTGATTTTTTTATTTATATAGAATTACTAGGATGAGAATTTTTTATAACACTTCTATTTTAATATGAAAGTATATCTATGAAGTCATTTAAAACAAATTAGTTTAAACAAATAAACAAAAGTGCGATAGAGGCGTAAGCAAATCCATTAAGTGATTTTGTGCCGTAGGCACAGTAATATTATCTATAAATTACCGTGCCGTAGGTGTCGTACGAGACGACAATGGGAGATGCAAAAAAATCTTGACAACTTCCTACAAATGGTGGTGATCATCTTATTTGCACCAGATGTAAAATATCCCCACGCAACAGGCAATGGCATCCAAGGTGCAGAGACACCTAGTGCTATGATCGTCAAATCACATGCTAAATGTGACGATTAACTAAAGTAGGATGAACAGACCTTAGCTACAGATTTCTTCTAGTATGAAACAACATTAATTAACCTTTTGAGCGCCACGCCAAAAACGCATTACAGTGTCCTGTACGCCAAAGCGAAAAGTAAACAAAAATACCTACGAAAAAATAGTGTTGCCAAGAGTTGATATATCGATAACACAAAATAACATGATTTTGTTGGTTTTTTATGCAATAAATGACTCTTTATAATCTGGTGTTTTATTTAATCTTGTACTGTCTTCCACTCTTTTTATATATGTACTTTGTAGATAAATAAAAATAAACAATAACAATAAAATAGTAGTAAACCACAACACTACTCTTCATCGTGATGACGTCACTGTCACGACTGGACGACAACGGCGTAGCTGGAACTTCCTTTTTGAAACTTTTTTAGAGATGTAGCCTTATCGCACGTTGTGTATCGATTTCGAAATCGATATAACCAAAATATATAGAGATCGACTCAAAATATTTTATGTATCGGGGGAGGCGTAGGCCAAGTGAAGCACAGAGTCTTACGCTCTTTGACAATGGGGGTTTGATATGATGCTGATGCTATAGATGATTTAGAGATAATCATAATCTTTATTGCAATCAAATGGTACATAGATGTGATGTTTTGCCGCATTTGAACCTAGTTTGGGAGTAGTAATTATAAAGATATTAAATATTATTTTTAAACTACAAGATTTCATTAATAAATTACATTATTAGATTATATTATTTTAAAATCCTGTAAATTTAATTAAATTAATAATCAAAATGTCAAGTAAAAAAATAATAATTATTATTATAAATAAAAATAAAATTAAGTAAAAAATAATAATTGAATAAAAAAAATTAAATATGCACAGGCCGAAGTTGTCCACGCAAATTAAATAACATTTGCACCAAAATATTCATTTAAATTATAAAAACATTTTCGGCCCTTTTTTTTTAAAAAAATTCAATTAAACATAACTTTAATTTGGAAAAAATAATGTAGTACTCGTTAAATTTTTTATGTCATTTGGAAGGTTATTAAAAAAAATTACTGCCATACAATAGGGACTAGAGCTATGCAAAGTAAGAGTAGATTTCGGCAATAGTAGCCTATTTTTATTTGGTCTAATTGAGTATTCGTAATTTGTTTCACTTAATTTGGTAAATAATTATTTACCAAACATGCAAATTAGTAAAAAAAACCACTCAGAACTCTGGGTGTTTTTTTTTTACAAATTTGCATGTTTCACAAATATAAATAGACGTCAAAGTCAAAATTTTAAACTTTTGAAGTGGGGTTTACAAATTTCTGGAATTTTTATGTTTGCCAAGATTTTTATAATTTTTTTTTGCGTTATAAATAATTTCTGTGCATCTTTACTGTTTCCCCACAACATGACACCGTATGACAGCCACGAAGATGTGTATGCGTAATATGCTGAAAGAGCGCTGGGGACATCTGTGGTTTTCTTTATTTCTCGTAATACGTAAGTGAATTTTGATGGCTGGGCTTTCCAGTTTATATGGACAGTCGATTTCCAGGCCTAACAAGTTGAAGTTGTCAACAGTTCCTATAGGTATATTATTATAAGTAAAAGCGATATTTAGTGGTGATTTTTGAACCGGTGAGAATTGCATAATTTTGGTTTTATTAAAATTAATCTCTAGGTTGTGATGTCAGCCAATTTGTAAGCTGGTTCAATACATGATTCAATTTATTATTCAAATTCTGGTCTTTTGTATGCGGAATAATCATGGAAATGTCATCAGTAAATATAATAGTGGTTTCAGTCAATACCCTATATTGAGAAAGAAAATCGCACAACACAAAATGTACAATTGCTCGTCATACCTTAAGAAAAAAATAAACATTTATTATTTGTAATTTTATATTATTAAAATAAGAAAAATCATCATCATCGACGCTTTCCAAAATGCGAATGAGTTCTGAGGAATCGTTCATGTTGCACTGCACTACTTTTTCCGCTATTCGTTTATGACGTCATCAGGGTGTCGTCTATCCTTGACCACGGCGCCCAATGAACTGATAATCGATGACGCGCTAAGGATGCGCCAGAGTTGAGATATTACATTTATTATGCGAAGTTGATTTGATGAAATTTTCTTTTATTTATGTAGCTGATGATAGTTTTATGTTTCTTACCTCTTGTTTTATTCAAATATCAATCATATTTTTTTTTTTTTTTTTTTTTTATTTAAAAAAATAACATGTTTGCGTTTAGTTTTGAATAGTTTTCAATAAATCTACGCCCAACGCATTACAACACTAGCGGACAAACATAGACGACTTTGGCGTGCTGGACATGGTATTTGCTTAGATAAAAATCCATTTTTTTTTAGTTCAATGCTTCTTAGTACTCGTGGCTCCAGGAGACTTGTTTTTTATACTCACATGTTGCTGGGTTAATCTACTTTGAGGAGTGTAGAATTAAAATACAAGTTATTACTTTCCAATATTTTTATGGGCCGGGTTTTTTGTCAACTATAGACTCTGGTGCTTGCGTATAGGCGACTTTGGCGCTCAAAAGGTTAATAAAGTTTTTCTCTTATGCCACCATCTTCGCGCAAATTGTTTATATTTTTGGATCTAAAAGTAGGCTACATAAGTATGTAATACATAGGTATTAAGAATTGTCATTAGTATTTCTATAGATTTTATTAACATGTGTGCAATTCATACGCGGTAAAAGTAAAACCTTGAGAAAACTAAACTTCGAGAGAATGAGACAAATGCGGTATCAGGAGTAAGATGATTGTGTAATGTAATTAAAATATAAATAAATTTTTAACAAACACTGTGTACTGTATTCTCTTTCTCTCGCAGGCCTTATCCTATAGATGTATTAGTTTGTCTCTTTTTAGTTATGCCTTTTTGTTTCATCGAGTTTCAAAACACAGTAATTCTAAAGAAGTTTTCCCTTCAAACAAAATCTATTTACAAGAGATGAAGGAGCCCATTAACGGTCTATTGTCTTTCGCCTATTTTTTTTTTATAGAATAAGGGTGACAAACGAGCACACAATCTGCCTGATGGTCAGTGGATGCTGTGACCCAAAGACATCTATCCTCGATTAAGAATCAAAACCCAGATGCGTGGTTACCTCTGAGGACTAAGCTAGAATTTCCAGTATAACGGGTCTCCGGATCTCTAGACTCACCATACGGCAATGGATTGGCAATGAGGTCATCGAGACAAAGTAATTTTATATAGATAAAGTCTGAATTAATACCTTCAACAAGAAACTTTGGTTGCTGTGGGGCTGCCGAGTCAGTTGGGTGCGTACAAAGTGCTCGGCACTGCCAATGCACACTTACACTCTCTGTGACTACTGCCTCCACAGTGAACTGAAAGAATGCCTTCAATTTTATTTTATACTTTGATTGAGCAATTTTTGTCACTAAAATTCTGCAAATATATAATTATTAGTAAATGTATGTATGTAGGAGTGCTGTTATCAATACATATAATTATACATTGGGTGCGTTTGGCAGAAAAAAGCGCTAGCAAGCGCTTGTAAGCAAAATGGCGATCGTAAGCGGTAAGCGCTGTCAAATCGTAAGTAGCTATATTCCTCCAGGACACGATGTTAGTTTTAACCGGGGAACCTAACCTAATTTAAATATATGTTTGTAAAGTATTCATATTAAAAACTTACCAATCATGAATTTTTAATAACATGTATATGTTTATTCACGTTATTATATTACTTAAAACTAATATTGCACAAAACAATTTATAAACTCTACTTCAAAACAAACAAATTAAATAAGCAAAATGGCGGATTGTGTCAGCGCTACTGAAGTAGTAATCGTGTCCTGGCCGAAAACTATTTCAGCGCTTGTAAGCGCTTGCTAGCGCTTTTTTCTGCCAAACGCACCCATTAATTATAAAATGAACAAGAAGAAAAATATAAATATGTCAATCACACTCAATAAAAGCAAAGAACTGACCTTATGATCATGCATTTTATGTTTTCTGGCAGCTTTCATTTCCTTAGTGACATGAAGCCAATTAGCACTATCCAAGGAACCCAATGGCCCATACACAACTTGCCCAGGGTAAAACTCTGACGACGAATAGGGTGTTGATCGTCGTCGCCGCATTGAATAGTCTTCAAGAGGACAACTGTCTAGGTCTGGGTATTCAAGACGTGAACCATCAGCTGAGACAAGACGTAGTTTACTATGCACAGCCTAGGTAAGAAATTAAATATTTTGTTACATTGGTATAAGATATCACATGGCAATTAATGTTATAAACGGAAAAGCAGATATAGAATACAGATACGTTTTATATTAGGTCTTTACCTATGAAATTGCTATTTTTATGAAAAGTTAATATAATTATTAACTTCCCGCTAAGAAAATCGAAACTTTTCAAGAAGTTAGGGGAAGTTATTGGTTTCACCCCGATTTTCGAAAATCGAGTTTTCATCAGATCTCGACGTTTTGAGATCCCAGGAAGCTATTCTGACTAATTTCACGTGGACGTCCGTACGGATGTATGTATGTATGTGTGTGTAAGTATGTAAAATGTAAACCTTTCACAACTTTTGAATGTCTCGATCGATTGGGATGTGGCGTTCTAAAGATCTCAATGTGTAATAGATTTGGTGATAATATGAACTGATTCGGGCGAGTAGATTTTAAGAAATCTCAAAAATAAAAATTTTGAAAAACTGTTTTTTTGGAATAACTTTTAAACGGCTTTACCTATCGATTTCAAAAACTAATCAGCTCTTAACCTCAAAAAATAAAAATCGGTTCATTTGTTCGTGAGAAGGATCGAAGGAGAAAGAATTTGAAAAAAACTTTTTTTAACATAACATCGAGATTTCGCAACATAATTTGGTGAAATTTGGAGCTTTGCATTTGAAATTAGCGGGAAGTTCCAAGGATGGCCTGCTGGGTCAACCAATTTTTTTTTAATATTTTTTATTTCTATTAATCAAAGTCACCCATGCAAACAATGCATCTTTGCCAAACACAGTGGCAGTTTATTGATGCCTTTCTTGAAAAAATCAGCAGGACAGGGGGCAACAAATACTACAAAGGTATTTTTAAATCCAGGAAAAGTAGATGTCTGTAAGTTTGCACTTTGGTTTTGGTGTTCCATTTTTTGTCGCAGATAACAATGCGATTCAAAATTCCTTCACTTGTATGCCTGTCGATCAGTGCAAAGCACGTCGCGACGGGTACTTCGCGCTGGCCTTCATTGAGTTTGTGGAACACCCATTTGTCAATCTTTTTTACTTTGCCAATTTGGCACAAATGGACCAATATTGTTTTGATGATAATGTCGAAAACTGCTGCTAATTCAGCCATAGATTGAGTATCACCAGCTTCAATAATCATCATCATGGTATCATCGTCATTTTCGACCAATGTTTTCAGACGGTGGTGCGTTCGTTTGTAGTATTCGCTCCGTAAACGTCGTTGACGTTGTGTGCCGCTTGTGCCGCGTTGCTACCACGACGGTGCTCATATTCCATAATTACTCGAACTTTTAAGGTATCCAAGATGACGAAAAAGATTCAAATGCAATGAAAACGAAACGCTAATCAATAAATAAATGACTAATTTTGAAAAAAGAATTTCATGTTTTGAAAATAAAATTAATTTTAAATTAGAATTCTTAGCCAAATAAAAATTATATTGATTTGAAATTGCCAATACTGCAGAACGGCAATTTCATAGCTAAAGATGAAGATATATATAAAGGCTTAGAAGATAATAAATAGGTTATTATCTTCTAAGCCTTCTTCACCAACTCCCAGAAGTCCATGGCGGAACACAACCCTCTCCCGTTGTAGGGAGGATTGCTTCACCTGTCACAATTGGCAGGCGGATTAAAAATAGTAGTATTAGAAGGCTGCAAGTAGTGGCGGCGTAAAAGAAAACACTACCTCATACCACATACAAAACATACATTTAGGGTAAAACCAAACTTCATGTAACCCTGATTTTTATTCCCCCCCCCCCCCAATGTATTTTTTTAAAGATTTATGAAGGGATAGGGTTAAGAGCTAGGAAAGTGTGAATGAAAAAGTTTTCTTTTAGTTATTATAATTTGAAAATGACATCTTCTTCATCACAAAACTCAAGATTTTTAATCATGAAAAAAATCATTTAAATCTTGCAATAATGTTGTTCTTTAAAATATTGAAAATCAGGTGCAATAAATAAGGCAATTTTGATTTTTTTACGATAATTTAGGGAGTATTTCTACAGGTTCTAGGGTAAAACTAAAATTATAAGTGAAAAGACTGGTGCCATGGTAGTTTATGAGTATTTAAGACATGGCGCTGATTTATTCTATAAACCATGAACAATTTTGTTCGCATGGCCATATCTTGTCATTTATATCAATGACTCCATACTACCCCAAGGGTGTCGTAAGACGACACTTGGAAATATAATGTGAGGTGATTATTTAAAATATATTATTTCTATAATGATGAAGACAATGTGACTGTCTGATGTGTGACAAATAAGTTCACCTCAGTCGCAACTAGCGACTTTGGTGATCTTTTTTTTTTTTTTTTTTTTAATAATAATAATAATTTATTCAAATAAAAGTACAATAATAGAGTGAAGACTCTGATTCCCAAACTAGACAAGTCTGTATCTTAGGAATCAGTGGCCTCTCCCAGTGTTGTGACAACAGTATTTTAGTCTTAACAATTAATTAAGTAACTAAGCTTTACATTTTTAAGTAATTGTTTAGCTAATTGAATGTATTTATTTACAACGAAACATATACTTTAACTTAATGCGACTCTTTAGTCGTTATTATATTTCATATAATCGTAGGTATATTAAAATTAGTTTGCAATTTGCAATATATATACATATACATACACACACGTATATACATATACATACACACACACATATATATATATATATATATATATATATATACATAGAATATATAGAATATATTATTATATAATTTCATACAGAATATATATTTTATTCATTATAACCTATAATGAATAAATAGATGCTTTAAACAAAGATTGCTATTTTTAATTTCATAATTTTAAAATTTTATAATTTTATTATACTTTTATTATACGACATACATTACTACATGTTAACAAATTATATTTTCTGTTTTACTATAATCAAGTGACAATAACCAATCTCGAACTTTAACTTTACATTCATGTCTGGAAAGAGGATAAAAATTTAGATTTCTATTTAATTTATTATAAAGCACTGAGGATCGATATGAACTTTGTCGCCTAGAAAAAGCAGTTTGACATCTGCCAATAATCATTACATCCGGTATTCTGCGTTTATTACGACAGATCTCAGGGTTATAAGGAGTTAGAGCATGTTTCATTAAGATCAGTTGTTGGATATACAATTGCCTAACAGTCAACAGTTTGCATTCTTGGTAAAGCAGATTTGTAGGATACCTGAACGGTTTAAAAGTCATAGTTTTTAGGAGACATCTTTGAGCTCTTTCTAATTTTATCATAAAGTTTATGCTCCACCCCAGGCAACTATACAATAACCTATAATTGATTGTGCTAAGGCGTAGTATACAGTTCTCAATAAATCAAAGTCAGCGATGTGCCTTAGCCTTTTAAATGTCCAAATAAGAATCCTAGTGCGCGATGAAATAAGGTCTATGTGTGGGAGCCAGCTTAGTTTCTCGTCTATAATTACTCCGAGATATTTAATTGATTTGGATTTCGTCATTTTAGGGCAAAGGCAAGTATCTGTTGACTGTAAACCACAAGAGTGTACTGTTAGTTGTATATCGTTAACAGTTTGGGTGTTGGTTATATGGAACTGCATATAGGTGGACTTTGATATATTAAGAGTCAGTAGATTCTCCTCAAGCCAATTTGCCACAGATTGAAGACCCCTCATCGCAAACTCCTGGACCTCAGGCCAAGTCTCTCCGTAGAAAATTAAGGCTGTATCATCAGCATAAGTAAATAGCTTGCCTTGAGTTAGTGTCATTGAGCACAGGTCGTTGATGTAAATTAAGAAGAGACTTGGTCCCAGGATACTGCCCTGAGGGACTCCAAATGTGACACAGGCGTCTGAGCTAATAATTTTTTTTATTTTTACTCTCTGCACACGGTCATATAAAAAATCCTTAAAAATGGAAAGGGCAGAATCTCTTATTCCAATTTTTTCTAGTTTGTTTACAAGAATGGGTATCGAAACGGTGTCGAAAGCTTTGGCTAAATCTAAGAAAATCCCTACACACTTCTGTTTATGGTCCAGTTTATTTGTTACAAATTCGGTCAAGTTACGAACAGCATCTTCTGTACTAACACCCGCTCTGAATCCGAACTGCATATTAGATAAGATATTATATTTGTTTAGAAATTTAACCAAACGATTATTAAGCATCCTTTCTAAGATTTTTGAAAGTGCAGGTAGCACAGAGATCGGCCGGTAATTTTCAACAACGTCCCGAGCCCCATTCTTGTAAACAGGAGTAATGAGAGATCTTTTAAAAACTTTTGGAAAGCATCCTTGTTCAAAACAGATTTTAAAAAGGGTTGTGAGTGGCAGAAGTATTTTATCCTTGGTCATTTTAAGGAAGCAAGCAGGAATGGAATCCCAACCAATAGCACAATCATTTCTAAGACCCATCAATATTGTTTCTACTTCTAACTCGTCAGGAGAATCGAGCACAAATGAATTAAGCGACCAGGGTATAGTATTAACATTAGCAGGTTTAGCACCGTTTGCTAGAATTTTATCAGCTAATTTTCTACCCAAAGTTGAAAAATAGTAATTAGCTCTCTCCACTGAATCTATAGGATTTTTAATGATCAAATTTTCAGCGTAGTTATTTTTAGTATCACATCCGGAGATGGCTTTGATTGCAGACCAAGTTTCTTTACTGTTCTTTGCATTTGCCAAAAGACTTTTTTCATATTGGCGCTTGAGCTTACTTAACAAGGAATTGCAGTAATTCCTATAACGCTTATAAGAAATTTGAAGTATTTCATTGTCAGGGTTCTTTTTCAGTTTTTGGTGAAGTTTATCGCGGTGACGGATACACCTTATCAGTCCAGGTGTCATCCAGGCCTTAAGCGTTCGTTTCACTCTAGGAATCTTAATTTTAACAGTATTATTCTTTATAGTAGAGGTTATTAGATCAACAAATTTTTCGGCAGCCGTGTCTGCATTTAAAGTTGGAGATATAAAAGAAAAATCAGCAGACTCTATAGATTTGATGGCATCATCATAATTTATTTTATCAATAAAAATATTATTAGGCTTGCGTTTGGGGTTCAAAGAAACATTTGTTAAGATTAAGGAATGATCAGTGATTACACTATCGAGTACCATTATTTGAGTATTTAATACTGTTTTCACCATAACATGGTCTAAACAATTATTGATACGGGTGGGATAGGTATGACCTGGTAAAAGACCTAATCCTGCAGTTAAATTTAAATAAGGTTCACTGTCTTTGTCTTTGTTGCCTTGAATAATATTTATATTGATATCACCCATAATAAATATGTTACTAGATTTTAAGGGACGAATAATTTTTTCTACAGAATCTAAAAAGTTGTCAATATAATAATAGGAGGGTGATCTATATACCGCTAATATTACTATATCTGGATTTATTTTAATTAAAAGATAGTTACCACCATTTGAATCAGGTTCTGTTATTATACAATCAATTGAGTGTTTAGAATAAACTGTTATACCATCATTTTGGATTGAACATTTTTTTGAGAAATGACATTTGTAACCTGGAAGCGGAGGAACAGGCTTATTAACATCAAGGCGACATTCTGTTAGTATTATTATATCCGGTTCAAATGAAAGTTGTGATATATATGCCATAAAGCCATCCAGGTTTTTATAGACGCTACGTATATTTTGTGCAATGATATTTAAAGAATTACAGGATTTCCTGACAATATCATTGCATTTTAAAACATCACACACAAAAGATGAAGCCACTCTAATATTATCCATATCTGATAGAATTTGATTCTGTAATTCAGGCATTTTTAAAGAGGAGAAATTCATTGTCACATCTATAGTTCCGATTTAAATAATAGCTATTGAGAGCCATCCCACAAATTGTTCGAGAAAAACCATGTATTGTAAAAATATACAGTACGGTTACAATAGTAATGTGAATGTATGTCGTACCGTTTAGTAAAATATATATAATGTTATATAAATAATTAAAGAAATAATAAATAAATATTTGATAATAAACAAAATCAATGTAAGTAGTAACCAAAATTCTACCGGAGATCTCATACAGTCATTTTTGGCCTCGCAGCTTAGCTAAATCTGACTCAGAGTCCACTCTGATATGTGGTTTGCCCTCATCTTGACGTAGATATGTACGTCCGTATGAAGTCCAGCAGAACTTATATCCGTTTTCCTGCGCAAAATTTCTTGCTAAGTAGTTAAGGCGCCTAGCTTTCTGCGTTAAATGTTCAGAAATAAATATCGGCTTCTGTGGCCCATCCAGTGCGAGATGGGTTGTGTTTAATTTATTTGCGCTGTTTTTTGTATTAAATTTGCGCGCTTTTTTCAAGAAATTTTCTTTTTTTTATGGTAGTTGTAAGGTCGACGATAATATTTCCGTTACCAGTTTTGTTTTTAATGCGGTACACGTCATTTATTTCTGGCTGTTGAAGAGGTACTTCTAGGGCCTTAGCAGTTTTTAAAACAATGTCACACAGACTTTCTTTGGATTCACTGGGTCCCATAGGGATGTTTCTAAGCTCAAGCTTTGATGCCACAATAGTTGACTCCAGAGAGCATATTCTTCCTTCAAGTTCAACGATGTAGAGTCGATCTTCCTTTCTTTGCTTTTCGAGGGAATCAAATTTGATTTTCATATCATCGTATTGCTTAGATATCATCTCGATTGATTCTTTAATATCTTTATATTGGGATAGTATTTCATTCACAGAGGATTGTACAGAAGTCAATGTACTCTGATGTTTTATAATGTTAGAATTAACTATAATTTCTCTAATTTCCCTGATTTCTTCCCTAAATAGTTCCATACTAGAAGAATCAATAACATCTTTTTTCCTTAGGGTGATATTATCACGCTCTGAAGAAGGCTTTTCAGTAGATAGGCTGGGGCAAATATTTATAGGTGTACAGCTCACATTCTTATTCTTGTTTTTTACCGCTGGCGGTGAGGCGGGAGGCGGTGTTCGCTTGAGTGGCATGCTTAGTTTCAAATCAAACTCAAAGTACCAGGCTCCCAAAAGTTTACTGGAGTTTACAGAAGCAGTCTCGCTGCAGGGGTCAGCTAAAATTGTCGGTGATCGACGATTTCTTACAAAAATTCTTTCCGTCCAACTATCATAGACCCTTGAATGCACATAAACAAACGGAATTGTGTGCGTAACTCGTATAATGTATAATTAATAGCACAGTAGTGTGACTTACGCGCAGTAGATGACAGAGAGAGGTGTCGTGTCGAATAGACGTCTCGTTTACTCTTAGAACGATAGCACACACAGTTTGAATTCACTCACAACCACTACAATGATAATGCGAAGGCGCAGTAGTATGTCACCTGATTACTTGCAGCTTAGCTCCTGGCGGTTTATGCACTTCTATTTTTAGTATCGAATTAAATTAATACTATTTTAAAATTAAAAATTAAAGTATCGTGGAAAAATTAAAAAGACGTCCAAACTAGGCGCGGTCCGGAGGGAGAAGGATATCATAATCAGAAGATTAATAGCCTTCAATAAGATTCTTACATAAGTACAAGTTACAACAATTGTACAATAAGAAGTAATATATATGTTTTTTTATAGAATAAGGGTGACAAACAAGCACACAGTCCACCTAATGGTAAGTGGATACGGTAGCCCATAGACATCTACATCTATCCTCTATTACAAATCAAAATGCAGATGCGTTGTCACCCGTGAGGACTAAGATGGAACGCCTCATTTCCAGTATAAAGGGTATCCGGTTCTCTACACTCAGCATATGAAACACAGCAGCATCACGCTACTATTTTACGCTGGTATTCTGTGAGAGTGTGGTCCTTCCCCAGTCAACCCAACCCATGCGTGCTACAACTATACTACTGATATAACTGCAGCATGGCTCTACCACTGTAATATAAAAATAAGAATAAAAACCAACCTTAGAAGTTCCAACCCAAGAGTCTAGGCATACTGCAAGATCTGGTGTGAATTCTTCCAGTGGTTGTAGCCTCTCACTTGCAACATTAGGAATGACATGTTTGGTACCAACAATCTGCAGTGCTGCAGTCATGATTATATCGCGACAGTATCCGCGCTGCGTGTCCTTGCCAGCTATGAGGCGGCGCACAACATCGCCAGGCATCAAAGAACGATCAGCAAGGCCAACCTGTATACATAAATTAAATATAAATTTTAATTTGATTGATGAAGATTAATTAATTTGACAATAACCCTTGCATTGACCATCATAGTGTTATAAGGTGCTGTCATCCTACTGTATAAAAACGACACCTAAAAAAAGATTTAATTTTCTCATTATAATTTTTTCTTGTGATTTTTTAATTCAAAGCGTAATTTTGCAAAATCAATAACATTTTTCTAAAATACCACAGCACTGCAGAAACCTGCATATTTGAGAAATAAAAAAATATTTTGAAGACATGTGAAGTTTGCCAACACGCATTGGGGCAGGGTAGCGGACATTTCCTAGCCCTAAAACCCTCTCAGAAATGAGAGGAGGCCTGTGCCCAGCAGTGGGACGTATATAGGCTATAACTTTAACTTTTTATATTTCAGATGGCTCTTATATTAGTAACAAGAAAAAGCAGCAGGTTTACTCTCAAAATTTATAATTTTTTTCTAAACTTGTCTAGTACACTGCTGTATACCTAGATAAAAATTGAACTATGAACTTAACTGGTAAATGTAAACATTTGATTCATGGACATTTTATTACATACAATCTCAAAAATTTGTATGTCAAGTATGGCAACTCCTATGTTACAGCAAATCCTATGGCAGGGGCCCATAAATCATATATTTTAAAAATCACCACCAACAGGACTCTGGTCTTTTGTCACTTATTGTAAGAAATCAAGCACTATAAAGCTGGCAATGGCAATTCCCCAGTCAAACTAATCTATTTAAGCTGCAATCAACAAATGTTTTTAAGTGTTGTACTAGGTGATAGGCCTAGGCCTACCTATATTTATCATCAATCATTTTATGTACCTAATGTATATAACACAACATATTACAGCATATTAGTGTGAATCTCCTCTGTGTTCCCCTCTAAACTATGGGTAACTAAATACAAGTTCCCTTTGAAGAGCATTGCAGTTTTGAGAATGTTTTTTTTATTATTTATTACACTGTAGGTTCCTAGTCTACATGGCAGGATACTAAAAAATGCTTAATATCCTGCTGTGTGGAAGAGAAAGAAATCGAAAAGGCATTGTTAAATTAATTAGTCAAAATACTCTTGCATAATTTTTAACCCCTGATGAAAAAGAGGGGTGTTATAAGTTTGACTGCTATTAATTTATGTCTGTCGGTAGCACCATAGCTCTTGAACAGGTCAACCGATTTGGATGCATTTTTAAATTTAAAAGCAGGTTTTCTAGTGGTGGTTCTTAGACATATTTTATAAAAATCGGTTCCGCCGTTTGAAGGTCATCAGCTTTTTATGTTTCAGGGCTTTTATAATATTCAATTTAAGTAATGTTAGTTATGTTTTGACTTATTGATATATTTGCTAACAGAAAAAAGTAATAACAAGTTAGATATTATAATAAGTAGAAAGAATGTAACATATTATAATACATGAAAATGTATAGATTATAAAAGTGCATAATAAAATACGACAAGCATACTTTATGTACTGATTTATCACATACTCGGCAGTGAATTCACATGCATAAGGCCATTGCAGCGAATATTTGCTTGCCTTAAAACATTCTCAGAAAAAAGGGGAAGCCTGTGCCCAGCAGAGTGACATATTATTATATAAACTGTGACTCTACTTTTACTATTAAGTCATTCAAAAACAAAAGCTAATAATTTTTACACTTTTATTATTACTTAATAAGTGCCTAGTGTGTCTTATAATCCTAATAAATCCTAAAAATCATATGAATCTATCACTGATTAGAAGGTTCTCAAATGTAATATAATTTCATCAATGGTGGGTATTGAGACCACAATATAATTATACCCTCATTATTGTTCATTCTTGAAGAACTTTCTAGTCATACTTTGTGAACCTTTCAGCTATTTACCATACTTTCCAAGAGCTTATTGTTTTTCAATAACACGTTTTAAAACGCTATTCCCGAATGTAATTTAAACAGCCCAATGTAATTTGTCTTTCATTGTTACTTACCGACTTCTCGGATATCACTCGTTCGGTTCCCGAAGGATGCCATACGACACGAATTTCGCCTTTTTGTATAGGTGTTTCAATGTCGCTTTCCTGATCACTGGAGTTTGCTTCGTAGTTTTCAAGTACAAGACCAAATACAACTTGGCCGCGATTGTTAATTTTATAAACTTCATCTTCATAAAAATATTGGAAGTCAGTAGGTGAGCCCGGATTTTGCCCCGCCATATTGACGGGAATTATCTAAAGACACAAATAATTTTGTTTTTTACGTGATTATGTTCTTTCTGACAGCTGATTGCAATGTGTGGCGCATGCGTCAATTAATTATGCAACGGAAACGCCATCGTGCGGTACTTCATGCAAAAAATGAGATTAGGCATGCATGTCGACCTAAAATCGTATAATCGAAAAATGATTATTTAGGATAAAATAATCGATTTTTCAGATCGATTGGAACACTATATCGATCCGACGAATCGATTCAAAACTTATTGAATCGGACTGATTCCAGAACTAGCGATAACGTATCTGAACTAGCTGCGGTATTTTACTTTTTTTATTGTTTTTGCTGTTGACGGACGCACAAACAAACGGTCGTACTAGGTTGATAGTTTGAACGAAACAGATAAATATTTATGAACGTATCCAAATATGTCGTTTCCTTCATAACTATTTCAGAAAGTTTTAATCGATGCGATGATGCGGGTGACGGCTTTTCAAAGATCTCAATGTGGAATATATTTGGTGATAATATGAACTGATTCAGACGAATAGATTTTGAGAAAATTCAAAAAAAAATTTGAAAAACTGTTTTTTTGGAATAATTTTAAACAGCTTTACCGATCAATTTCTAAAACTAATCAGCCCTTAACCTCAAAAAATGACGTCGAATGCTGTTTGTAAAATAAAAATCGGGTCATTCGTTCGTGAGATATCGAAGGAAAAGAATTTGATAAAGACTTTTTTTTAACATAACTTTGAGATTTCGCAACATAATTTAGTGAAATTTGGAGCGCTTTGCATTTGAAATTAGCGGAAAGTTCCAGGGATGGCCTGCAGGGTCAACCAAATTTTTTATACAATAAGCGTGACAAATGAGCACATAGTCTACCTGATGGTAAGTGGGTGTTGTGGCTCATAGACATCTTCATTAATCCTTGATTAATAATCAACATGCAGATGTATTGTCACCCCTGAGGACTAAGATTGAATTCCTCGTTTCCAGTAAAAACGTTCTCCGGTTACCAACACTCATCATACGAAACACAGCAGCCTCAACCTGCTATTTGATGCTGGTATTCTGTAAGAGCGGGGTCCTGCCTGGGTTAGCCAATCAATTCATGCTACAACTAATATACGAGCTCCAGCGTTGCTCTACCACGTATAATATATATTACTTTCTAATAAAAAAAGTTGTCACTTGTCATTGTCATTTTTAATCTAAACCGTGAATCCTAGTGTCTAACCTAATCTGTTCTATGAATTTACTTTATTTATAAAAAGATATACTGTGAATAAATATTATTTGTTGAAGTTTATAGCAACGACATAAACATTATTAGGTTCGTGTAGTGATTTAACGAGGAGTGTAGGTTCATTTCAGCTTGCACGTTTGTTAAAGTATTGGTGTATATAAGAATATGTAATGTATTATTAGGCATGTCTGAAAATGTCCTGAAATCGATTTTTAGTTAATTATCGAGAAATTGAAAATCGATCTTTTAATGATCGATTTATTTAAGAATCGATTCTAGTATGTTCAATTCGAATCAAATCAGAGATCGATTTTATTTTATGTGAATCGACATGCCTAAATAAGATCTACGTTCTGTTTTATTCATTCTGCAGTCTGGTGAGTGCAGGTGGCCGGAGGCCCAAATCCCCTCCCCCCCATCAACATGGTAGCGGAATTAAATATGAGACTACCCCAGGAGGGTACCTGCACCCCTGGAGAATCCCTCGCAGTGCATCCACGACCAAGTTACTCCACTCCTGAGCGTGGGTGCTCAAGCTGCCCCGCGTATTCTGGGGGGGGGGGGCAAAATTCCACTCAAGACTACAACTGCTCGGGGCAAACGGAGCAACAAGACCAAGGCGTCCCCTGCAACGATATCCGTGAATTTCTGCAATATCAATGGACTTCACTCTAACCTAAACGCCGTCCACTACCACCTCCAGACGGCGAGGCCGGCTCTGCTCTTTCTGACCGAGACGCAGGTGTCCTCTCCGGCTGATGTCTCTTATTTCTCCTACCCGGGGTACAAACTGGAACACTCCTTTGTGCCTCGGGCTGGAGTTCGCGTTTATGTCAGAGAGGACATCAGTACTCGACGCCTCGACAGACTTGAAGGTTCGGACCTGTCCATCCTTTGGCTACGCGTAGACAGCGACGGCCATCCGCACGTCTACGGGTGCCTCTATAGGTCCCATAGCGGTAATGCCGAAACAGACCGACTCTTCGACCACGTCCAAATGGTTACAGATTCGTTGCTACAGCAGATCCCCTCCGCAGAGATCGTGATCCTCGGCGACTTTAACGCCCATCACGCCGAATGGCTTCGTTCACGCTTAACCGATCATGCGTGGAGATCTGTTCATGATTTTTCCTTGGCATATGGTCTGAAACAACTGGTTACTTTTTTAAAGGAGAAAGACGATCTGCAAGGCTCTTTCTTTGCGTCCAACTCGACTCTCGATGATGGGGGGAGTACGCCGCTGACCATCCCGCGGTGTGAGAGCTCCATGCCGGAAGTGCAGTTTACACAGCGCTCGGTTCGCAAAGCACTCCTCTCCCTGGACATCCACAAGTCGAGTGGGCCTGACGGAATGCCCCCAATTTTGCTGAGGACGTGTGCTCCAGAGATGGCTACGGTTTTAACGCGTCTTTTCCGGTACTCCTACTCCCTAGGTGTAGTCCCAAAATCATGTAAGACGGCTTTCATCCACCCGATCCCTAAAAAAGGTGACCGCTCAGACCCGTCCAACTACCGGCCTATCGCCATCACCTCCTTGTTCTCCAAAACAATGGAGTCTATTGTTAACTGCCAGCTCATGAGGTACCTTGAGGATCACCAGCTAATTAGTGACTGCCAATACGGTTTTCGCCGTGGTCGATCAGCTGGTGATATTCTGGTCTACCTAACTCATAGATGGGCGGAGGTAGTAGAGTCCAAGGTCTTCGATCGGGTTTGGCACAAAGCGCTTCTTTCGAAGCTCCCTTCTTATGCGCTTCCCGAGAAATTGTGCGATTGGATCACCAGCTTTCTTGCAGATCGGAGCATCAAGCATCAGTCCGATTACAAGCCTATTAATGCTGGTGTTTCACAAGGCTGCGTGCTATCGCCAACACTGTTTCTTCTGCATATCACTGATATATTGCAAACCCGTAACATTCATTGCTATGCAGATGACAGCACTGGTGATACTCTGTACACCGGCCGTGCCAATATTTCTCGGGAAAACGTCTCCGAGTACCGGGACAAACTTGTGTCTGAAGTCGAGTCTTTGCTGAACAGAGTCTCTCAGAGTATCTTCCCAGTTTCAAGGCACTCCCCTTGTTGCCTCAGCCAGTATCGGTATCCTCGACGTCGACATATCAAGTGATGTGCAGTTTCGTGGCCACTTGGAAGAGAAGGCCAAATTGGCCTCAAAAAAGCTTGGCGTGTTCAGCAGAGCGGGACAGTATTTCATGCCGGCACACCGCCTGCAACTTTACAAGGCGCAGGTTCGGCCGCACATGGACTGTTCCCATCTCTGGGCTGGGGCTCCCCAGTACTAGCTCCTTCCTCTTGACCGCATCCAGCGCAGAGCGGCTCGAATCGTCGACGACCGAGTGCTTTCCGATCGGCTCGATTTACTGGTGGATTTAAGTGCTGCGAAGAGATGTTGCATCTCTTTGCATTTTCTTCCGCATATACCATGGGGAGTGCTCTGAGGAATTGTTCGGATTAATCCCAGCCGCCAAATTTGTTGGGACTTCTGTGTGCTGTGTGTGAATAGTTTGCCACCGGCGATTTTTTTCGGACCGATACGACCTGGGGACCTTCAAGAAAAGAGCTTACTCCTTTTTAAAAGGCCGGCAACGCACCTGCAATTCCCCTGGTGTTGCGGTAGATCATGGGCGGCGTTAGTCACTTAACACCAGGTGAGCCGCAAGCTCGTTTGCCCCCTCTTCTATAAAAAAATTGTTTTATCTGTCTTTTGCATTATGGTATTATGTAGCTGTTTTGCTTTTCATTATATTACTTCTCTAAGCTTTAATACCTGAGAAGAACATATTTTTCCCAGTTTCGAGTTTCCTGTTAGTGTTTTAGCTCAATTCTGTTTGTTTCGTGAACATTTTAAATGGATTTGCCACCGAGGAAGAAGGCTTATAGGTAGAAAGAGATGGCAAATGGCATGGAATTCAATTGATAAAATAAGAAGGTGATCGTGATAGTATAGTGAAATTTTGAGCTCAAGTCTCCCGATACAAAAATGCGACTAGGATTAATGAATGTCTTTCGGGAATTAGTGGACTTAGCTGTCAGCGTGCGTGTGGTATGTTGTAGGCATGCAGCGGTGAAGAGTTTCGGGAATATAACGTCACCCTGTCTTACACCTCTCTGCAGTTGGGTAGGTTTCCTACTCTGTTTCTGTACTCGGATAGCCATCATAGCCCTACTGTACAAACACTTCAGCACTTCGATATACCGACAGTCCACTTGGCACAGCTGAAGGGACTGTAGCACCGTCCAAATTTCGACGGAATCAAAGGCTTTCTCATAGTCTACATACACCAAGCAAATTGGCAGATTGTATTCTACGGACTTCTGTACAATTTGCCGAAGGGTATGTATGTGGTCTATGGTGCTAAAGCCTTTTCGGTAACCGGCTTGTTCGGGAGGCTGAAAGTCGTCGAGTCTGCGTGCTAGACGATTCGTAACGACTCTCGAGAACAGCACGTAGACGCGGCTCAGAAGGGATATCGATCTGTATTTCTTCAAGAGAGCGTTGTCACCTCTTTTGAAGGACAAGACCACCGCACTTCTGCTCCACGCTTCGGGAGTAGTGCCACAATGGAAGACGGTTTAATTCCGTCTTCCATTGTGGAGCTTCTGAAGGACTTCAAGTACCGGTTTTCCATCCGCTTTCAGAAGCTCCGCTGTAATTCCATCCTCGCCCGGGGACTTGCCGTTTTTAAGGTGATGGCGAGCCATTCTAATCTTGCTCAGACTGACGTCCGGTATATCATCGGAATAGTACCGGATAAGACTTGCTCTTGGATCGCTACTCATACTTGCGTGTGGCTCCGACGATGACGTGTACAGCTGCCCTTTTCTATCAAAATCTCAGATGTCCCGGAAACGATGCTGCCACACTCGATCTTTAGCTTCGACAGTTGGCTCTTTCTGACAGACAGATCTCTGGCAAAGTCTTTAGGGCCTTGGTTCGGCTCGATCGCTTCTTCAATACGAGCTGTACTGAAGTTGCGTAAGTCCCGCCGCATGTATTTGGAGATCTGTCTGTTCAGTTGCCTGTAAGATGGCAAATCTGCTGAAGACTGCAGCTTAATTTCCCGTCTAACAACCATGAGATTAAGAGTGTGATCGGAGAGTTTTTGTGTTCTTCTGCGGCGGGTCTTGCGGAACTTAGCTCCGACCGCATGGACAGTTTTCACGAGCGATGCAGCGGACGATATGTATGACATATCGTCCACTGCATTGCAATCTTCTAGGCACTAAAAATGGTTTTGTAACTCGAGCTGAAAGGTTTCGGGACTTTGGATTAGAGCACGAGGGGGACGGAGCGTGGACTTCATTAGACGAGACCTCTCCAACTTAACGTTTAAGTTCAGTGTGCCTCGAACCATTTGGTGATCGCTGCCAGTTTTCACCCTCGCGATCACTGAGATATCACTGAACAGTTGGCGTCTGGTCGCCATAATGAAGTCGATCTCATTTTTTGTCGAACCGTCGGGGCTCGATCAGGCCCACTTCCTGTGGGGCCGCTTCCAGAAGTACATATCATTTAATGGAAAATAATTCACACTAGACTTTGGGTCTAGTGTTATCGTCCGTGCTTTTTATTATTTGTTTTCATAATGCAACCCAAAATCGACAATTACATACCGGACGCATCATCATAAATATTATTATATATAATATTTCAATGCACGGATAGTCACTTTGAAAAATTAAGTTAAAGTTTACAATCGGCAAAATGTAGTCTAAAAAGTAAAAGTGCTATTTGTTTATATCATTAGTAAAAGCATGATAGAAAAATTCTGATGACATAATGCGATCATTCAAATGTTCGCTTGAAAAGAACAACTGCAGTGCCCTCCATTGCTCAATTATTCTACTAACACAAGTATGAAGCGACAGCCACCTTATATCATAATGAAGCAATATTCTATGTTTTTCAGTGTCAGTGAAATTTTGAAACTCAACAAATTACCTTTGACGCTTGCTGCTTTGAGAAAAATGTCCATACATTTCTTTTACTATCTGTCCAAATATCTGATACTCCAAAGTAACAAACACATTTTATGAAAAAGCATTTTGGGTTCACTTCTTTAATTTTTGCGACAGTGCCAGAGTGTTCACCGAACATAACATTCATAGTATCAGTAGCGAACCCCATCACGTCTTTTATATCTAAATCTAATTGGGATAACTGATGGCAAAGCATCATATAAATGATCTGCGGTCTCACCATTTAAATCAACTAAATCAAGGAATTTGATTTGTACTGTACGTTTGGTTTCAGAGAAGTATTTTATTACCATACTTTGACTGTGGTCACCACAGTCAAAGTATGGTAATAAAATACTTCTCTGTACTTTCGTCCATTATAATTGAATACACTGATATGAGTTTGTACTGACACGATTTTCACAATAAAACATGTTTTAATCACTGTTTTCTGTCAACGTATCAAAAAGCGTTTGCATAGTCAAAGAACATGTTGTAGTGAAATATGTTTGGCAGTTTATTGTACATTAAATATTTTAACTATATTATATCCGTAGACAGAGAAACCTATAGACGAATGATTAGCGTGGCCTAGAGTGAAAGAGGACGATAATGTAGTTTTAGGTTTTAGGTTTTATACAATAATCTTTATTACTTTTAAACATATTTAGATAAAAAAAATATTGTTCTAAGAACTGAACTGAACAAGATTCACCAATCTTAAGCTCGCAAAACATTTTTTTCTAACTTAAACCAACTTGTAAACTCCTTAGATCGCTACGAACTATCAAATTTGTTTCGCGAAGTGTAGTTTACAAAACAAAAGAACCGGCACGGAGAAAGGGACAAACAAACACACCGCTCTGTCTCATTTCTTTGCAAGACGTATGCATAAATCTATCTTTTTCGTGTGCGAATACGAAAGAAGGCGTCAATTTGTCTATGGGCTTCTCTATCTACGATTATATCTTTATAAACTCAGAAACAAAATGTTAGAAAACAAATTTGTAGAAATATTGTCATGTTGAAAGATAAATTTGAATATAACTTTGATGACAAAGCATCCAATAAATGTTCTGCGGTCTCACCATTTAAATCAACTAAATCAAGGAATTTGGTTTGTACTGTAGGTTTGGTTTCAGAGAAGTATTTGATTACTATCGCCAATACTTTGAGTGTGGTGACATCTGTACTTTCGTCGATTACAATTGAATATACTGGTTTACCTTAGCGTGGGTTTGCACTGACGTGATTTTCACAATAAAACATGTTTTGACGAATCAAAAACGAATCAAAAAGCGTTTGCATAGTCAAAGAACATGCTGTAGTGAAATATGTTTGACAGTTTATTGTACATAAACGTATTTTAAATATATTATATCTTTATAAATACAGAAACAAAATGTTTGAAAATAAATTTGTAGAAATATTGTCATGTTGAATGGTAAGTTTGAATATCTGTTGAAAATTTTACACAGTTTTTGTGAGTGCGAACGCCCCCATCAACAAAACATGTTGTGTGATTTATTTTATGCGATTTGTTTCAAAACATTACGTGTTGGATGTTTCTCAATTCAAACGTACTGTCACGGAGATGCAGTACGAAGTATGTCGTCAATCATATCTTTTTCAAATTTGGGTCCTAAAACGTTATAAGTAATAGCGGCAGCTTTGCTTCTCTTGCAGGAAAACTCTTTCGCAACTTTGGAGTCGGGAAAACATTTCACTAGAATATCACTAATTTTAATTGTTTTTTAGGCCTCTTTTTTTTGCTCTTCATCGTTTTTTTCACGGAATCATCGTTACTATTTTATTTTTTTTTTTTTGATATATACCAACTAATTTTTTTTTTACGGATTTTATTGCGTATATTTAACTTTTTAATTACCCAGCCGTTACTTTACAGCACTCATTGTCACGGGATTCAACACACACAATATTATTCACTTGATCTCAAATGTCACTTGACATCAAACTAGTATTATTCACTTGATATTTTTCAAAGGCGTAGTAGAAAAGCTGGAAAGTGACAGGCTGCTTTTTATTCCGATTGAATGCTCCCACGGGATACGCGGGCGAAACCGCGGGCGAAGTCTAGTACTATACAATTATGAGCATCCACTATATAAAACATCTTCAAGCTTTAGGTACGGTCCTAACCGTACCGTACCTAAAGTCAAGACTTTAGGTACGGTAATGCTGATATAACAAGTTATGCTTACTTTTGACTGTCCTTTATATTTTTTTCAAGTTCGATTTATGCTTCTCAGTATTTGCATGTTGTTATATAGATGTTAATCTACTTCGGAATTTCGCACTGCATGCTTTACAAAAGGCGGCGTACTCGTCGTCTTTATAGCGTGAAAGTGATGAAGAAAACACTGGAATTTGTTCCCATATAGCCAAATAACTTTGCTGAAAACTAGATATGTTTTCTGGATGATTGCGTAACAGCTCACAGCATTATAGCGTGAAGTAACATAAAAACAAAAAAACACGCGCTCTATATATATGACGACAGAAACGTACTACAAATTTAGAGAAAGGAGACGGTCCATTTCAGGCCCAGTCTATGTACACTATACCGTAAAAAAGCGCAAAATTCAGGGATTTTATCCATACTTATGCTTATACTTATATAATATTATAAATGCGAAAGTGTGTTTGTTTGTTTGTGTTTCTTTCACGTCGCAACAGAGCGTTGGCATGGCATGATTTTTTGTATGGGGATAGTTCGGTGGATGTAGAGTGACATAGGCTACTTTTTTCCGCGGAAAAACATCTCATTCCAAACATTGCTGTGGCCGTAGCTTCCTCCGGTATAGCCGCCACGCTGCTAAGCGGGGGCCGCACTGCACATTCTGTTTTAAAACTCCCTCTAAATCTAGCCCAGAAAGAATCGCCGATCTGCAACTTTAGCAAAATTAGTGCACGAGGTATAATGCTACGACAATGCAAACTTTTAGTGTGGGACGAAAGTACAATGTCGCATAAAAAAGCTGTAGAAGCACTAAATCGAACGCTCCAGGATTTGCGCAGCAATACCGATGTAATGGGAGGAATGGTGGTTTTACTGGCTGGTGACTTTCGCCAAACTTTACCTGTCATTCAAAAGGGCACACCTGCAGATGAAATTAAAGCATGCCTCAAGTCGTCTATTTTATGGAACAAGGTGACAAAATTCAGTTTAACTACGAATATGAGAGTGCATTTGTATAATGATATCAATGCCGGAAACTATGCTGACACACTATTAAAAATTGGCGATGGGCGGTTGGAAACGGATGCTGAGGGCTGCGTTAAATTGACGAGAGATTTTTGTAATTTAGTACAGAGTCATTCCGAATTAATTGCGAGCGTTTATTCAGATTTAACGAACAACATGCATGAAGACAAATGGTTATGTGAAAGGGCGATTCTTGCACCAAAAAATGAGAGCGTTAACAAAATAAATTCAGATATATTAAGCGAAGTAGCAGGAGAAATAACAGAGTATTTGTCAGTAGACACAGTTATGGACACATAACAGAGCACTTCATATCCCTTAGAGTTTCTAAATTCTCTAGAGTTGTCAGGTGTGCCCATAAGCACATTGACAGTGCTCACATAAGCTTCAATTAAAATTAGGCGTCCCAGCCATGCTAATGCGAAATTTATATACTCCTCGGTTATGTAACGGGACAAGGCTGCGTGTGACACATCTTGGACGGAACATAATCGATGCTACAATTTTGACAGGCGTAGGAAAAGGTGAAAATGTTATTATACCACGGATCCCTATAATTTCCACAGATCTTCTTTTTTCAATTCAAAAGGTTGCAGTTCCCTATTAAGCTCAGTTTTGCAATGACAATTAATAAAGCGCAAGGGCAAACGTTACAGGTAGCGGGGGTCAACTTAAAAAAACCGTACTTCTCTCATGGTCAGCTGTATGTAGCATGTTCGCGTGTGTCAAATGCCCAGAATCTCTACATTCTTTCCCCGAATGGAAAAACATATAACATTGTGTACAGTAGCGTCTTAAAATAGTGTTCAGTTAGTTTTTTTTTCCAAAATTCCCACAATCAATTAATCAGAATTCCCACAGATCTTCCCTTTCAATTCAAAATTTCCTATTTAGCTCAGTTTCTTTTCAATTCCAAATGCTGCACCTCTGACGGACCTATTAAGCTCAGTTTTCTTTCAACTCAAAAGGCTGCATCTCTGACGGATCTTTTATTTGGCTCAGTTTCCTTTCAATTCAGAAAACTGCATCTCTGACGAATCAATTTAGCTCAGTTTCTTTTCAAAATTCTGCATCCCTGACGGATAATTATGCTCAGTTTCATTTAATTAAAAAAATATCCCATTTGCATTTGGTATAAACAGGCTATTTTCATGCTTTCCTATACGCTGCGTTTCAAGACATTTAAATAGGCTGACGAATCAATTTTGCTCAGTTGCCTTTTAATGGCTGCATCTCTGACAAATCTATAAAACTCAGTTTTCTTTCAATTCAAAAAGCAATGGATAGTTCATTTTCCAGTGACTATGCGGGCGAAGCCGCGGATAACAGCTAGTTAAAAATAAAATAAGAGAATAAGTCAAACTAAATGACTTGCTAAAAATAAAAATGCAATTCCAATTGTTGATGATTTTACAAGATGGCGCCCTTCCAGTTATAAAATTATATCTCAAATGTCATGTCTGAAAAGTGACTTGAGGCATGAAATAATGTAGGTAGTATGATATTTTTTATTCCGATCTTGTTCGTGCAGTTATGAACTCGTCAATGCGTTTATAGTGTTTCTTTTGGATTTTTTGTCGATTTTTTTAAGCTATTGCATAGCTTCTATCGCGGGCCTTGAGCGCGGGGACCGAATCCAGAAATTCCTTAACGAAAAAAAACCTCACGCTCCCCACTCCGACGGGCACGGAGATGTGGCGTTGAAAGCCGTGCATCGTCTAACGTCGTTTTAGTTCGGCAGACTTCGGCACTCAGCAGACTTCGGCACGGTGTTTGTGTGCGTGTACATTAGCTGCTAACTCAATGATGAAAATTCCTGAATAACCTACATGTATTGTAAGATATTAAAAATATTTTAAACAATATTAACTTCTCATTTATTCAATAAGAGAAAAAAAAATTGTTTTCTTATCGGTCACCACGCTCAAAAAGTGTAACTTGAT